AACTCTATGAGAAAACTACAGTTGTCAAGATTCAGTTCCAGCAAAAATGGTAAAGTAAGATAATGCCAAAAAAGTCCTCATATAAATATGTAGACGTATTAGATAAGATATAACATAAACATCTGTAATGTATAAAGAAATTTTGAGAAAGGAGGGAAAATCCTAAGTAACAAATAGTGATTTAAAAGAGGGGCAAGTGCTATGACTACCTAGGGGAGGAGTTAAGAGCCATGGAAAGAGAATAAGGGCAAAGATGTCTAAAGAAGTTTCACAGAGAATTGGGAAAGTTGGGAAGAAGCAATCTTTTTTAAAAGACAATAGCTGAGAAATTTCCAAAACTGAGTAAAGATATGAATCTATAGATTCAATAAGCACAATGAGTCTAAAGCAGAATAAAAACAAATCCACATTTAGACATATCCAGAAAAATTAGAGAACAAACACACACACACACAATCTTAAATGGAAAACAGAAGAGACCAATTCTCCATAAAGAACCGTCAGCAGACTTCTCAAAAGCAACAAGAGAGGTCAGAATGATATAAAAGTTAAAAAAGAAATTACTTAAGCAGATAGGGTAAGGAAGTCCTTGGAAGTCCTTGGTAAGGTTTTCCTTTTAATGAAAAGCAGCCCCCAAATCAGTTTCTTTTCTAATGAAGAACAGCCTGTAAAATCAAGCTGCAGACATAGACAAGCAAGCTGGAAGCTTGCACAAGCGAATGCTAGCAATTGTGACAACAGAAAAAACTACCTGTGGAATAGGCATATTCAAAATGGCGGCTCCATTCTCTCTTCTTTTTGCCACGTGTACAGTAAGGAGCAGGCAAGATGGCACTGGCCAAGTAGAAAATCCATTTGCCTAATAAGATTAGGGTGGGGTGACCAGCCTTTCCCGCACCAGTAAACATCACACCTGGTGGAACCAATCTGTGGGCCCCATGTAAATCAGACACCACCTCTTGAAGCCTGCCTGTAAAATCTGCTGTGGTCCACCGCTTTTCCTTTTTTGGAACACCTCTCTTTCATAAGAGAGACAGATGCTCTCCTCTCGCATTCCTTCTGCCTATTAAACTTTCCACTCCTTAACCCACTTCATGTATGTGTGTGTGTGTGTCGTTAATTTTCTCAGCTCGAGACGACGAACCCTGGGTATTCACCCCAGAAAACAATGCTGCTTCAAAATTACAATGAAATATCTTCAAACTGCTTAGGTAAAAAGAGTACCAACTTAAAATTTTATATAGAGCTAAAATATAACTCAAAAGTAAGAGCTGAAATACAGACATTTTTAAACAAAGACTGAGAGTTTACATTAAAGGCCTGAAGTTAATGGAATACTAAGTGTGTACTTTGGGTAGATGCAACCAAGCTCAGAATGAAGGACAAGGATGCAGAAACAATGCACTCTATAATATTTTCTACTTTTTTATACTTTAAAAATATTTCATAATTAAACATGTAAAAGACTTAGAAAACCAATAACGGGTGAAAAGTGTTAACAAAATCATAGAGCAAAATAAGCTCATTCTTTTAGTAAAAACTTAAAAAATGGCTAATAATTCCCATAGCCCTTGTTATAGTCTTATTAAAATGTGGGGGGTTGGCCAGGTGCAGTGGCTCACACCAGTAATCCCAGCACTATGGGAGGCCGAGACAGGTGGATCACCTGAAGTCAGGAGTTTGAGACCAGCCTGGCCAACATGGTGAAACCCCGTCTCTACTAAAAATACAAAAATTAGCCAGGCACGGTGGCATGCGCCTGTAATCCCAGCTACTCCAGAGGCTGAGACAGGAGAGAGGAGAATCGCTTGAACCTGGGAGGCGGAGGTTATAGTGAGCCGAGGTGGCACCACTGCACTCCAGCCTGGGTAACCGAGCGAGACTGTCTTGCAAAAAACAATAATAAATAAATAAAATAAAATGTCAAGGGTGTTAGGCCTCAGCGGCAGGCCTGCCCTCCTTCCATTCTAATGTTCCCCTGCCTTTCTGATTGTAGGTCTTAAGGCCCTCCCATGAGAGGGTCCAACCCAATCTTGGGGCAAGGAATGCTGATGTCATGAAGCTTCCAGAAAAACCCAAGAGCAAAGAGTTCAGGGAGCTTCTGGATAGCTAAACCTGGAGGTTCCTGGAGGGTGGCAGCCCAGGGAAGGCATGGAAGTTCTGTGCCCCTTCCCCATACCCCACCCTATGTGTCTCTGTATCCTTTGCAATATCCTTCCTAATAAACCAGTAAACCTAAGTAAGTGTTTCCTGAGTTCTGTGAGCTGCTCCATCAAATTAATTGAACCCAAAGTTGGGAGCCCCAACTTGAAGCTGGTCCATCAGAAGTTCTGGAGGCCTGGACTTGCAACTGGTATGTGTGTGTGGAGGGGACAGGGGCAGTCTTGGGGACTGAGCACTCAATCTGTGGGATGTGACACTATTTCTGGGTAGAGAGTATCAGAACTGATTCAGAGGACACCCAGCTGGTGTCCACTGCTTGATGTGTATGGGAAAAGTCCACACACATATGGTCACAGAAGTTTTCTTGTGTGGTGATGATTGTTGTGATGTGAGAGTAGAGGGAAAACGTGGTTTGAGAAAAATTTTATGTGTTATTTAAAAAATTGTTGTTTTAAATCTCAATCCCCCTAAAATGTAAAAACATTAGAATCTGAAAATACAAGGTTGACCAAATCTAATCATGGGAGAGGAGACTAGTTCATTTAGCATTTCTTGTTAATAATTAGCTCAAGAAGCTGACAGTATCATTTTGTTAAAAACAAATTAAGAAGAATGAGCTCATGCAAAAAATTATATAGGTCAGGTCTCTCTGTAGGAAGCTAAAAAACATTTTACAACCAGCAAAGGGGATAGTCACATAATATATACTTTATTATTGTTGTTTACCAGTTGCTAAATTGCTTCAATTCTTATGTACAGTACTCCCCTCACCCAAACTATAATAACCTTACCCCTGAAAAACAAATATTTTGTTTAGTATTTGAGAATTTCTGATAACTGTTAGAGAGATGTCTCTGCTTAACTGACCCTATTTGGCACCTACTGGAAGCCTCTGCTGTCAGGGTACTGATATGGTTTGACTGTGTCCTCACCTAAATCTCAACTTGAATTGTATCTCCCAGAATTCCCACGTGTGTGGGAGGAACCCAGGGGGAGGTAATTGTATCATGGGAGTCTTTCCCCTGCTATTCTTGTGATAGTGAATAAGTCTCGTGAGATCTGATGGGTTTACCAGGGGTTTCCACTTTTGCTTCCTCCTCATTTTCTCTTACTGCTGCCACGTATTCATCTTTAAGATCTGAGCTCAAATGTCACTTCCTCAGAGAAGTCTGCTCTGACCATCCTCATTCAATCAGCTTCCTGTGGTTTTAACAGCTCCCTATTCTTCCATTTGTATGCTTAACTTACAATTATACACTTGTGTGTAAATGATATATTAATGGCTAGTTTCTGCCATCAAACTGGAAATCTATGAAGGTGGGGTCTGTGTCTGTTTTGCTTACTATTGTAACATCAGTCCTTAATTAGCACAATTTTTGACTCAATGTATACACAGAGGTGATATATAAGGGATATCAGCAAATTTAGCTGATAGGTTAGATGAATGCCTCTTAATATGCTTTTTTCTTTAATTCCTAAGAAGTAAAGGAAGTAATAACTTGGAAATTAATAACAATTCAGACTTTAAAACATGATAGAAATATGAGAACAAGTTCACTTTCTTGAGATGCGAAGATCTATGAAGAATTAGTTGATTAAAATCTTGCCTCTTATTTTACTGGGCAAATCACTTGATATTTTTGAATCTAAATTTCCTCATTTGTAAAACAAAGAGCAACATTAGTCCTTCCTACCTCATTTAATTATTGTGAGGATCAAATAAGGCATAAGACACCAGGCGTAATCCCAGTGCCTGTAATCCCAGCACTTTGGGAGGCCAAGGCAGGTGAATCACTTGTGGTCAGGAGTTTGAGACCAGCGTGGCCAACATGGCGAAACCCTGTCTGTACTAAAAATACAAAAATTAGCTGGACGTGGTTGCAGGTGCCTGTAATCCCAGCTACTTGGGAGGTTGAGGCACGAGAATCACTTGAACCTGGGAGGCAGAGGCTGCAGTGAGCGGAGATTGAGCCACTACACTCCAGCCAGGGTGACAGAGAGCGAGACTCTGTCTCAAAAAAAAAAAAAAAAAAAAATCAAATAAGGCATAAGAATGATAAACTATAAAATAGTAAGTAAATGTTATCTAGTACAGTTATTACTGAGTAAATGAAACACTAGAGAGGTACATACATGAGAACGGTGATAAATTTAAGTATTACACTTTTTTCATTATATAAATGTCAATATAGATAAGATAAAAGGTCCAGAATTAAAATGTTTAGAGTTAAACCTGAATTTTTTTTTTTTTGATAAACACTTTTCTAATGTTACAGAAATATACTGCAAAACCAAATAAATCCTATCCAGGGAATGTTCTGGATAATGATAATAGTGATGAGGTAACAGCTAATATTTACTGAATTATATATGAGGAACTATTCTAAGGGCTTTACACATATACTCATTTAATGTTCTTAATAACTTTATCAGGTAAGTACTATTATTGTTACCTTCACTTTGCATAAAAATGTTAGATAAATTTGTCCAAGATTACACATCAAGTAAGTGGCAAAACAAAGATTTAAATGTGGGCAGTCTGGCTCCAGAGTCCACACTGGTCTCTTTTCAATTCACTACCTTAAACTTTGCTTCCATTCGAGTTAATTTCTCAAGTTCTACATAAAATACTACTGATCAAGTTAAATGTTCATCTACTGAGTACAAAAGAAAATAATCAACAAAACTGAGGGGTAGAAATGCAGCAAGTAAAGGCTTTAAGATTTTAATACCACAGACTTAAGAATAATTCTATCCCTTTTCCTTTTAGAATCTAACTACATTCTGAGTTTAAAAGATATGGTCAAAATAAAAACAGTTTGGTTGTATACACTGACCAGGATATGATCCACTCGGTCTCTTTTCTTTCTTCCAAATTTCATCATTTTCTGCCAATCTGTTTTGTGGTTTGGCTCCTTTTTAAGACTGAACAACTTGAGTACTTCACTTGCTATGAAGCTCTGTGGAAATAAGACAAATACACGAAACACAAACAGAATTCCTGAGTTTCATGTGTTTACAATGCAGTAAACAGATTCGTGCTAAGAATATAGTATTTACAATAAAATATCATACAAATTTCTTCCACTTACAGTTCCACATAGCAATTTGAAGGGAAAAGCATTCCAAATGCTGAGACTTTATTCACTTACGAAACATAAAAGTAAAACCTAGCTGGGCACGGTGACTCACGTCTGTAATCCCAGCACTCTGTGACGCCAAGGCAGGAGAATCACTTGAGCCCAAGAGTTGAGACCAGCCTAAGCAACATAGTGAGAGACCTCATCTCTACAAAAAATATATAAAATTAGCTGGGCATGATGGTACATGACTGTAGTTCTGGCTACTCAGGAGGGTGAGGTGGGAGAATTGATTGAGCCCAGGAGGTCCAGACTGTAGTGAGCTGAGATTGCACCACTGCACTCCAGCCTAGGTGACAAAGTGAGATCTTGTCTAAAAATCACAACAATAAAGTAAAACCCGCTGATTAATCTGCAAAGAAAAATTACTTTAGAGTTTACTTAAGAACTACCATGCTGGGTGCGGTGGCTCATGCCTGTAATCCCAGCACTTTGAAAGACTGAGGCGGCGGATCACCGGAGGTCGGGAGATCAAGACCAGCCTGATCAACATGGAGAAACCCCGTCTCTACTAAAAATACAAAATTAGCCGGGTGGGGTAGTGCATGCCTGTAATCCCAGCTACTCGGGAGGCTGAGGCAGAAGAATCGCTTGAACCCCGGAGGCGGAGGTTGCAGTGAGCTGAGAACACGCCATTGTACTCCAGCCTGGGCAGCAAGAGTGAAATGCCATCTCAAACAAAACAAAACAAAACAAAAAAACAAAAAACCTACCATTAGCTAACTTCAAGCTGGCAAAACTACTAAAGAAAGCATAAAATAAATCTCTGAATTGGAAAAATCTCAAAGAAATTTTTGGGGACAATGTAATGTGAGAAAAGCAAAGACTTTATCTGGGATAGTTTATTTTGAAGCACCAAAACTCAAATATGTTAAATTAAAAAATATCAACACTTCAGTATGAGAAGCATAATAATTTTACTACTAACAATATTTGAACTATCACCCTTAAAAACTTTACAAAATGCTATGTCAATACTAAAATTTGTGGGCATTTATTGTACGCTATATTGATGCATGTAGTTTGATTGTTGGTATATATTATGTATCTTGTCTCACCTCAACTTATGTTATTAATAATTTATTTTGTTACTTTTATGGTTGTTCTGTTAAAAAAACAATGTTCTTAACAGGGGAAGGGACACATTTATGAATCAGAATCACCTGGAAAGATTCTCAAAGTACCAATGTGCCTGCAAATTCCATCACTCCCTACCTGTTCACAGACACACATAGCATTCAAGCATTTATCAATTGTGGAAAGGTAGAAGGAATGGAGTATACAGTGTGTTTTTAAAAAGCTACTTACTTTAAGCCAGGGGCTGGCCAACTTTTTCTGTAAAACATCAGACTGTAAATATTGTAGGCTTTGTGGGCCATGTGGTCTTTGTCACAACTATTCAATTCCACTGTTGTAGCAGAAAAGCAGCCATATATAACATGTAAACAAATAGGTATGGCTGCGGTCCAACAAAGCTTTATTTATAAAAACATACAAGGGCCTGGATTTGGCTCAGGGGCCATAGTTTGCCAACCCCTGAGGTAAGCATACATCCCATCTCATAAATATCTGTTAGTGTTCTATCAGTATAAAATATTTTTAAAGGCTTTCTGTGATCAACTAAGTTTGGGAAATACAACTTTAAAGCTTTGTTACTCAGCGTGGTTCTGGGACCAGCAGGACCAGCATGACTTGAGAGCTTGTTGGAAATGTAGAATTTCAGGTCCTACTCCAGACCTACTAAATCAGAATCTCCATTTTAACAAGATCCTCAGATCATTCACATGCACATTAAAAGTTGAGAATCACTGCTCTGGAAATATAACCTTTCCTGTAAGGAAACATGTGACTAGGCAGAACAGATTGCCACCAATGTGACTTTAAAATTCGCAGTCCTTGTAGCTTCTGGGCAAGGGTCTACAACGGTTTCTTAGATAACAAAATAAATATTTTTATGTATTATATTATTATCCTACATAGTTCAAAACCACATTACCAATTTGAAACCTCCGAAGTCAAAGATAGAGAAGTAACACCTATGTGTCCAGGGCTGGCATACCGAAAAGACATATATATGACATGTATTCACATGTACTTTTAGAACATTATACCTGTCTCTAAAGCCCCCCAAACTTACCTAAAACTCCTATGAGTTGCAATAATTTATCTCCCTAGGTATTTCCTAATTTTTCTTAAATATTATAATTATGTATATAGAGAAAATGACTGGTAAATTTTTTTTTTTTTTTTTTTTTTTTGCACAAACTTGAGGATTCAGCCCTTTCACTCACTCCAATCTTTCCACTGTTCATGGATTCAGTGAGTCAACAACTCTATTGAATACCCACTATGGAACAGGTCCTGAAGACACAAAGGTTAATAATACAGAAGAGTACCTGCTTGTACAACATTTATAGATATGTGTAAATGAACAGCAAGTCAAAAAAGAAGACACTTTATAGTTTGCAGTTTACCTTGATTTCATCAAGGTTATTTGGATTTTTCACTCGTCGGAAATAACTAGAGTTGATTCTACATGGCTTCATCCAGACAGGCTGATTTAAGTTGGGATCCTCAGCAAATATTTCCTCAAAAATCTCTTTTGTTAAATCAAAAACCGCCTTGATAAAGAAAAACAAAACAAAATGGCTAAGAATCAAATTTCAGACAACGGGCAAGAAGTTTAAAAACTAAAATTATCCTTTTATTTTACCTACCTGTTTGTAGACCCTTTTGCTAGTGCTTTCTATATCTAGACCTTTACTGGCACAGCCAAGCAGTTTTGTAGGAATACTGATGCTATGAAGATCATGGCCTAATTCTTTCCATTTCCAAAGTTCTTCTGCTGCATTATGTACAATAATCTCTACTTCCTCTGCAGTATGGGGGACTGCCAATAATGTTTCACATGGTTGTTGGGTTACTCTTTTAGATTCTGCCATTAGAGGTACAACGGTTGCGTCTGCCTTATTTTTTTGGATCTTGTGAGAAGAGCTCAAACCAAAGTCTTCATCAAACCAGTCTTGATCATCTCCTAATGTGCTCAGGAACTCCCGGCTGAGCTCAAGTTCAGCAAGTCTCTTAGCAAGTTCTTCCTGCCCACTGGCACCAAATACTGGACTCTCCTATAGAAATGGAACCATTCAAACAGAGCACCATTTAGGGACCTCATATCATTTTTAAAAAAAATAAAGACAGAGTAAATGTACTATTTATATATTTAATATTTCTCTGTAAGTAAGCAGAATAAAAAAAATATGGTGGCTACTCATAAACAATCTTAAGAAAAAGTTATCCTGTTCCCTCAATTCTACTTATATAAATCTTACACATAATTGAATTTTTATAAAATGCTTATTGATTAGGGCTCTCCCCGCTTTTTGTATGATCATTATTCTGTTTCTAAACAACTGTCCATCTATGGGATATGGAAATGGGATATAAAATTTCTCACCTCTGGTGACCATCTGGCTCAAGTTACTCAAAGTCATTACTTTTGCTCAACTGTCCATGGGCAACATAAACAAGCTGATGGTCTGAGTGCATGTCATAGTGGATATATTTCATTTTACCAGAATCAACATCACAACTACTAACCTCTGCAGGCCAACCATGACTGAGTAGATATGTAAACAAACAATTTCACAGGCAAAAAAGAATTGGGTGGTGAGCCACTGGAAAACTCCATGGAATGAATTTGTTCAGTGAATCTGGAAGGAGATGTAATTTGTGGACAGTACAGGGGTTGTCAACTAAGCAGTTTAAATGGATATTTTAGTTCCCCAAAACCTGCCAGTGCTTGTGACAACCCTATATTGACTACTCATGACATAATAGAGGACAATTACACTTCAGCCAGGAAAAACAGCTACAAGGCCTTTAAAAACTTGTATAGTGATCCTTCGCTAATAAACAACAAGTCAAGGAAAAAAAAAAACCTATTAGGAGTTACAGAATTAAAATGTACTATATAGGCAAGGTAAGTTGCCTTGTTAAAAGTGTCAAAAGGTATACTGATACTTTTTCTAGATGAAATACTCACCGGTCTGGGACACATATCTGGAGAGGAAATCTCTTCTTTCTCATCTTCCAATTCAGATCTTAAGAAGCAACTTGAAACACTTGGTGACTGTTCCTCAACATTTTGGGATAGGTCTTGGGGTATTACTTTCTTTTGGTCATCACCAAGAAGCTCCTGATTGCTAAGCTGGATTTTCTCATCTCGGGTTTTTTTGATTTGTTGTAGTTGATTGACTGTGTCCTTTACAAAAACTTTTAGTAAACTGTCTGTCAGTAAGCTGATTGTTTCCAGTTGTTCTTTTGACTTTTTTTCCTCATTTAGTGATGACTTCAGTTGGGCTTCCAGCTGGTTTTTTTCTCTTGTTAAAAGATCCAGAAGTGGTGTAGAAAGCTTTTCTGAAGTTTTAGCACATAGGTTGTCTTCCTGTTCTGTAAACTGCTGTTGCTTCTGCAATTCTTCAGAAAAGGTATTGTCTAAAGTATCGTCTTCTGCAGCAATGGAAACCTTTTCTGTGGCATCAGAAATGAGGTCTTTGTTTTCCTTTGAAGAAATCTGTGAATCCACTGAAGACTGCTGGTGAACATGGGCTTCAAGTACCCCAGAAATGTCCTGTACGTTGTCTGTTTCTATTTTAAGGCTTCTATTTCTATTAACTGAGGCTTCTATATCATTCACACTAGGTAGGGATTTCTCATAAAAATATTCACTGGCATCCTTCTCTCTGTCTTTTGGACCCTCTGTATCATTCTGCTCTTGATTATAGTACTGATATTGTTCATCTGAGTAAGAGTCTTCATCTTCATTAATGTCTACATAGTCATCAAAGTTTTCTGGAATGTGAGATATTTTTTGAGGAGGAGCAAAAATACCATGCTTTTCTTTGCACTCAAAATATGCAATGCCATCATATGTTCCATTGTTATTTCCTTCAGGTTTATCTAACTCCACTCCCGCCCAAAATCCTTTAGCAAAACTAGTCTCACCTTTGAATCGAAGAATTCCTGGCTGAACATTTCCAATCAACACCCTATCACCAATGTGGAAATCAAATAACTCATCTGCAGTAGGAACTGAAGCCAAGGAAGGGGATTCAGTAACTTGCTGTTCATGCTCCACATCGCTGCGCTCCTTACTTTTCATCAGCTCAGTAGGGGACTTGAGTTCCAACAGCCTGTCAGAGTGAACACTGCTATGGATAGAAAGGCTTTTCTCACTTAGGCACTCACTGATTTCCTCATTACTACCAAAGCTAGTGGCTCCACTTGTAGAGCTCCTCATTGGCTGTGGCTTATCTCTGCAAGACTGAGAGTCTTTCCTGAGTGACAGCAAAGATGACACCTCAAAATCATCTTTGTATAATTCAGCTGAAATTTCTTTCTTGAAAGAAGACACTTCAAAATCTTCAGAGTATGGTATCTCTTTAGGAGCAAAAAGATGTTCTGACCAAGACAAATCTTTCTCCTTTGTGTTCTTTTGTTCATGAATGTCTTTTCCTGATTGGATGTTTGGACTATGATTCACATCTTGATCTGACTGTCTCTCTTTCAACATTTCCTCACTTTTATGGAGATTTTCAATAGCTAATCCAACTAGGTCTTTCTGAACATTTTCAGAATCCAAAGGAAGATCTTTCTTTGAAAGAATTTCAGATGAGTCTCCCTGTTCTAGGACTAATTTCAGTAAGACACCAGATTTACCTTCTTTATAAAAGGCATCTTCAATCTTACTCTTCCTCAATTTTGTATATTCTATTTCTTGTATTTCTGATTTTTTACTAGATTCTTCAACCTTGCCATCTGACACATCAAGAATTCTACTAGCGGCATTTAATTCTTTGAGAAGATGTAATGCAGGTACATTTTCTAGAGAATCTCCAGATTCTTCCCTGATTTTCCTTGATGATCTGAGAACTGGAGATGGGGTCTGAAAACATTCTGTTCGACTGTCCCATTCATTTACTCTCTTTGCATATGCAGATAAAGACCTTTCTGATACGGATCTCTCAGAATCTGACAGTGAAGCATCTTAAAGAAAAAACAAATCACCACATCAAAATGATTTAATCACAATCTTTCAATTTTGTGGACCAAAGTTTAGAGAAAAGCCAAATTTTAGTGGGGGGGGGAACCCTCTAGTCAATAAATATGACCTGTTTTGGCTACTTTGTAAGTTTTTCTTTTAAGAGAATATCATCTGTATCAACATTTAAAATTGCTTAAAATTCTAAAGTTTGGAATAATTTCTTAAGCATTGTCTTAACTTATAAAGTGAAGAAAAATATATTTAAGTTGATGGAGCCATTGCTTTGCACATTCATCCTCAAATCATGCAAAAATAGAACTGTATGATGGTTATTACAAACATTTTTCAAACAGGAAACTAGTGAAGGAGAAACAGACTTCCATATATACTTCTAAAAGAATACATTTTCCTAGGAGGTTCAACTAAGCTCTTGAATTAAAAAGAAAACAGATCAACTATTTCTGCAAATATAGCACTTTAAGAGCTAAACTTGCAAAATATGATCAAAGTACAATATAATGAGCTAACAAACCAAGAGTTAAAAGTGTTAAATTAAAATATCTTTTTTTTTTTTTTTTTTTTTAAGAGCAAGAATCTTGCTCTGTCACCTAAGCTGGAGTGCAGTGGTCACAGCTCTGCGTAGCCTTGAACCTGGGCTCAAGCAATCCTTAGCCTCAGCCTCCTAAGTACCTGGGATTATAGGCACAAGCCACTGTGCCTAGCCAAATCTCTCTTTTGTCACTGATGTTTCTTTGCGCCTCAGTTTTATTTTCTCACTGAATTGCATTTTATTTTTTTGAGATAGTGCCTCACTTTGTCACCCAAGCTGGAGTGCAGTGGCTGATCACAACTCACTTCTTGGGACTTCTTGGGTGTAAGTGATCTTCCTGCCTCAGCCCCACAAATAGCTGGGACTATACATGTGCACCACCATGCCCAGCTAATTTTGTATTTTTTGTAGAGATGGAGTTTCACCAGACTGCCCAGGCTGGTCTCAAACTCCTGAGCTCAAGTGATCTGCCTACTTCAGCCTCTCAAAGTGTGGGGATTATAGGCGTGAGCTGCTGCACCTAGCCTACAACTTTCTTTTGGTTAAACTGAAAAAACGTATACAGCTATTTACCTGAGAAACAGTTAGGCTGAAAATATACATAACCAGATAAAAAATCTGGTTAGGGGAAATTTAGAGATGTTGATGATATACTCAGCTATTTAATCATTATGCTTTGGTTTTTCTAATAAATTTTGAACAATAAAGACTGATTCAGCTGAGTGTGGTGGCTCATGCCTGTAATCTCGGCACTGTGGCTGAAGTGCTGGTAATTTTCAACCAGGCTGAGGTGGGAGGACTCACCAAGAGTTCGAGACCAAGAGACTCTTGAGCCCAAGAGTTCGAGACCAGCCTGGGCAACAATAGTGAGACATCCATCTCTTAAAAAAAAAAAAACAGATGAGCTGGGTGTGGTGGCATGTGCCTGTGATCCTGGTCCTGGTTACTTGGGAGGCTAGGATGGGAGGACTGCTTGAGCCCAGAAGGTCAAGGCTGCAGTAAGCTATGATCATGCCATTGTACTCCAGCTTGGGTGATAAGAGTGAGACCCTGTCTCAAACAACAAAAAAAAAACCCCAAAAAACCAAACCAAACAAACAAAAAGGATTCATATAATTTACACGTAGCCAATAAATCACTTTAAAATATAAAAGTAACTTTAAAATGTTAAATAATGTAATTAAGAAATTCACTTTTTAATAAAAAAGCTATAGAGGTAGAATTTTGTAGGCCTCTGCATAAATCCTTAGACTATGTAGCTATAAGTTAATTATTTTTTCTAGTTACATACCAACATGTTCAGCAATAGACTCCAGGGATCCTCTAGAACGTTCTGAGTCTGTCAGTGATTTCCAATTCTTTGCCGTTTCAGATCTGACGTATAAAAATTAATGAGCAGAAATAAATATATTACTATAATAACTAGTAACAAAAAGCAAACATTCTTAGACAACTGCTTCTTTCCTCTTCTCCACAGTAGGTATGTCAATCTATGCCACTTTCATCAAGCCTATTTCTAATTCTCATCACTCTCACTAAATGAGCTTGCCTTTGTCACTAGATGACAAAAACAGAGGCCATCAGGCATGAACTTTACCTTCAAACTTTTACCTACAAGTTTATCCATATTCACAGCCATCCTAACTGCCTTTCCTCCTGTCTGCAGGATGAAAAGTTGTCTCTCTCTCATTTGTTCAAAGCTATTTGTTCAAACCACTCCCTATTACTGCCCTCTCTTGTTCTTTATAGATAACAGAAGAGGCTACATTCACTCTCTTTATTTTCTTGACTTCATTTGCTAAACTGTAATACTTGGCTTTTACTTCCTACCTTTTTATAATGCCCTAAAATGTTGCTATTTTATCATCTTGAGTACCTGGCTCCCATTTATTCCCTCTGAATGCTATCTCCTCTGGGTGATTTATGGCTTCAACCACTATCTATGTGCTTATCATCCTCATATTTCTAACCCTGTTAACTTTCCACATAGTTTCACTTAAACAACAGGCACTTAAAATTAACACTTAAAACCAAAATCATAAGCCTCCCACAGAAAACCACCTTTTCCATTTACATTAATGAAACCTTGACCCAATCAACTACCTAAGAGAAACCTGGGATTCATCTTAGACTTGCCCTGCTACCCCATCTAGCACTTTAACTAGTCAAGTCTACGTTTTTTGTTTTTTGTTTTTCTTTTTAATCCTTCACTATCCTAAAATATGTCTCCTATTTTCTATTCTTAATACTGGTTACTTGAGGTCTGGCTTCAGACTATTTTTCTTCCTGTTTGCAAGCTTACTCTTTTCTATCTTTCCTCTATATTGTGGTCAGAAAGATTTCTGTAAACACAAATATGACTGTGTCACTCTCTGGTTAAAATCCTTCAGTAGCTTAAGAAAATTACAAAGCCATTCAATAACATATTATGTAGAAATTAAAATGTACACTTCATAATATAATGGAAAAATATATATGTAACAAAAACACACACAAAATCTGAGCATAAAAAATCCTAGAAGGAAACATATCTAATTGTTGACATTTGCTATTTTGGGATACTTAGGTATGATATGATTTAAACTCTTTTCTTTTTACTGCTTCCCTAGAAATAGTAACACCAATAATAGCAGCAGCTAATGCACGATGCTTACTGTGTCCTATGCCCTGTTAAGTCTTTTAACCCTCATAACAAGTGTATTAATCAGGTATTATTATTATTCCTTTTTAATAGGGTATGAATCCCTATTAAAAAACTGAAGCACAGAGGGGTTAAATAACTTGTCCACAGTTACAGAACTAGCTAGAAATGGAGCCAGGATTCAAATTTAGGTAATGCTAAATTAATTGTAATGAGCCTGCAATACCTCTCTAACAAAAATGTCCCAAAATACTTTTTAAAGAAACCTTCAAAGGCTCCACATTTTCTAAAAGGTAAAACACAAACTGCTAAGAACAAATGAGTACAAGGTTTTCAGTTTGGCTTTTATTTATTGTTCCTTCTGCTAACTCCAGCAATATCCTATTATGTTCAGCTTCTATGATATGCCAATCTGTTTTTTTTTTTTTTTTGCTTTTAGTCATTCATGAATAACATTCTTTCTGAAATGACCCCTATTTCTCAATTGAACTGATCTGTCTAACCTTTTTGTTCAAAATTTAGTTTAAATATTATAACCTGACTTCCTAATACACAATATTATATATTCTAATGTTGCAACTTAGTATCTTCTGTATTTGCTTACTGACTGCATACCATTCCATCACTTGCAGAGAACCATCATTTACTGAGTTATTCATCCATTTTTGGACATAAAAATTGTTTTCAATGTTTTATTATATAAAGAATGTTCTGATAAATATATTCATGCAAATAGAGATTTTCAGTACCCCACATTTTCTCAATTTAGACTTCCAGAAATACATTACTGGGTCAAAGGTTACAGATTTATTTTTGACTTTTGAAACATAGCCAAACTGTTTTTTTCAAAGGTCCACATCAACTTATGCTACTACTAGCAATGTCGGAAAGTACCATTTTCATTGTACCCATCAGACTGCAGGATTAAAAATGTATTTTAAAATCCATACCTTACGTATGTAATTTTTAATTGTAATACATAACAGTTTGAATTTACTGACACTAAAAATAGAAAATAATATTTTTACTTCTATAATTTCAGTTACTTAAAAGGTAACTTCTACTGAAAATATTCCCTTATTCCTTTTCCGAACAAGGCAGAATATAGACAGTTATCAAAAATTTCTACCTGTGTAGTGGTGTGAGGGGTTTGATCTTGGGTTTTTCAGAAGCTGAGGAGAGTGTTTTAATCTGAGGCTTGGCTGTTGGTGATGTTTCCAAATCTCGGCTAAGCTCGGCTTCAGTTTTCTTAATAAATTCATCATACGACTAAGTTCAGAAAAATCAGAGGAGTCACTAGGCATAATTTTTAAAACTTATTTTAAATTATAAAATAGTATATTTTAAGGTAAAATACTCAAACAATAAAGAAGATGCAATATAAAATCTCCCTTCTTGCCCCCTCAGCGTCATTCTCCAGAACTCTATAGTTATTTGTACATCCTTCTCAAAATAATCTATAAGCAAGATATATAATTGTAATTCCAGTATCAATTAAGAAACAACATTGTGAATCTACAGAAATTTAATACGATGAAGCAATAATTCATACCTTGCCACATTAAAAAACTTCTTTGACTATATTTGCTAAAGAGTGTACTATTACTTTCATGATATTTTTAAGAAGTTAGCCATTCTGTTCTGAGTTTCAATGGCAGTAAGTTTCTTATGGGCTAAGTAAGGGATACAAATTATAAAAAGAGAAAGGTATAGTTGACAGTATGATAGTTCAGAAATATAAAGAAAAAAAAACCAAAACTTTCCTGGTTATTACCCATTCTGTAAACAAAACTTTACTAATTTATAATTTGTATGAAATATAAGGGAATCCCTCCATCTCATATTATCATTCTTTAGTTTTCTGGGCTGAAGTCCTTACTTTTACAGCTCTCACTATTTGAAATTAGTGTTTTGTTCAGAACTGTATGTCTGGTACGTAATGTCCTATTCACAATGTCTGGTCCAAAAGCCTATCAATACATATTTATAGAATGAACTAATGGATGGATGGATGCTTGTCAACTGCTACGGATCCCTAAAATCTGGGCTGAAATCACTACTTTTACAACTCTCATCATCCATGTTACCTTCATCTGAATTGTCAACATTTTGTTAAAGTAACTCCTAGTATTAAACCTACACCACAGCTAGGTGTTCTAGCTCAGTAGGTACACCATGAGGACTATGACTACTAAGATCTGAAAGCTATACATTTATGAGTACAGTCCATTTATTAAATCTGTGATCAAATAAAATCCAATAGATTTTTTATATTAACTGCTATGTATTATGTATCTCTCTCTCATATACTGTAATTTTAAAAGTTAAATACAGAATTTTCTTTTGTCTTTGTTTACGCCATTAAGTAGAATGCTGGAAGAGATGGATCATATGGCACTTCTCTAGAGGGCTCTTTTCTGACTGACATAGTTATTAAGGAACATTTTTGAGCAATACTATTCATTCTAATAGTACTTTATCTCCAACAGTTACTTCAATGACTCATTAGTTGACGTATAAGATGAAATCCAAATTCATCAGTTTTACTTCTAAGGTCCTGAATATAATCTGTATTTTTAAATTTTATTTCCACTTCTTTCCAGCATGAACTCCCCGGTATGGTCATTGTATCTTAATCACTTTTCCTACTCTAACCATTGTGTAAGTTACAATCCCTATTCCATCTGTGTACTGTGTACCTGTTTAAATGTTTATTTTCTCCAGATCTATTAACAGGCCTCTTTTCTATGTGGAAGACAATACAATGGTAAAGGCACAGAATTTAAAATTAGAACTAGATTAAAATCCTAGTTTCACCATTTATGAGCTGTGTATCCTTGGATAAATCATTAATCTCACTGAAACTCAGTTTCCTTACCTGTAAAAGAGGGATAATAATACTCACACCTTGTTGTGAGGATTAAATGAAAAATATGTGTAATTAGCTGAGCTCTTGGCACATAAATAGGCATCTGAATATTTGATGATTAAATTAATAGCGGTAGGAGAAGCATGTGTTTGCTGTTATGTAACAAGGACCAAAAGGTGGAAATTGAAAGGACAGAAATTTTGGCTAAATACAACAAAGAGCTCTTCTAATACTTAGAGCACTTAGAGTTTAACATGGAAACCAATTAGCTCGAAATTTTGAAAATTCCTATTACTGGAAGTGTTCAGGTAGAAGTTGAATGATGTTCTCTGGGGATGAGATGAGAAGGGATTCTTGCAATAAGTAGGAGATTCAGTCTGATTCTACAATGAATGTCATGTTCTAGGAACACGGGGCTGGCAGAATGTGTGTAATAGAAAAGCAGAATGTCTGTAATAGAAAAGCAGTGTGAGGCAGAACATCTAAGAGACTACGCAGACAGTAGAGGCAAGAGGTCATAAGGGCCCCAACTAGCCTGGAGGCAGTAGGAATAGAAAGGAACAAACAAGAAACTTTATAAAAAAATCCATGAGAAGTAGTGACTGAATGGACAGGGAAAAACAGAATAAGGAAGACATCCCAGCCTGGGACAGAATCAGGAAGGCTGCTACAGCTTGGGGGAAAATTCAAGTTATCATTTAGAATCTATTCAAATAGTACAAAGAGTTGTACTATTTAATAAGTTGTGTGGCATGAAACACTGTTCTGTGAAATAAGGGAAGAGAAGGGCAAAGGGGAAGGGAAGGGGAAAAGGGAAAGGGGAAGGGGAAGGAGGAAAGAAAAGGGGAAAAGGGAAAGGGGAAGGGGAAGGAGGAAAGAAAAGGAGAAAAAAAGGGGAAAGGGAAGGGGGAAGGAAGAGGAAAGAAGAAAGTTGGGGAAGGGAAGTAGCAACAATTCCAAACGCTGAAATTATTTACCTGGTAGTTCTCTGCTTACAAGGGTATAGATACCAATCTTTCTTTCAAAGGCCTAATCTTTCTCATTTAGGAAAAAAAAAAAAATCTAATACTTTATTTTAATATTTATTTTTTAGAGGTGGGGGTCTTGCTATGTTACCCAGGCTGCAGTGCAGTAGCCATTCACAGGTGCAATCATGGTGCACTACAGCCTCAAACTCCTGGCTTCAAGTAATTCCCCTGCCTCAACCTCCTGAGTATCTGGGACTTCAGAACACACCACTATATATAGCCAATTTTAATATTTATTTTAATACTTATTTTAATATTTAAATTTAAAATTTAATGTTTAGGCCGGGCACGGTGGCTCATGCCTGTAATCCAGCACTTTGGGAGGCCGAGGTGGGTGGATCACGAGGTCAGGAGATCGAGACCATCCTGGCTAACACGATGAAACCCCGTTTCTATGTATTGTATACTAAATATACAAAAAATTAGCCAGGCATGGTGGCAGGCGCCTGTAGTCCCAGCTACTCAGGAGGCTGAGGCAGAAGAATGGTGTGAACCCAGGGGGCGGAGCTTGCAGTGAGCACAAATTGCTCCACTGATCACTCCACTGAACTCCAGCCTGAGCGACAGAGTGGGACTCTGTCTCAAAAAAAATAAAAATAAAAAACAAATAAAATTTAATGTTTTAAGCAAGAATGTCCTTAGACACCCTCAGATTTTCTTTTAAGAGAATAAAATGTGGCACCACACTAATAATGAAGAATCCTAATCCATTACTTTATTAACAACATTAAAAACATTTTAGACGTCACATACACATTAGCCTTGACATTAAACCCCTTTCTTCCTATGTCTAACCTCTAACTGCTTGATCAGACTGGCTTCTTGGGCTTTCAGTCTTTCCTTTTGCCTTTTTTTCTGTTCCTTCTTCAACTGGTTCACAACTGATTTTCTTTTCCGCAATTCATCCTTCAGAGCTCTGATCCTACCTTCAATGTCACTCTGGTCAGATGTAGTTTCTGAAAGAGATACAAAATCTTTTATTTATAATTTTGACTTAAGCATAATGTTAACTCAGTAACTACTAAATAAAAAGCTGTAATATCCCATTTAAATAAAGCCAATCTAATAATTAAAATATGAGCTTCTGAAAAAAATGTATTACTAAAATGCATCCCTATAATTTCCCCCCCTGCCACACACACTTTATTTTTGGCTTGGTTCCTCCTATTTATTTTCACTTTCTAATTGTACTATTTGAAATTATAAATAAATCTTGAGATACGCTGTCTTGGTAAGACATGCAGCTGGAAATTGAGAAATGTTTAGACTGATGAAATTTGGATATTCTGCAAGAAATTACTTCTGGTGACAAGATAATCATATTTAACTGTCTCTTGCCTTGGTTATTAATACATAATTTAATAGTTTTAAAGTCATATTAAAATCAAACTAGAGTTTTACCACTTCAAATTGCTTGTGATTCATTAGCTGATGGCTTAATATCACATTAAAAAGAGAGAAATTATAAAGAAATAGACTCTGCTGTAATCTTTCTTTGAAAGCTCTCAAAATATTTAAAATAAATGAAAGGAAGCTAGTTAAATCTTTCCTCTCCAACAGTTCACATATACAAGACGTCTACTCATAGCAACATCATGAAAAGGATATTTCATTATAATGTGTCATACACATGCTATGAAAACAAACAGGTATCATTTAAAGACACTGCTTATTTCACTACACATGGAAATTACATAGCATAGGAATTACTGTTCCTCACACCTCCCCCAATCACACAATGGTGTCATTTTCATACACTAATGTTGAGTGAGACATTTAAAAGTCTTACAATGGAAATAATATCATACACAAATCTTAAGACTCAGACTTAACATTACGTCAAAGACCAGGATTCTACCAGTTACTTCAGGTCAAACTGCATAAGAGCTAGTTATAGAAGTTATTTAAATGCAAAAAGATTACAAATGTCTTTTTAATAGTGTGGTCGGTCTAAATATCTGAATAAGAAATAATAAAATGTGAGTTCCTGTCACTTCTATGACACTGAGTTAAGGCATACTAGCAAAGTTAGGCTGTTTTATATTAGTGGTGGCATCATACTGAGCCCTTAGCATAGGCAAGGCTCAATTATTTACTTATGTACTTCCAAAATTATTATTTTGATAAGATTTTGTAGACCACTACATTCTTACAGGCCTAGTTTCAATTTTGCCCCCAAAATAACTATTTTAAATTAATATTTAAAAAAATTGTATACACCAGCAGTGATTTTCTAATAAAAAATATATTTACCATCTATGGTTGAAGATTTAATAGCAGGTGATGAAAAACCTGGGGTTTTTAGATGAAAGACCTTGGAAAATGTTTATGTTTTTAAGTACTAAAGAAACCAAACACAGGCCGGGCGCACTGGCTCACGCCTGTAATCCCAGCAGTTTGGGAGGCCAAGGTGGGCAGACTAATGAGGTCAGGAGTTCGAGACTACCCTAGGCAGCATGGCAAAACCCCATCTCTACCAAAAATACAAAAATTAGCCGGGTGTGGCACCATGCGCCTGTAGTCCCAGCTACTCAGGAGGCTGAGGCAGGAGGATCATTTAAGCCCAGGAGGCAGAGGTTGAAGTAAGCTGAGATCATGCCACACATTCCAGCTTGGGCGACAGGGCTAGAGACTGTCTCAAAACAAAATAACCTGCTAGAATAACTTGTTTTTAAAAAATGAGTTTCTGATTATTTGACACACACTGATTATATTAGCTTGGTTGATAAAACTCTCCATCATTTAAGTAAAGGTATTAAAACTCTACTACATTAATATCTGCCACTTCTACAAATACTGAATATAAATAATGTCATCTTGAATAGGTAGTGAATCTGTTGTTTAGAAACCTCAGAGCTTATCTTTTTTTTTTTTTTTTTTTGAGACGGAGTCTCACTCTGTCACCCAGCCTGGAGTGCAGTGGCGCGATCTCAGCTCACTGCAAGCTTTGCTTCCTGGGTTTACGCCATTCTCCTGCCTCAGTCTCCCGAGTAGCTGGGACTACAGGCGCCCGCCACCTCGCCCGGCTAATTTTTCATATGTTTTAGTAGAGACGGGGTTTCACCGGGTTAGCCAGGATGATTTCGATCTCCTGACCTCGTGATCCGCCCGTCTCGGCCTCCCAAAGTGCTGGGATTACAGGCTTGAGCCACCGCGCCCGGCCTAGAAACCTCAGAGCTACTTTTCTAAAACCATTTATTCTTACTTAAATAAGCGTCACCAATAAAACAGGATCTTACAAACGTTATTATTAATCCTTGGTGCATAACTCATGTAAGGATGGTTGAAACATTATTCCATTGCTAACAAACGAAAAAGATAAGCCAGTTTTGGCAAAGAAACCTGAAAAAGTCACCAGTAAGTAAGAGATCCAGGATAAGAACGCACGTTTCCAAGTATTCAAGTTTATGTCTACTGACAAGTTATTCTCTTGGAAGCAATTTTTCACCAACGTACATAAAAGCAAATATATAAAAACATTAATAAATTTCCACAGAGAAATATGAGACAACATTCTTCAACTGGCCTGACTCAATTATTCTATTCCTAAGAATCTATTCCACACTGAAATATACAAAAAGAATTTTTATCATATATATGATAAACACACATATAAATGACATATGGTATTACACACACACACACGAGTCATGCACCACATATGATGTTTTGGTCAATGACAGACTACATAGCAGACTACATATCATATATTATAAATATATGATAGTGGTCCCAAGATTATAATATTTTTACTACACCTTTTCTATGTTTAGATATACAAATACTTAACATTGTGTTACAATTGCGTATAGTATTCAGTATAGTAATATACTGTACAGGTATTACACTCTAGGAGCAAGAGGCTATACCATATGGCCTGAGAGTGCAGTAAGGCTACACAATCTAGGTTTGTCTAAGTTCATTCTATGAAGTTCACATAATGATGAAATTGCTTAATGACACATTTCTCAGAGCATATCCTGGATGTTAAGTGATGCATGACTACATATATGTGTAAATATTTACATAAAGATGTTTATTATAGCATTATTTGCAACTGTGAAATATTTGAGAAAATCTAAATGGCCATCACTAGGGAAACAGTTAAATAAATTACGGTACATCTACTCTTTGAAATATTATATAGTTACTCAAAGAAGAAAGAAGAACTGTAAATATGGGTGTAGGAAAATTCCATGATTTATAATTGCCTGACACATGGAAAACAAAAGGGTACAACACATAATCAATTACGAAAACAACAACAACAAAAAACAAAGAATAACATTTTTCATGTTTCCTTTACTAAATGTTTACTCTCAAAACTAAAACTGAATTCAAAAAGCAATACACTGGGCCGGGTACAGTGGCTCACACCTGTAATCCCAGCACTTTGGGAAGCTGAGATGGGCAGATCACCTGAGGTCAGAAGTTCGAGACCAGCCTGGCCAACATGGTGAAACCTCGTCTCTACTAAAAAAAAAATACAAAAATTAGCCGGGCGTGGTAATGGGCACCTGTAATCCCACCTTCTCGGGAGGCTGAGGCAGGAGAATCGCTTGACCCTGGGAGGTGGAGGTTGCAGTGAGCCAAGATCGCACCACTGCACTCCAGCCTGAGTGACGGAGTGACACTCCATCTTAGAAAACAACAAAAAAAAGCAATACACTGAATATGCCTAACTCAATATATTCAATATGGCAATACTCAATATGGTATTAATCTTCTTCACAATCCTACATAAACCCACCACTGTCTGTCTACATATGCTTCCTAAAGTCAACAAACTCCTTGAAGCCTTTTAGAGTAGAGGTTGTTCAAATACAACACAAATAAAAACTCCTCATGATTAGTCTTACCTGACTGTGTCATAGATAATGACTCATCTGACCAACTATAACAGTGCTGATGGGACTTGATAGGCAGATGACATTGTCCTCCAGTCCTATGACATCCTTTGCTAGACTCCTGCTTTGACACAGATGTGCAGCTTTTGGGAACTGACTGTTCAAACAGAAAACCAAACAGAAACTATTTTGTGATATAATTGTAAAATTCTATTTAAAATTTGAGATACTAGCCATATAAAGATAATATTTACAAAGAATTTAAGATAACTGTTAGGACCCAAGTGAAAAAAGTTTACAAATTATTCAACCTGGGAAAGCTGATTTTTAAAAAAAGTTTACAAATTATATAAAGGATAAGACCTCAATTTTTTTTTGAAGACATAGAAAAAAATTATAAAAGAGCATGCTTTTAAAAAGTTTTACAATCAATTAGAAGTGATTATTATGTCAGTGATATTTACCCCTCCCCCAATTCTTTTAATTTTGAAAATACTCAGTACGTACTTTTACAGAAAGGAGAGAGGAAGGGAAGAAGAAAACAGAGCATAAGACGTTTGCCCACAAGAGAACAAAAGACAAAATTTCTACCCTGACATCAGGTGGAAGTGAGATGCCTGATTTGATTCCTAGCTACTATCCCTGTGACTTTGGGCAAATTTCCTAGGTTGGGGATTAGAACAGTATCTATAGGATTCTTTCAAGGGTTAAATGAGATAATCCATGTAAGGCACTTGGTAAATACTTTGTAAATAAACACTTAATAAATATTAGCTTTTATTATAAAAACTACTTTAAGATATACTAGTTTTGATTTCCTTGATATATTTTCTTGTGAAAAAAGCTCTAATTTTTAATAGTCAATCAGTTCGTGGCTACTCCGAGCCTCATCAATAATGATGCTAGGTAGAATGTAATTGATTTATAAGAGCTAATAAACTTTTAAGATTGTATAAATACAGTTTGGTTGTAAGTTCCTGGAAGGCAGAAATTTACAGAATAATAGATAATGCTACAAGTAAATTATCTATATAAGTCTAATATTATCATACAATAAATAAGAGACCACTAACATAATTATTAAAAGCCTTTAATAACCTAAAAATGCTGATTTCAAGTATGTGCACAAGGACACTGAAATATTTTTTAACATAATATTGAATAGGCTCTTCAATGAATAAAAAATGTTCTTCTGGCCGGGCACGGTGGCTCACGCCCGTAATCCCAGCACTTTGGGAGGCCAAGGTGGGAGGATCACCTGAGGTCGGGAGTTTGAGACCAGCCTGACCAACATGGAGAAACCCTGTCTCTACTAAAAATACAAAATTAGCTGGGCATAGTGGGCATGCCTGTAATCCCAGCTACTCAGAAGGCTGAGGCAGGAGAATTGCTTAAACCCACGAGGTGGAGGTTGCAGTGAGCAGAGATCGTGCCATTGCACTCCAGCCTGGGCAACAAGAGTGAAACTCCATCTCAGAAAAAAAAATGTTTTTCTTCTAGATCTTCTAGGTGCTGTAACATAAATGAACCTGATTGACTTTTCAATGGGGAAATAAAATTAATTCTTTCCATCACAATAAAAATGGAAGACTCTAACAAAGAATATTCCATTCTGAATTTGGGCAGATCTTTTTTTAAACATAAAGAGGCTTTAACAATGTCTGTGTATACTTTAGTATACCACAGCATACTAAATATTTAACATTGTTATGCTAATTATTTGCTATATTTAAAAAAAACAGTAAAGTTTCTACCTTGAGTTTTTACCAACTAGTTTTTTTTTTTCTATAAAGTACACAATTAAGGACAAGGTAGAAAATCTTAGTCTAATAATGGCCATTATCTTAATTTAAAATCAATAACTATTTCAGACCTGCCTTTAAGAGGTTAAACCATTACTTTTATTCTATGAGTTATACAGAAGTTATTAATTCAGTTACAGTAAAAGTACTCTGGTGTGGTTTAAGATCTTACTGTTTTTGTTATGTGAAAAAACAAACTTCAGAAAGAACTTGTGTTGTTTCCACAAATTGTTTTTCATAAAGACTTTAGAAGTTCCTATTCACTCAATATTAACAGACTTGATAGCAAATGATTTTATAACCTCCACTAATGCCAAAATTCATATATTTGTAAATGAGAAGCTTTCTTTCTTTTCATTTTAGACAGCTTTTTTCCAGAGAATCTTTAAGATATAAATACACATTAACTTACATGTTTACTAGGAGAGGTAGAAGATTCTAGTTCCTGTGAACAAACCATTTCTTCAGTAAGTATACTGTGATCTGGAGTCCCTGGCTGTTCCTGTCCAATAGACTCGGATGGTACATATTCAACAGCAGGGCTGCCTAATTCTTCTGGAATGGAGCTTTCACTGTTTAGATGAGAGTACAGAGGTACTGGAGATTCCTCTTCACTTGCTATTTCTAGAAAGAGAGGGCGAAAACAAGAAAAAAAATATACAATCTTGGTCAATGGGAAAACTATACTGATAAACATTGTTTTTAGCATATTATTACTCGTTGCATTTTTGCCTCCCACAAACAGGAGAGTCATAGCTTCCACAGATGCACAGATCTATTTCTGGGTTATCTGTTTCACAGTCTATTTGTCTCTCTCTGTGCAAATGTATTATTTTAATCACTACAACTTAGAAGTCTTGATATATGGTAAAGTAAGTTTCCGCATTTTGTGGTCCTTCTTTACTAGTGTCTTTGCTTTTTGGTCTTTGTTCTTTCATGTAATATATATATATATATATATTTTTTAGATGGCGTTCCGTTCTTGTTGCCCAGGATGGAGTGCAGTGGCATGATCTCGGCTCACTGTAACCTCTGCTTCCTGGGTTCAAGTGATTCTTCTGCCTCAGCCTCCCAAGTAGCTGGGATTACAGGCACATGTCACCACACCCAGCTAATTTTTGTCTTTTTAATAGAGACGGGGTTTCACCATAGTGGCCAGGCTTGACTCCAACTCTGACCTCAGGTGATCCATCCACCTCGGCCTCCCAAAGTGCTGGGATTACAGGTGTGAACCACCATGCCCGGCCTCATATAAATTTTTTAATGAGCTCGTCAAAGGTTTCCTATGAAGAAACCTTGCTGAGTTTCTGATGTAAATAGTCTTGAATCTACAGATCAGTTTAAGGAGAATTGGTATCTTATGACACTGAATCTGTGAATATGGAATAATGTTCCGTTTATTTTGGCTTTTTTTTTTTTTTTTTTTTTTTTACTTTTTGAGACAGGGTCTTGCTTTGTCACCCAGGCTGGAGTGCAGTAGCATGAACAGGGCTCACTGCAGCCTCGACCTCCCAGGAACAAGCAATCCTCCTGCCTCTGCCTCCTAAGTAGCTGGGACTATAGGCCTGTGCCACCATGCCTGGCTAATATTTCTGTAGAGGCAGTGTTTGGTCATGTTGCCCAGGCTTGTCATGAACTCTTGAGCTTAAGCAATGTGCATGCCTCAGCCTCCTAAAGTGTTGGGATTACAGGCATAAGCCACAAAAGCATAAGGCTGTTTTGGTTTTCTTTAATGTTTCCTAATAAAATTCTAAATTTTTCTATATAAAGATCTTGTACACTTTTTGTTAAACGTATTCCTAGGTACTTCATATTTTTTGTTTCTATTATATATTGTTTCTATTTGTATCTTTTTTAAAAAATATTTTTCTAATCAATTTTTGATCTATAGACATGCAATTGAATTTTGTATATGAATTTTATAACCAGAAACCTTGTTAAGCTCACTTATTAATTGTAATAATTAACATGTAAATTCTGGATTATCTATGTGTGTAGCTTTATTAACTGTAAGTAACAAGAATTCTGCTTCTTCTCACTCCTTATAGCTTTTAATTCTTTTTCTAGCCTTAAATGTACTGTGTAGGACCTCTACGCAATGCTGAACAGAGCTAAAAATAAGCATCCTAGTCTTATCTCCAAATCCAAAGGAACTTTCTGTATTTTATCATTAAGTATCTATTATAGGTTTGGTTTTTTGTTTTTGTTAACACCCTTTATCGGGTAAAGAAAGTTCCTTTCTACGGCTACTTTGATCTGAGGTTTATTTATTTTATCACAAATGCTTTTTATTTTTATGTAGTCATTTTTTTTTTCTTTGAGACAGAGTCTCACTCTGTCACCCAGGTTGGAGTGCAGTGGTATGATCTTAGCTCACTGTAACCTCTGCCTCCTGGGCTCAGGTGATTTTCGTGTCTCAGCCTCCTGAGTAGCTGGGACCACAGATGCGTGCCACCATGCTCAACTAATTTTTTTACTTTTGGTAGAGACAGGGTTTTACCATGTTGCCCAGGCTGGTCTCAAACTCCTGGGTTCAAGTGATCCACCCACCTCAGCCTCCCAAAGTGTTGGGATTACAGGCGTATGTCACTGAGTCTGGCCCACAAATGCTTTTAAAATTTTATCAAATGCCTTTCTGAATCCATTGAGATGATCAATTCTTCTCCTTTAATCTGGGTAAGGTAATTCACCACATTATCAACTGTTTAATGTGTGCTAATCCCACTCTGTCATTAAGTATTAGGATTTGCATATATAGTTGAACTTGGTGTGCTAATACATACTTCAGGATAGGTAAGATTGGCCTTTCGTTTTCTGATACTGTCCTTCTATGGACATAATATCAAACTTATATACTAGCCTCATAAAATGAGTTGAGAAATGTCTCTTTTTTTATTCTATGGAAAAGAATTATAATACCATGTTTCACCCCCCCCCCCTTTTTAATCTAGTATACTGGTAAAGATGGATGAGGTCTTTGTAAAAGGATGCCTAGTTACTGGGGTACAATTCCTTTACTGGTGAAAGAATCAGGAGGGTTCTCTTATCTTACTGAGTAAGCTTTGGTAAGTTGTATTTTTAAGAAGAATTTAGCCATTTCTTCTAAGTTTTCAAGTTTGTATTGGAATAAAGTTATTACAATTTTTTTTTTTTTTCTTGAGAGACGGAGTCTCGCTGTTGCCAGGCTATAGTGCAGTGGTGTGATCTCGGCTCACTGCGACCTCCACCTCTTGGGTTCAAGCAATTCTCCTGCGTCAGTCTCCTGAGTAGCTGGGATTACAGGTGCGTGCCACCACACCCAGCTAATTTCTTTTGTATTTTAGTAGAGACGGGGTTTCACTGTGTTGCTCAGGCTGGTCTCGAACTCCTGAGCTCAGGCAATCCACCTGCCTCAGCCTCCCAAAGTGCAAGGATTACAGTCGTGAGCCACCATGCCTGGCCACAATTTTTTTTTGTCTAATTTCTCCAGCATTTGTGGTTATATCATCTTTCTCATCATTTGCATCACCTCAATCATCTGCATTTTAATTACAATTTTATTTTATTTTTAGAGACAGAGTCTCACTCTGACACACAGCCTGGAGCACAGTGGGGTGATCACAGCTCTCTGTAACCTTGACTTCTTGGGCTCAAGCAAGCCTCTCGCCTCAGTAACTAGGACTATAGGTATGTACCACCATACCCAGCTAACTTTTTAATTTTTTGTAGAATCGGGGTCTGCTATGTCATCCAGGCTGGTCTTGAACTCCTGGCCTCAAGCGATCCTCTGGCCTTGGCCTTCCAAAGTCTTCGGATTACAGGCATGAGCCACTGTGTCCAGCCTCGCATTTTTAAAAGTAATGAAATATATCTTTCAATTATGTTAGGCTTTAGTTTGTAGTGTGAACAGAGTTAGTATTTATTACCTTTCTGTTCTGTTCTCTGGTCCTCCAGTTCTTTCTTAGGAGTTTTGGGTTTTATTAATTCTTTGTCCCAGGCAGCCAAAGCTTGTTTTTCCATTTGACGAATTTCTGCTTCTTCTGCATCTAAACGTCGCTTCCACTCTAGGAGCTCCTCTGCATGTTGTCGCCGTTGCATTAATTTTTGCTCCCGCTTTGTCAGAAACCTATGGTCACACCATGAAGAACAGTTTGAGAGAACAAATCTATAGGCAGAGATCACTATGAGAGCTCTATCACTCACCACCTTATCAACAAGCTGTGCAAAAGCAGAACATTCATACTACTCTTCTTTCTGAAAAAGGCTTGAGATAATATAAGCTTTCATGAGTCAACTTATTCAGAAAATGAGGGAATTTATGTTTTACTCATAATGGTTTGTAAAGTTAGCAAAGGAAAAATAGCAGTATATTGAGAAAAAAAACCCTTCAGAATATCTAGACAACCATAATTGATAATGTTCATATTTATATATTCATTTTTTGTAGGTTATTCTTTTCTATAACAGAAGAGGTAAGGAATTTATTCTGAAGGCTCAGACCAGAAAACACACAAAACCCGAAACAACAAATACCAAAAATAATAAAAAACAAACCCAAAAGCCCCAAAACAAGCAAGCAAACAAAAAACATGTTCATGTCCCTTTTTTACTTTTATTTTAAAGTTCTGCCTGGCTTTGTTTCAGGTCTAATGAATTTTGTTTCTTCCATTACCTAAGAGATGCAATGTGAAGTGGTAAATCTTTTTTTCATGGAGAGAACATTGAGTACCACAGTCCATGTTTTATGCATATAAACCTATTTATTTACTTAAGTAAAGGTATGCATCAAATTCTCAATTTAACCTGATTTCTGAACTTAAATAGCCAATGATATCTTAGGCCCAAAGGGTTAGGAGAAATTACTGAGTTAGGAAAAATTACTTAGTTTAGAGGCTACTAATAAACCATCTTCGAATGTAGATGCCACGACTAAATAAAATGTGGGCTGCTCACATTACTAGTGTTATATCTATAGTGGTAGCTAACCAACAAAAATGCATACATGTATCGCACAAACACTAAAAAGCACAAGAACTGTCACTCTACTTCTTGAGCAATCATCATGTCAAATTAATGTGGAAACAAAAGGTAAAATTTATGGGACATTTGACAAGAGGCCTCCAGGCTGTTAAAAAAAAACAAAAGAGAGAGAGAGAAAAAAAAGCAAACAAAACAAACAAAAAGAACAGAGCATGCTCTATCAAAGAGTGCACTGAAAAAGGTGCAAAGTTACCTGACCAACTGGTTGTAGATATACAGCTGGAATTTGGGATGAAGGTTGGGAAAACAGACACTGAGAGAGGCCCAGTGATGAGACGTAAAGACAGAGAAGAAGTAGTGAACAGGAGAGCAGTGTCTACAAAATAAGGAGGAAGATTTTAAAACCAAGAGATCAAGAGGCAGAAAGAATGAGAAAGGGAAAGCGTGAGCTGAGTAAAGAAATTTTAATATGCTTCCTGAAGAACATTATAAGCGACTCAGTTAAAGCAGGCATTACACTCTGTGTGACATTTTTTAAAGTGTATTTTTATAGATCTTACCAATAATTCCTGAATAAACATGCCTTTCTTCTCAAATGTTGCTTAACTACCATCTGTATTTTCAGTTAAATTTACTTATTTGTGAGTAAATTAATAAGAAGTACACTGTGGGACTAAATTAGTTTTCAATTAAGCTTTAACAGACAGTACAACAATTATGGCCATGAACCTAGTATATCAACAACTCTACACACATACGTAATCCTGAGCAAGTGATTTTTAATCTGTACCTCGTCATGTATTTTAAAATACTACATTTGCCTTACTTAACCTTACCATCACAATCTAGCTTGAAAATAATACAATTTAGTAAACTGATTTACACAAAAATACCTTGTTCACCTCTACAATATAAAACTTACTGCTAAGAGGACCTACTGGAAGTATCTTGCTTTATATCTAACAAAGGCCCACTTAATTAATAATATTGAAATACAATACCCATTCTATAAGATATCAGGATGCATAATTAATAAAGTGAGTTACTCTCAATAAATACTGTCAGTAGAAAAAAAAAACTGATATGGATAGCTCAAGCATAAGGTTAAAGGTAAGAAGAACATTCCATTTTATAGTTATAAAAGCAGGAAAAAAACCCCACATTTTCTTCTTTTGTAATAGTAAATAGATCTGTGCGTGTGTGAATGGATTAAAAAGTCTAGTAGTACCTTTGGAAAGGTTAATTCTCTTTGACAGAGCATGCTCCTGTTCACATGCACACAACAATAACTTGTAGATCAAGGCAACATTTATTGCCTTGGAAGGGCAAGGAGTAATATAGTATGTCATAGAAGTGAGAAGATCTAGGTATAAATCCAGCAATTCATTTGGATTTTAAAAATTATGTATAATCTTGCCTATGTGTATTTTTTGATAACAGACTATTTCATTGTCTGTTTCATCACATATAACTCAGCATTTCATTTCCCCTTCACTTACACACACACACACACACAGACACACGCAAAAACACACACATTCATACCTGGATTGCCTTGATTTTCTGCATTGAAGTTCAAGAAAAACATTTTTGCTAAATTTCAAGTTAAGACATTACAATCTTCCTTGCCATTCTTTATGAACATACAATAAACTTATTTTGATGCCAATTATCAAAATATTATGCAAAACAAAGGTACTTGGCAAAAGGCTCAAAAATCTATTCATAACATTCAAATATTACCCACCCTCTTAAGTGTATAACTGCTAAATGCATGCATGACCTAGTACAAAAAGTAAAATAATATTGGAAAATGTGAAATAAACTTTAAAAATACGCAATTTAAACTTTTCCTCTAGCCCAATACAGAGAACAATAATTTTCCTCTACTAAAGATTAAGCACATTCAAAAGCTCTAGTTTAGGAATGAGGAACGAAATAACTAACTAATAGAAAATGAAAATAAAATAGTTTAAAAAAGTGTAAGAAAAGTTTAACTTAAAGTTAGAACTTCTTTCCATAAACACGTTCCTTATTAAATATAAATACATTCTATAAGGAGTGCCCTTTAAACGTTGAATAAAGTTGAGATAAAAGAGCATTACTTCACAATAGAATAAATAATCCTTCAAGATGCTACACAGAAAAGAAATAAAAATTGTGAATGATGCAGACATAAATGCCGACTAATACAAAATGCTTTTGATTGATGTCAACGCATTGCCCCAACAAGTCCTCTGATGGTAACGGAACACTGGACAAGAATAAGATATACAACAGATTTAGTCTAGTATGGAAATCATTAAGTTTTTTAAATGTTTGAACTTAAGGAATTAATGAGTACTTAATTAGCTCTTTTTTTTTTTTTTTGAGACAGAGTCTTGCTGTGTTGCCCAGGCTGGAGTGCAGTGGCACCATCTCGGTTCACTGCAACCTCCACCTTTCGGGTTCAGCGATTCTCCTGCCCCAGTCTCTGAAGTAGCTGGGATTAAAAGCACCTGCCACCATGCCTGGCTAATTTTTGTATTTTTTTTTTTTAGTAGAGACTGGGTTTCACCATGTTGGCGAGGCTGGTCTTGAACTCCTGACCTCAGGTGATCCACCTGCCTTAGCCTCCCAAAGTGCTGGGATTACAGGCCTGAGCCGCTGTGGCCAGCTTAATTCACTTTTTAAATTTTTTTTTTTTTTTGAGATGGAGTTTCACTTGTTTTGCCCAGACTGGTGTGCAATGGTGCAACCTCAGCTCACTGCAATCTCCGTCTCCCGAGTTCAAGAGATTCTCCTGCCTCAGTCTCTTGAGTAGCTGGGATTACAGGCATGCACCACCACGCCCGGCTAAGTTTTTGGATTTTTAGTAGAGATGGGGTTTTACCATGTGGACCAGGCTGGTCTTCAACTCCTGACCTCAGGTGATCCACCCACCTTGGCCTCCCAAAGTTGTGGGATTACAGGCATGAGCCACTGTGCCTGGCTTAATTCACTTTTTTTTTTTTTGAGATGGAGTCTTGTTCTGTCACCATGCTGGAGTGCAATGGTGTGATCTTGGCTCACTGCAACCTCTGACTCCCTGGTTCAAGCAATTCTCCTGCCTCAGCCTCCCGAGTAGCTGGGATTACAGGCACGTGCCACCACGCCCCGCTAATTTTTATATTTTTGGCAGAGACGGGGTTTCACCATGTTGGCCAGGATGGTCTCGATTTCCTGACCTCATGATCTGCCCACTTCGGCCTCCCAAAATGCTGGGATTACAGGCGTGAGCCACCGCGCTTGGCCTTAATTCACTTTTAAAGTCACACTTTCACATTCTGAACTTGCTCTGTACAGCTATTCAACTCCAGTAATTAGCCATCTAGCACTTTGCTAATTTCAACAAAATACTATTTAGAAGGATCAGTTTCCAATGAAGATAACTTTAAGTCATCAATTTAGGTTTTAAAAAAATCTATGAGGTTGAAAGCAGATATGCTAACCTAACTTTGACTTTAGCTAGCTGAACTCTGGAAAACAAGGTTCTAGTTTCAGCTCTGCCATTCTGCTGTGTGTGTGTGTGACCTGGGGAAAGTTACATAAACTTTGTGGGCCTCAATTTCTTCATGTAAAACAAAGGGACTATATTTTTACGGCTTCCCTAAGAGCCCTTCTAATTTTAACATTTTATGACTCTCCGTTGGACTATTTCCACTTATTTTGTACCTCAAAAGACTGTCAGACCATGTGACTGCTAGACCATGTGATGTAGGTGAGAACTTTTGTTGCCCACTGAGCTGATATAATTGTGGCCACATTCTAACAGATTATAAAATCATTCTATAATTTGAATAAAATTATAATCTAAATTTTAAATAGAACTCCTATGTCTAAAAATCCTTTCATTATAAAAGATATCAAAAAGAAACAAAATCTTAATACCTTCACAGAAGAAACATTTACAGTTCTGTATTTGTTTAGTATGTTACTGTGCTTCCATTATCATTAGTTACTCCACTGGAATACCAAGGAGTCCATGGACACCCTGGAATTGCATGTAAGATTGTATACATGTGTATATATGCATTTTTCTGAGGCAAGGTTCCAAAGCATTCGTCTGATTTACAAGTGAACTCAAGATCCCCAAAAAGTTAAGAATCATTGCTGTATTTGTACTGATCTTGAAGAAAATTACTGCTGCTTTATTAATGAATCCTTATGCAATGCTATGTATCTCCAAACTACTGAGACTACCTAGCTAAACTAAAACATTACTTTTTACTCTTCCCAAAACAAAACTCACAAAAAAACTTAATACCTTAAATCATTTTATTCCTTCTGGGTTTTTAATTCTATTACTGTTATAATTAAAAATGGAACATAGTGCTTTACATTTTAAAACGGATTATTTTGAGTATTTTAGCATCTTTAATAATAAAAAAACAGGAGGACAAATGAGGATACAGACAGTTTTGACCAAAAAGAAAATGTAGCTTAGGTCTGATTTTCTTTTTTCTTTTTTCTTTTTGAGACGGAGTCTGGCTCTGTCGCCCAGGCTGGAGTGCAGTGGCCAGATCCCAGCTCACTGCAAGCTCCACCTCCCGGGTTCACGCCATTCTCCTGCCTCAGCCTCCTGAGTAACTGGGACTACAGGCGCTGCCACCACGCCCGGCTAATTTTTTGTATTTTTAATAGAGACGGGGTTTCACCATGTTGGCCAGGATGGTCTCGATCTCCTGACTTCGTGATCTGCCCGTCTCGGCCTCCAGGTCTGATTTTCTATAGCAAAATCTATCCTATTACTTAAAATTATCTAATAATTTACATACACCTAAGTAAACAAAATAATACAGCACATTACTCCTGACCTAGGAATTCCTGCAGAGAACAAAAACAAAGTATCAGACTATCAGGATTTATTCAGCTACTATACGTAGACTAGAATGTTATCTAAGAAAATTCTATTCAATTTAAGGCAATGCTATTTAAGATTATTATTTAAAACAATCTAATTAAAATATCTCCTTTAATGGAATATCAAAAGCCTTCTCTTGAAAATCTTTCATTTTTAAAATTCATATTAATGGTGAAGATTTCGACATTGATCAGACAATAAATTTGGACAGAGACATGTCAAATTTATCAGACAATAAATTTGGACAGAGACATTTGGACAGAGAAATGTCATAAAATATTTATCTGCTTAACTTTTTGATCAATCATTTAAAACCAAATACATTAATTTTTCTCCTTTAACAGTTTTGTAAGCCAACTGGGAAGTGTAAAAAGAGTATTTAAAATGTTGTGACTAAAGGTTTCATCTTTCTATGCTACCATGGTCTGCAATGAATGACCAAACCAAAAAATAGCTATATACTTTCTGCCCCTTCTTTTGATGTTTGAAAGTACTTACTAATTCAACAATATATTTAACTCCCTCAGGAGGCTGAGTGGGGAGGATCACTTATACCCAGGAGTTTGAATTCAACCCTATTGTGGGCAACATAGTGAGACTCTTAAAAAAAGTACACTCATCCATGAAAATGTCCTTGACATATATCACACTGTCAGTAAGAATTTCTCTTTTCTGAACTTCCTTAACAATTGATCTAGATATACTTCTCTATATGAACCTGCCCCTCATTCTTTTTTATGTCTACACTCCAAGCTTGAGACCAGGGTTTAAGTCTGATTTATCTTGGTAACCCTCAGAACTTAGCATACTCACACAATAATCAATAAACAATTGCTGAGAGAGTAAGTGTATAATTAATAAATAATGTGGAAGAAGCAGCTACTGTTAACGAATGAAAGAAAAAATGCAGTGTCCTATTTTAAGTAATGAAACACTTAAAGATGAAGAAAACACCATTCTTGCAGTGTTTCGCTTGTTCCATAAACAGGAAGAGTCAATCGGGGTGTTTTTTCATGAATATCTGTTTCATGTTTATAGGCAATCCACTTAAATTGTAAATAATATCCCTTGCAGTAATAAAACTCAGATTTCACTTATCAATATAACCAAAAACACTGAGAGATATTCAGTTCATGGCTTATATCTATTGTATGTCTTTTGCAAACATGTTTCCATTATTATTAATGTCTTTCACATTTTGAATATTATTTTTTCCTTTTAATATGCTGATAAATGGAAATTATATGACATTTATAAAATGTCTACTCAACGAAGAGGTCAACAAAAGCCATGTTAGGAATATAACATATGGCTTTTAATATTCAACAAAGGCATTACTGTCTCAGTAAAAATAAAAAAAAAGGAAATCTTTCACTATAGCCAAAAATGATATGATCACTTCAGAAAAATATCTGTCATAAAATCAGAGTTCAGAAAGTTACCAATAAGCAATGACACAAAATGAAAAGGTTTCCCCTAAAAACTAGCTAAATTTACTGAGAAGGATGACTACTCTTTGGTGATTTATAACAATAAAATAGGAATGACTGCCTTTGCAAATCTATGGAACAAATAAGTTCCTGGTCAGGAAGTAGCAGAGGTTCAAATGATTTTGTCGTTAGGTGTCTACTGTAGCAAATGACTATGAAATTAACTGACTCTGTATTTATTGAGCTGACATTGAAGGAGATGAAACTATGGAGCTCTGATAATATAAATGGTATTTAAAAGCTAGTTTTCACATTACTTTGTTTCAGAGACTAAAAAACAGTGCATAACAATACTCTTCCTTTTCTATGCACCACCAATTTTGGAAAATACTTTAGTTCATCCTCAGATTTCTTTTTTTCGAGATTAAGTTTTGTTCTTGTTGCCCAGGCTGGAGTACAGGGGCGTGAGCTCAGCTCACTGCAACCTCCACCTCCCAGGTTCAAGTGATTCTCCTGCCTCAGCCTCCAGAGTAGCTGGGATTACAGCCATGTGTCACCGCGCCTGGCTAATTTTGTATTTTTAGTAGAGATGGGGTTTCACCATGTTGGCCATGGTTGATCTTGAATTCCTGACCACAGGGGATCTGCCCGCTTCGGCCTCCCATAGTGCTGGGATTACAGGCGTGAGCCACCAGGCCCAGCCACATCCTCAGATTTCAGCACCATCATTCAAACATTTCTTTGACACTACTGTCTTTATTCCTATCACAAACACAATTTCACTGCCTCAAACAGATCAAAAAGTCACTGAATGCTTCAATGCCTATTCTCCTTGACAAATCTCTCAAAAATCAATTGCCATAGTTGTCAAGGAAAGGTAGAGGAATAATACACACTCTAGGTGATTAATATTTTGGAGTATATTAAAATAATTAACAAAATTTGGAACAAAGTCAATAAATCCAAACTTAAACTTGTTATTTAGGATTTTTAAAGCTTTAACCAAATCTGAAATAAGCAGCCCAGAAACAGACTGACCTCAAGGGCAGACTAGAATTAACAGCTTTTTTCCTACAAAGGTGGTCAAATTAGGATATCATTCGTAGACACTGGCAATGAAGATTTTACTGAAATAGAACAGCAAGGGATCAATGAAGAAATCACCCTGACACTGTGTTCCCCCAACATTTACCACTCAAAGACATTTGTGGCAGATATAGAATGTCAAATTAGTGATAAAAATAGGAGAGATTATTCTAATTTTTATTTCAAAAGATTGCTGGAACAATACAGTATGCCCATATAGGCTACTGGAAATTTTTATCAGGAAAGGAAGAAAACATGTTTAATCTAAATTTTAATAAATTCCTACTTGAAGAAGCCTTTATCAGTCTATCCCATGGAAATCATCCAAAAGGAACATTCATTCATATATTTGTCAATACTTGGTTTCACCTCTTATATTTTTAATTTTTTAAAGCTATATTTAAGACATTTTCATAATCAATTTAGGTATTTTTAAGTTATGAAATGCCTTTCTTGCAATGAAGTGCCAATATAGAACTGCACCTACAGAAAGTAAGGATTTCACTTACAACTGCTTGACTGTTGCAAAACAAACTAAATCACAGATTGATTTAACATATAAATAGAGCATCATTAAATTTGGTGATGTGTGGTATACTGCCAAAGGTTATCAAATTAAAACTTAAATTCAATCTGTAGTAGTTCAAATTGCGAACTTAAAATGGGTAGTCAACAAAAATTTCTAATGAGTCTCTTTCATATTTAATGGGTTTCGAGGAAGCTAGATATGGGGTGGAGGTTACAGAGGCAAGAATACAGTCCACAAGCAGTTAATTTATAACCGTATTTAATTAAATATATACCCCAAAGAGTAAAAGTCTCACATAAATGTCATTTTATATGGTCAACACTGATGTACACCTGAGCTATATCTAAGTTGGAGTAGCTTTCTTTCAGAGTCTTTACACATTAATTCTTAGAACTATTTTAGAAGAAGGTTAGACTGCCAAATCAACATTCCTGGAAATTTTCAGCCTTTCTGCTTTTAGCTAAGGAACTCATACCTACTCACCAGGTTAAAATTTCATCTATTTGAATAAGCCTGAGAGGTGCCAGAGAGCCACAGGATGAAATGTCAGGATATACCATTAGTTGCTTCCCCAAATTATTAGACATGCCTTTCTTTTAGTAAAAGAAAGGGGAAAACTTTGTTATGGGTACACGTGCAGATACTTTTTTTTTTTTTTTTTGGAGACAGGGTCTAGCTCTGTCACCCTGGCTGGAGTGCAGTGGCACAATCATAGCTCACTGCAGCCTTGACCTCCTAGGCTCAAAGGATCCTCCCACCTCAGCCTCCCACATAGCTGAGACTACAGGCACATGGCACCATGTCCAGCTAATTTTATTTTTTTGTAGAGACAGGGGTCTCACTATGTTGCCCAGGTTGGTCTTGAACTCCTGGGCTCAGATGATCCTCCTGCCTCAGTTTCTCAAAGTGCTGGGATTATAGGTGTGAGTCACCACTCCGAGCCTTGTTTTTTGGTTTTTTAAAATAAGAAACCTGTTCGTATTAAAATTGTTTTATAAATAAGATCTACAGTTAATTGGCTTCTAACAATTCTGCTAAAATGCTACTGAATCCATAAAATATTTGTCTCAATCTAATGAAGTATATTACAAATGTTATTTGTTGTACTACTTTCAATGTAACTAAACAAGAGATATTTATACAAAACAAATTACTTTTCATCCATGCGGCTTCTCATTTTCTTCAGTTTCTGCATAATGCTGCTAGTTTCACTGCTGGAGATTGAAATGGGAGAAGGACTGCGGGTCTCCAAGTCAGTTGGACCAGGACTGGTTGCCTTATTATCCTTTGTATCTTCATCACTATGAGAGTCCTGCAAAAAAAAAAGAGGCAAAATTGTATTGGACTTTAATAGGACCTTGAAGTCATCATAATACTGTCAATTCAAAATTAAGTTTATCCACAATACAATGTTTATAACAAGAGTTGAAAATAAGATAATAAAGGACAAAATATATCACACACTTAAAAATGGTTAAACTAGTACATTTCACATTATGTATATTTTTACCACCATTTATATATAGAGAGAAAAAGAGAATATCACGTAATATTCGTAAAATATCATGTAAAAAAGAGAATATCATGTAATAATTTTAAAGAAATGTAAGAAATCCAAAAAAGCTTCTGCTATTAGTAATCTAGTATCTACACATCCTCTCTGAGATTTCAAAGTTGAACCACTCAAAAGGAATAAAAAAGTTAGATCTATAACTATATAAAACACACATGTACAGACACAAAGAATGACTGGAAGATGTAACATTTATTTTAATCATATGAGGGCAAGGGTTTTTTCCTTTGAATATTCCTTATGCAAAACTAGGTTTTCAAAAATTAAAAAAGTTTGTAAAGAAAACATCTGGAAACTATTAATCAATATATTATTTCTGATGAGCAAGAAGTAAAACTTTAATTGCTTAGTATGCCTTCCCCACAGTCATTTATTCTCCTAACTTTTCAGGAAGATGGGTAGGGACAGTCATGACTGTTTTTATTTTGTTAAAAAAAAAAAAAAAAAAAGTAGAGCCCTTGAGCTTCCCTTTCTTCCTCCTGAACAGTTCAGTCTTAAAGTCACTGGATGGGACAGAGCAAGGCAGGCATCTCTGTAGGGGTTGAGGGACACAGGAGGGCAAGAGTGGGGTCTCAGAACCTGAGCAGGATGAAGAGGGCATTTAATGCAGGCGGGTGGCTGGTAAGGAGAATCAGAGCCCAAGAAGGCCAACAAGAATGTCACATGGAAGTGACCCCACACACAATTGCAAGCCCAAACACAGTGAGGATGGCCTTACCACAGAGAACTTCCTAGCACAATAGCCAGAGTCCAAAGAGATAAGGAAGAGAAGGTATGAGGAGATGGGAACAGCCCAATTTGGGGAGTCAGAGCCCAGGTGGAATGAGAAGGGCAATCACTTTTAGGTAGTCTGCAGATTAAGTGGTAGTAATGTCTCAGTATTAATTTGTTGGCAACTTACTCTCAGATAACTCAGGATAACAGAATTTTTTGTACTGTTTGACATTTTTCTGTAAGTTTCAGATTTTTTCAAAATTTAAAGTTTACTTTAAAAATCAAAGCAGAGCGTATTAGGAATTTTAAAAATTATACTGCTATACAGTTTGAGTTTTCTCACACTATAATGACTTTTTTTTTTTTTTTGAGACAAGGTCTTGCTTTATCACCTAGGCTGGAGTGCAGTGGTGTGATCACAGCTTACTGCAGCCTCGGCCTGCTAGGCTGAAGCAATCCTCCCGCCTCGGCCTTGCAAGTAGCTGGGACTATAGGTGTATGCCACCATGCCCAGTTAATTTTTGTATTTTTTGTAGAGCTGGGTGTTTTGCCCTGTTGCCCAGGCTGATCTCAAACTCCTGAGCTCAAGCGATCTGCCCACCTAGGCCTCCCAAACTGTTGTGATTACAGGCGTGAGCCACGGCACCCAGCCCTACACTGACATTTTATAGTACCTTAGAATAGGTCCACTGAACATGGTGGCTCACACCTGTAATCCCAACACTCTGGGAGGCTAAGGCAGATGGATTGCTTGAGCCCAGGAGTTGGAGACCACCCTGAGCAACATGGCGAAACCCCATCTCTACAAAAAGTTCGCTGGGGGTGGAGGTGCATGCCTATAGTCCCAGCTACTGGGAAGGCTGAGGTGAGAGGATTACTTGACCCCTGGGAGGTCAAGCCTGCTGTGAGCTGTGATTGCACCATTTTATTCCAGTCTAGGTGATGGAGTGAAACCATGTCCTCCCCCGACAAAAAAAAAAAAAAGTTTCAAATTTTGTTTTTGTCTAATATCTCCTTTGAATCATGTATCATTGTATTAAAGTAGCTAAGATGAGTATCATGTAAATAGTAAAACAGTGTCCCCCATTAATTCTGAAGAATATATTTGGATTGATAAATAAGAGCAAAGCCCTCTGTTCCAATTTAGTTTGCAAGTGAAATATATACTAAATTAAACTAATATTGTATAAGAACTATGTGGCCCTTTCAAAATTTGAATATTCCATAGGAAAAAAATAAAACTCTCACTATACATTAGGGCATTACTACGGTTTGAATGTTTGCCCCCTCTGTAACTCATGTTGAATCTTAATTTTCATTGTAACATTAAGACAGTGGGAAATCAGACTATGGTATTTGAGAGGTAGAACTTTTGAAAGGTAATTAGAAATAGACGATGTCATAAGGGCTGGACTTTAGTGGCTTAATAAGAAAGAGAGGATTGAGTTAGCACGCTCAGCCCCCATGTCATGTGATGCCCTGCATCACCCCTTGGGACTCTGTGGAGAGTCCCTACCAGCAAGAAGGCCCTCACTAGATGTGGCACCTTGACCTTGAACTTCTCACCTTCCAGAACTGTAAGAAAAAATTTTGCTCCTTTATAAATTACCCAGTCTTAGGTATTCAGTTATAGCAACAGAAAATGGACTAAGACTGGCCCATCCATAGAACTTTATCCTAGTTCATTATTGTATCATACTGTTTGAATGACTATCATCTTAGAACATGAGACAGGGTGAGATACTGGCAATCAACCTAAGACAGGAAACAAATAACAACTTCATGTAGTTTACCAATTTACTCTCTCCTGCAGACTTCAACTTCTCCTGCAGTTTTATGGTGGTCTGTCGGATCCTTTCTATCTCCTCCTGCTGTTTAAGAATCAGCTGTCTTTCCTTCCGAGCTGCCTTATTGGCTTCTTGAAGACGTTTTATTTCTGCCTAAGGTTTAAAGAGTTAAGACAGGGATCAAGATTGGGGGAAGACAAGGCCAGAGTAATATTTAAAAAAAAAATCACATATATTAAAAACAAATACATATAGTATTTTATAACAAAAGTATTAATACTGAAAAGTTTAAAAAATAATGAGGGAGGAAATAAATCACATACAATCCCACCATTCTAAAATATTTTAATATGATCCCTTAATTTTATTTAAATTATAATTAGACTGATAATTTAATATCCCATTTTAAAACATACATTTCACATTTTTCCATAATGCTACTTAATGTTTACACTTACTAGTTTAACAGCTGCTTATCAAGTAAACTAATTAATGTAACTATTATTCTATTGCTAAACTTTTAGGCCCCTATAATGTTTTACTATCCCAAATAATGCTTTAATGCCCATACCACAGACTAGTTCTTTAGGAGAGATTTCTAAAAGTAAAATAAACAAGTCAAAGACAATGAATCATTTTATGGTTCTTAAAAACAGTTTTTAAAATTGCTTTCAAAAAAGGACTGCCCCCGCCTACAATGCTACCAGAAACATTTAAGACTACATTGCATCAATCTCTCTCCACACAGAATACTAAGTTTTCAATTGCTATGTGGGCAGAAGATAACACATTTCACTGCTAATAATTGTCAAAATTTAACAGATAATCCTTTTTTAAAAATAAATTTGTTTTAAATCTGTTTTTTTGGTTAGATATGTTGGCTCACACCTGTAATCCTAGCACTTTGGGAGGCCAAGGCAGGCAGATCACTTGAGCCCAGGAGTTGACTAGCCTGGGCAACACGGTGAAACCCCACCTTTACAAAAGATACAAAAATTAGCCAGGCATGGTGGCACTCACCTGTGGTCCCAGCTACTTGGGAGGCTGAGGTGGGAGGATCAACCTGAGCCCAGGAGGTCAAGGTTGCAGTGAGCCAAAATCACGCCACTGCCCTCCAGCCCAGGAAACAGAGTGAGACCCTGTCTCAATCAATCAATCAATCAATCAATCAATGTTTTCTTATTAATAAAGCATAATAAAGACATTAAAATTTGTAGCTATAATTTTTTTAATCATTGAGATTTTTTGAAACTACCTTAAAATGCAAAAAAGTGCTCTGTAAACATCTACACTTCCAAAACATCAAATTAACAATTGTTAATATTCAGTTATATTTTCTCCAAGTCTTTAATCCTGCAAAGAAATAAAACATTACAGATAAAACTAGTCTGCAATCTTGTGCCCCAACTCCTCAGAGGTAACAACTATCATGGGTTTGGTATCTATCCTTCCAGCACATTCTTTTTAAATTATTCTAAAAATATTTGTGCTTATCTGTAAACAAAAAGATACACTATTTGGTTTGTATGTTTAAAAATATTTTATAAATATCATATGTATATGTTTTAAATCTTGCTTTACTAGATATCACTTTTGATATTTTGCCAGCTAATTTATGCCTTTTAATGCTGCATAAAATTAGAGTGGAGAACCATATGTTTATCTATTACCCATATGGTAGGATTATTTTTATTTTTAAAATTTTTTAGAGACAAGGTCTTGCTCTGTTGCCCAGGCTGGAGTACAGTGGCTCAATCACAGCTCAATGCAGCCTCAAACTTGTGGGCTCAAGTGATCTTCCCACCTTAGCCTCCCAAGTAGCTAGGACTACAAGCACGTGCCACCATGCATAGCTAATTTTTATTTTATTTTTTTGTAGACACAGGGTCTTGCTATGTTGCCCAGGGTGGTCTCAAACTCCTGGCCTCAAGTGATGCGTCTGCTTTGGCCTCCCAAAGTACTGGGATTATAGGTGTAGCCACCGTGCCCACCCCATATGGTGAGATTTTAAGGTTGTTGTTTATTTTTTACTATTGTACAAACAATGCTGTAACTGAACAGCCTTATATATTTTGTCTTCTTGGGCACATTTATAAATTTTTCTGGAGTAGTAGTTCTCAAAGTGTGCTCTATGGAGTCCCTGGAAGTCTTGAGACCCTGTCAGGGGACTCTGAGCATCAAACCATTTTTTATAATACTAAATACATTATGAGCAAATATATTATTTGCTCTTTATTCTCATTCCCTAATGAGTATACAATGGTTGTGTACATTTTAAAGAAAGTAACTATATTTTCCAAAACAAAAAATAATTTAGTGAAAAGAATGATATTTTAGCGTTTTGCATATCTCTTTATCGTCTAGCTTGATTTTTTTTAACATTGTGCATTGATCACTGGGAAAATGTTGGTTCACTAAGTTATGCGGATTTTCTAAATGTTGACACACTTCATTATGCAATATCAAACAGTTATACTCATGAATATCACCATTAATCTCAAAAGAAAAATTATTTTGGGTGGGCAATGGAAATTTTTCAGAATCCTGACTTGTGTGTGAAAGCTTGAATTTTATCATTGGCAATACATGCTGTCGGTTATTTTTTTGAAGTGACAGGGATACTTGCTTCGTTTTTGAGAAAACCATTTGTCAAATAACCAAATCTGAATTAGCAGAGTTTGCCTTGAATCATTCTTTCAAGTAAAAATGCTATTCCATGAAAAAAATTTTTAAAAAAAGCTCACAATTCAAACAAGCGCACAAATACTTCTCCTTGAATTAATCACTATATTCTGGTATCGAGCAAAGGTGTCTGATTATGGATTTCCCGTTTCTGTCACACAGAATACAAAAAAGACATGTACTCAAGAGTTTAAGACAATAAAATTAATAATTCTTACTACTCAATCAGGACATTCTAAATGAAACTTGCTTTCTTTAACTGCAAGTAAGTGGCATGAAGAATAAGACAATTACCAATACGGTTTGGTGCCACTGACTTGTGCTAAAGCACCAGCAGTTTTACTCAGCATTGTTTTCTCCTATTTAGTGCAAATGTCAACACAGTGAAAAGGGTAAATTCATATCAGAGTATCATTATGAAAATAGTTTTGATCTTCCAGACCTGTGAAAGGGTCTTAGAGGCCAGAGTTTCACAAAGTACATTTTGAAACTTCCACTAACTTAGGCCTGAGTTTCTGAACCAAATAATGTATAAATTCACCCAATTCAAGCCTAGAAGAAAAAAAAGACAATTTCTAAGGAATACTTGGGAAACAAGGTTTGCTCCTCTTGTAAGAACACACAAAGTTTTACAAATGAATTGCTTACTTTAAAATGGTGAATAGTATAAGTGAATTATTCACTTTATTAAAATGGTTATTTTTATGTGTTATGAATATCACTTCAGGGAGGGTAAAACTAGTAAGACATAGGAAAATACGGTCTCTCTTTTTTGGAAACAGTTGTACCAAATTGCTTAGAGCCAGCCATTTCACTATCAGTCAAAAGAACTCTTTCTGCTACAGTTGCAATAGATATCTTAGCACATATATTCTTACACTTTGGTTCTTTCAACCTTACAAGGCAACTTTTCAGGGGTAACCAATTGGATCAAAGAGTATATTTTGCACATTTACTTAAAAAATTCTTAAGTATTACAAAAAGAAAAAGTAGTCACTCATATCCCTACCACTGGCATCAAACATATTTAACAGTTTGCACATTTGTTTCAAACATGTTATCTATAGATAAACATAGATGAAACCAAACTCCATGCCAATCTCTTCCTCCTTCTTCTCTTCCCCAGAAGTGTATCATTCCTATATGTGGTTTTTTGCTTTTGATGCATGAGTGGTTCCACAGAACATATACTACTAATTGGTTACATTAAAAAAATTTACATGACTGGTATAATACTGTATATATTCTTTGCATCTTGCTTTTCTATAAAAAAGAACATTATGGTTTTTGGTAAAGGAAGATCTACTGCTACACTCTCCAGTATGACAGCTTCTAGCTACATGTGGCTAGTAGCTACAGTATTGGACAACACAGATATAGAAAATTACTATCATTTCAGATACCTCTATAGACAGTGCTGACATCTAATACATTCAGTTTCCTGTAGTACTATACTTTCTTGCAAGAATATGTTTTATTTCATCTATTCTTTTATTGAAGAAATTAAGTTGTTTCCATTTTCCTCTGCACATATGTGAAAGCTTTTTTAGGATATATACCAAGACAGAACTGCTGAGTCATATATCATATATGTCCTCAACTGAACCAGGTAGTGGCAATTGCTCTCAACTCAAAGTGGTTACACCAGTCAACACTCTAACCAGCTATACAGAGCTGCAGTGACAAAACTGGAGACTCAGGAGATCTTAAACTCACATTCTCCTCAAAGCAGTTGTCAAGTTCTGAAGGAGCACATAGAGGGCTAAGGAGTTAACCCAGAAAAGTCTTGAAAGCAGAGCAGAAATCCCCAGTCTCTTGTGCTGAGTAAAAAATTTTATCTGGGTTTCCAGTGAAGCCCAGGAGAGCCCCAACCCAGGGACAATGCAAACCAGATGTAGACTGAGGCTTACCAACTCTACAACCCAACCCTAACCCAGCACAATCTTTGAATTAAGATGAACAGTTGATAACTCTAATAAAATAGCAAAAGGAAGGATAAATCCTCTCTGGGGGAAGAGACCATCAGCTGGAGCCTTTGCAGTTATTTATATACTGCTGTCTAGTACTCAATAAAAAAATTACTAGGCATGCAAAGAAAATGAGCCATACGATAGTTAAAAAAAAAAAAAAAAAAAGAAAACAGACAATAGTAATAATAGAGGCACAGATGGCTACATATAAGCAGACAGGGAAGAAATAACAGTACAGAAAATTAAAATAACTATGGATAATATGTAGAAAAAGATAGAAAAGTAGGCCGGGCACAGTGGCTCATGCCTGTAATCCCGGCACTTTGGGAAGCCAAGGCGGGTGGATCACCTGAGGTCAGGTGATGGCCAACATGGTGAAACCCCATCTCTACAAAAAATACAAAAAAATTAGCTGGGTGTGGTGGCACACACCTGTAATCCCAGCTACTCAGGAGGCTGAGGCAGGGTTTGCAGTGAGCCAAGATCACACCATTGTACTCTAGCCTAGGCAGGAAGAGTGAAACTCTGTCTCAAAAACAAAAACAAAAACAAAAACAAAAACAAAAACCAAGTAGATTAAAGGGTAGAAAATTTCAACAGACTGAAAATCTATTTTAAAAAGAATAAAATTGGGTATTATAGAACTAAAACACTAAAACAGATCAAATTAAGAACTCACTGGAGAGACTTAGCAGTACATTGGGCAAAGTAGAAGACATACTAATGAATTCAAAGACAGGTCAATAAAAACTTTCCAAACTGAAGCACAGTGTTTTTAGTTTTTAATTTGTTTGTTTTAAGGAATAAAATACAAACAAGACAGAGGAAAGGGATGTGGCAAATGGTCAAAAGGTCTAACCTATGTCTAATTGAAGTCCCTGAAGTAAAAGAGAAAAAGAATGAGGCAGAAGTGGCCAGGCACAGTAGCTCACACCTGTAATCCCAGTACTCTGGGAGGCCAAGGTTGGGGGATCACTTGAGTCTAGGAGTTCAAGACCAGCCTGGGCAACATGGTGAAACCCCATCTCTACAAAAAATTACCTGGCACTGGTGGCGCACACCTGTGGTCCCAGCTACAGGGGAGGCTTGGGTGAGTGGACTGCTTGAGCCCCGGATGCAGAGGTTGCAGTGAGCTGAGATCGTGCCACTGTACTCCAGCCTGGGCAACTGAGTGGGACCTTGTCTCACCAAAAAAAAAAAAAAAAAAGGGGGAGGTGGGAGCAGAAGCAATACACGAAGAGACAGTTTCTGAAAAACTGATTAAATAAAACAACCAATACAAGAAGCTCAGCAAATCTTAAACAGGATGAATACAAAGGAAACCACGCCTACATGCATCATAGTAAAACTACTGAAAAATTGGATAATTTAAAAATAATCTTAAAAGGAACCTTCAAAAGAACAAGATTAAGATAACTGACCTCTCCACATAAACAATAAAAGCAGTAAATAATGGAAAAATATCTTTAAAAGTGCTGAAAGAAAATAATTTTATGCCTATTAAAAATATTCTTCAAACATAAAGGTGAAACAAATACATTTTCAAACTAATCAAAACAAAAAATGTGTTATTAGCAGGCATGCAATAAAATACCAGACGTATTAAAATGAAAAATTTTATACTTCAAAGGATACTATCAAGAAAGTGAAAAGAAACCCCACAGAATGAGGGATAAATTTATAAATCTTGTTTTCATTTTATTTTATAACAGAAAGCTACTGTAACATTATAGAAAGTTATTTACTTATTTTAACTAAGAAAAAATTTTATTTTAAAATCAATTTTTTGGATTAAAAACACACAACTTTTTTTTTAATAGAATTCAGAATTTATTCAAATTCATATCATCTGTAACGTTTCCTGGGATAAACATATAACTAAGTAATAAGCCAATATATAATTCAGATAATTAGGTTCCTAAATCATTTAACATAGTAGCTAGCACCTGACAACAGGTTAATATGGAAAAAAATAACTAGAATCTATTGAATACTTACCAGGCACAGTGAAACACATTTTACATATGTTACCTCATTTAATCCTCACAACCACCATATGAAGTATAATCCCACTCCTACAGATGAGGAAATTAAGTCTCAGAGAGTTACTTAAACTTTGACCGTGATTACACAGTTGCAAGTGACAACACTGGAATTCAAATAATAGCAACTAACATTTATTGAGCACTTACCATTGTGCCACGGTCTGCTCTAAGTTTATTTTATGTATTAACTCACTTATTCCTCAAAACAACCCTATAAAGTATGTTACTATTATTATCTTCAGTTTACAGATGAGGAAACTGAGACACAGAGAACTTAAGTAACTTGTTCCAGGTTATGAAACCAGCAACTGGTAAAGCTGGGATTTTAGCCTAGGAAATCTAACTCCAGAGCCTGAATTCTTTACCACTACACCACCATGCTGCCTCTCCAGAATTCAAAACTAAGGTCTTTCTAAGTCCATTAAGCCAAAATATTTATCAATATGTAATTAATATGTCATGAAAGTCTAGGGAAACAATAATTTAAAATTTAATCCAAATAGATTCTTTTACACATATCTTAATTTTTAAAATATGTATTTCAAAAGAGTATTTTTCTTTTACTTACTACATGAAGGTAGAAAGTTTGCCTGTGTATTTTATTAATCTAGCAGTGACACACAATCCTAATTTGGGAGAAATACAGTCGATTATCAAGCAACCCCTATAAGTATAGTAGTATGAACATAAACAGCGGAAGTATCAACTAAATCTCATTTAAGGCAATAATAAGGAAAAACAATCAGGCAAAATAATAGATTCCATAAACTAACTTGCCTTATAAGCTATCCTAAAGGGGTGTCTTCCCTAACATACCTTTTCTTGCTGCAACCTTAAAAGCAAACCACGCTGTTTCTTCCGGAGTGGGGGCATTTTATCATCCTCTCCTTTGTCTCGTAGATGTCTGCAAATAATATTTTTCATTCAGACAAAGATTTGATTAAATTTCTCTTACCTGAATGTCAAGAATTCTTGACTACTAAAAAGTCTACAAACCAATTTAACATTTTCAAATGTGAAAAGCAGTTGCTACATGTAGCTGTAACCATTCATATCCGAATAAGTATTTTACTGAGGTATATGCAAGCCCTAGAATGTGTCCTCTGAAGACAGAAGGACTTTGGGAAATTTACAATATTGTATCATATGACAACATAAGATTACAGTCAGTTAAGTGGTAAAAGAGGAATGCAAAGAAAATGTTATGTGGGTAGGAGGAGGTCTTGAAAGAAATACAAATCAAATATGACTGCCATACTTCTAGCTTGAGAAACTGGGTTGCTCAAATCAAATCAAATGAGGAAACAAAAACATCTTAAAATATAAAGCATTCTGTTTTATGAAGAAATTAGTGAAAACTCTACTCACTGAAAGAACTTACTTTTTTTGATGCTCTAACCAGGCCAACTCAGCCTTAGTCTTCTCCTTCAAGGCCTTTTCGCGGAGACGCAGGAGTGAAGACTGGTGAGCTGCCCTCATTTCTTCTTCTTTCATATACTGTCGAACCATCTCCATAGTAAATTTAGAAAAGCTATCTTGTCCTCCTGAGAATGGCATGTTCAGTTCCTAAAGTAGATGGTTTCTTTCTTGTTTATCATCATCTAACCTTTTGGTACTTAACTCCACTAAAAGAGGTATGCATTTACAAAAGCAAACTATGTATTTAACAAGGCCATCAACAATGTAAGAGAATATTCTTTAAAAAGGCACATGAGGCAGATTAACATTCATCTGCTAATTTACTCAGCCAATAAAATTTTAATAAACTATTGCAAGCCAATTACTGTCCCAAGGATCCAAAGTGGGATAAGAATTTGTTTCTGCTAACCAAAAAGCATACAATTTGGTAAGAACGAACGTAAATTTCTAAATGGAATTCAGCATTAGAAGAGTGAAGCAAGTACAAAAGCTAGAGAGATAATATTGGCTCAGAACCTCAAAGGCCTCATATATCATTCCAAAAAATAAGTTTGTATTGTACTATGTAAGGAAAGTGAAGCCAGATTTCATAGGAAAACTATAAAATAAAATTGATATCTTAGAAAAATCATTCTAGTAGCTGACAAATGAGACAAGTACAAAATGTTTTCTCATATCTTTGAGAGAACATATCCACAACCATTTACCTCCACAGATAAAGTGAAACACACCTTGGCAGTAGACAGTGTAGTTTTTTCTGGAGAAGCTTCTTCATCAGAGTCATCATGATGACCTCTTCTCTTTTCCATATTAAATCTGCGGTGACTCTCTGAAGGTAGTAATGATCGAAATGATTGTTCTTCTATTTCATCTTCTGTCATGGATTCATCAAATTTCAGAGAATATTCTGTTGCAATAGATGTTGAGTCTAAAAGAATAAGGAGAAAGTAGATTTTATCATTATAACTGTTCTCAGTAGGTATTCAATTAGTAGCCCTTTGCCTCTTTATGGGACAATCCAACATAAATTCATAAAACTGATCACTAAAAAATAGACATGAAATATTAAAATTCATTTGCCTTACAAGCAAGGAAAAAACCTCTAAAAATACCTAGAAATATTAGGTTAAGAAATATAAAGATTAATGTTGCAAAAAATTTAGAGAGCTCTTACAAATCAATTAGAAAACCACTAATGCACCTATAGAAAAATGAAAAAAGGTCAGATCAGATGCTTTACAAAGCAAATATAAATAGTAAAAGTGAAAAACTGTTTAACATTACTATCAATCAAAGAAATGCAAGCAAAAATATCTTTTTAAAAAACTCATTAATTCCAAGTTTAATTAGAATATGACAGCTCTTTCAGGCTGGTTCCTGTGTGCCTTTGACACGGTTTTTTTGTTTTTGTTTTTGTTTTTTTTTTAATTGAATACTTCTTCACTTTCTGGTACTACAAGATACTCCAGGCTCAAATTGTATTTTCCCTACAGCCCTAGAATCAGCTATTTCTCCAAAAAGCTCTTATTTATTTTATTAAGGAATGATACTTAGAAACCACAATCTAGGGGCCAGGCACAGTGGCTCATACCTGCAATCCCAGCATTTTGGGATGCCAAGGTGGGAGGATCCCTCGAGGCCAGGAGTTTGAGACCAGCCTGGGTGACAGAGCAAGACCCCATCTCTTAAAAAAATCAGAAAGAAAGAAAGAATTTGTAGGCACTAGTTGTCCTTGTTACTACGGGTGTATCACTGCTTCTGCACTTGCTCAGTGGACAGAGCTAGGTAATATATGGATGTATATTAATCCATGTGTACAAGTGTGTGCACATACTTACGCACACAATTACAATTGCTTTTGTATCCATTCAGTCAGCCAGCTAAACATGAATTCATACTTATGTCTATGATCCAGTACCAGAGTTCATTCTAGTCTTCCTTTCTTGTGTATCTTCCCTTCCAATACTGAGAAACACGGCTCCCACCATCCAACACTCATTTACTTATTTGTTCAAACCCAATATATACGTAAAGAACTGTTAACCTGTACCCCCGTGAAAAACTATTATCCAACTAGAGTATAGGTTTATGTACCGTTCCTTTTGTATTAGGCTTATATTAACAGTTTCCACTCAAGACACCATTTTCCAAAGTTACTTACTTAGGTCAGCTCTTTTCCCTAACTGCTTCAATGTCGTTATGCCATATATTTGTAATACAGTTAGATCCATTTATCACAGGCTGCGTTCCATTTTGGGATCTCCCAATATCCTGATTCATGTGTGTGTTTGCATGATTAGTTCACAGATACTAAAATTTACTCATTGTGATACACAGTTCCAAGGTTTTGACAAATACACAGCATCATAGAGAACATACATACATACAGAACAACTACTCTATGTAACAGTTCCTTCACCCTAAACGTCCCTCCATGCATCCTCTTTGCAGTCAACTACTTCCTCTTCCCCCTAATGCCTAGAAACCAATTGTTTTCCATCTCTTTAGTTGTGCCTTTTACATACTGTCATATAAATTGAATCATATTATAACAGATAGATTTTTGGGGCCTGCTTTTTCACTTCGTAAAATTCACTTAAAATTCGTCCAAGTGCGCTCCCTTCAATAGCTCCCCTGGTAGAGGCGAGGTCTGGTAGAGCGCAGGACTGTAAAATTTGTCCATGTTGTTGCATGAATCAAAAGATTATTCCTTTTAATAGCTGAATAGTATTTCATCGTATGGATGTACCAGTTTATTTATCCATTTCCCTAGTAAAGGACATCTTGATTGCTTATAGTTCTTAGCAATTATGAATATGCTATGAACATCAGTATATAGGTTTTTATGTAGACGTAAATTTTCAGATTACTCAGTAAATACCCAGGCATGTGATTGCTGGATTGTATGGTTAAGTCTTACAAGACACTATGAAACTATCTTCCACGGTGACCATATAATTTTCCATTCTCACCAACAATGTATGCAAGTTCCTGTTGCTCTGCATCCTTGTCATCAATTTATTATTGTCCGTTTTTCTGATAGTCATTCTAGTAATGTGTTATAGTATCCTGTGATTTCAATTTTAATTTCTCTAATGATATATGTGGTTGAAGACTTTTTCCTGTGTCTATGTGCCATCTGCATATTTTCTTCAATAAAGTATCTGTTCAGATCTTCTGTACATTTTAAAAATTGAGTTGTTTTTCCTATTATTGACATTTTTTTTTTTTTTTTTTTTTGAGACAGAATCTCTCTCTTGTTGCCCAGGCTGGAGTGCAGTGGCACAATCTCGGCTCACTGCAACCTCCACCTCCAAGGTTTGAGCAATTCTCCTGCTTCAGCCTCCTGAGTAGCTGGGACTACAGGTGCGTACCACCATGCCCAGATAATTTTTGCATTTTTAGTAGAGATGAGGTTTCACCATATTAGCCAGGCTGGTCTCGAAATCCTGACCTTAGGTGATCTGCCTGCCTCAGCCTCCCAAAGTGCTGGGATTTCAGGTATGAGCCACCACACCCAGCCTTCTATTATTGAGTTTCAAGAGTTCTTTACATACTCTAGATAGAAATCCTTTATCAAATACGTGATTTGGAAATATTTTCTCCCAATCTGTGGCTTGTCTTTTCATTCTCTTCACAATGTCTTTCACAGAGTGGAAGTTTTTAAATTCTGATAAAGCACAATTCATCAATTTTTTCTTTCACAGATCATACCTTGAAGTGTTACATACCTGAGAAGTCATCACCAAACCGAATGTTGCCTAGATTTATATTTTCTCCTACGTAGGAGGTTTTTAAGGGTTTCGTTCTTTGGATAGTGGCTGCCCTGTGAATTCTAGCTGTCTTGGCTTCTTCAGATTCCTAACTCAATTTCCTCAACTCAAGAAGACCACTGGGCTCCATGCTCTGTAGTCTGGAAACTCCCTGGGCAGTAAACTGGTAGAACTGTAGCACTCATTTGTTTCCAGTCTCTCATGAATCAACACAATTCACTGCCTGAGGCCCACTGTCTTAAAAGTAGTTACTTCATGTTTTGCCTGATATTTTACTTGCTTTAAGTGGGAAGCAGGCTGGGCGCAGTTGCTCAGACCTGTAATCCCAGCACTTTGGGAGGCCAAGGCGGGCGGATCATGAGTTCAGGAGTTCGAGACCAGCCTGACCAGTACGGTGAAACCCTGTCTCTACTAAAAATACAAAAATTAGCCAGGCGTTGTGGCATATGCCTATAATCCCAGCTACTCAGGAGGCTGAGGCAGGAGAATTGCTTGAACCCAGGAGGCAGAGGTTCCTGTGAGCTGAGATCATGCCACTGCACTCCAGCCTGGTGACAGAGCAAGATTCTGTCTCACAAAAATAAATAAATAAATAAATAAATAAATAAATAAATAAATAAATAATGAAAAAAAAAGAGGGTAAGCAAATCTGGTCCCTGTTGTTCCATCATGGCCAGAAGTAGCAGCAGTCCAACTAATACATTTCTGTTTTTGTATTTCTGCTAGTCAAGTAAAGCACTGGGCAAGTAATTCAATATTGTTTAAAGAAGTTAAATAAAGTCACTGTTCATGATATTTTAAAACAGTCACTTGAAAATTATTTATTCACTGTTATTGGAAGCCCAGGCACCATGGTACAAACAAGTCACACATGGTTACTGTGTTTCCTTCTAAGGCTTACAAATATTATCTACAATTAAATTTGTCATCAGTGCTTTAATTAGAAACACTATATTATTCATGAGATAAAGTTTAGTAAATATTAATGAAATAAAGTTAGAAATCTCCTCAGCTAAGTATCCAAATACATCACTTTTCATGTCTACATTCCAAAATACTAGAACACAGTTGTAGTCAAGTTGTCTGCCACTTTATTTACTTATTTAATTTTTTTTTGAGACAGGGTCTTGCTCTGTTGCCGAAGCTGGAGTGCTATGGTTCAATCACAGCTCACTGTAGACTTGATCTCCTAGGCTAAAGTGATTCTCCCATCTCAGCCTCTCACATACTAGGACCATAGGCTGTGCCACCAAGCCCGGCTAATTTTTAATTGTTTTATAGAGACAGGGGTCTCCCTATGTTTCCCTGGATGGTTTCAAACTCCTAGGCTCAGGCAATTCTCCCACCTCAGCCTCCCAAAGTGCTGGAATTACTGGCATGAGCCACCGCATACAGCTTATTTGCTACTTTATAACAAGGATCCCCTTTTCTCTGGTTTCCGAACAAATGGTTACACATTTATTTGCAAAGAAAGTTACCTTTTTCATCAGGAAGAGACGGAACGCTATCACTTCGTAGAGAATCATCTGCAGCAGTCTGAATCTGTTCATCAATGGAACTCTCTATCTTTTCACCATTAAGTTTCTTCTCATTTTCCTGACAAGATGGAGCTGAAGGACTTTCTTGGCGGCTGTTACCACTACTGCTTCTTTTTATAGATACATGGAAACAACAACAACAAAATTAACAAAATAAGGATTATAGCTTCACAGTAAACTTATTTAGCCAAATGACTGTACTTTATAGTCAAGATAAAAATGAAGAAAGATGTAATATAAAACAGAAAAAGTGAAGTAACATAAGTCTGAGAATATTTTGGAAAAGATGAGAAACATGAGTAGGAAAGAGGAAGGTTTCGTGTTTGAATAATCATAATAGGCAGTGTTGCTAGGTTATCACTCCCTTTTTTCCCTTCGTTTCAAAATCAAACTTCTGGGAAAGGGAGCTACTGCTCACTGTTTCTACATCTTTACTTTTCATTAACATCACAGTTTATCACAATCTGCTTCCATCCCAACTGCTCTACTAAAACTATTCTGAATAAGCTTCATCTATACTTTGAATTGCTAAATCCAATGGATAATTTATTGCTTTGCAACATTAGATGTTGACAATATCTCCTTTAAAAGCTCTACTTGCTAAACAAAATACAGTAAAAGGTTAGGATAATCTGGATGAAAGCTATTTGAGGACTTTCTATTATTCTTGCAACTTTTCTGTAAGCTTGAAATCATGTCAACATTCTTATATCCTATGACTTTACTCTCACCTGCTTCTCTTCCCAACTCTCTAACAAGCTTTCCTTGTTTCTTTCATTTGCTTTAAATTTTTCTGTCTTTCCTTAAATTGATGGTTTTGTTTTGGTCCTTTTCTAACTTTTTTTTTTGAGAAGGAGTCTCACTCTGTCGCCCAGGCTGGAGTGCAGTGGCACGATCTTGGCTAACTGCAACCTCCACTTCCCGGATTCAAGAGATTATCCTGCCTCAGTATCCCGAGTAGCTGGGATTACAGGCATGTGCCACAACACCCAGCTAATTTTTTTTTGTATTTTTAGTAGAGATTGGGCTTCGCCATGTTGGCCAGGCTGGTCTCCAACCCCTAACCTCAGATGATCCACCCGCCTCGGCCTCCCAAAGTGCTGGTATTACAGATATAAGCTACCACGCCGGCCCTCTTTCTATTTTATACTACATGTTCTCCTTGGGCAATCTTAACCATGACTTCAACTACTATCATTTAGAGTGAGTCTCAAATTTGTATCACTATCTTTGCCCTTTCCTTGATTTTAAGCTTCAAGTGTTGAAATGCCATGTGAACTTCTGATTTTGGCTATTCCTCAGCCAACAAACTAAGCATATATTCCCCCAAGTGTTTTCCTTTCTCCTTCTTACATTTCTTGGTTTATTCATTCATTACACAAGCCAGGTTAATATACTTAGGATCCTCAGCACATACTTATTTCCAAATTGCCCTTGCTGCTCTGTCTGCCTAACGACCTATGGAATTAAATAATCAGTTCAAGTGTTATTTCTGAGAAGACTGCATGGACCCCACCCCAACTCTCAAGGAAGCTTTGGTCACTTCTGACCCTGTGTTCATACTTTTTTGTGTGTGTGTATTTCTGTGATAATACTTATCAGAATACAATGCTATTGTTTGGTTTAATAAGTTTTTGAAAAGATAAATCTTCTAATAAAGCAATAAGGTAAAAGATGTAATGCAGCACACAGTAAGGGACTTTCAAGTCAGAAGGACATGGGGTTGAATCCCAATTCTACCAATTGCCAGCTATGTGCTTATCATTCACTCAGTAAATTTGTAGTAGATTGCCTATCATGTGCTAGGTACTTTGTTAAGTTCTGATGATACAAGTATGCATGGTCCCCTCTTAAGATGGCTATAATAAAAAACACAACAAGCATTGGTGAGGATTGTAGAAAAATTTTACGTAGTGGGAAAATAGTATAAAATGCTGCAGTTACTTTGGAAAACAGTTTTGCAGTTCTTCAAAAAGTTAAACATAGAGCTACCGTACATGATCCAGCAATTCCATTCCTAAATATATACTCAAGAGAAATGAAAACATATCCACACAAAAGGTTGTATGTGAATGTTCACAGCAGTATTACTTACAACAGTCAAAAAGTGGAAACAACCCAAATGTCCACCAACTGATGAATGGATAAATAAAATGTGGGATAGCCATGCAAGAGAAAATAATTTGGCCATATAAACAAAGTAGTGATACATGCTACAACATGCATGAAACTTGAAAACATCATGCTAAGTGGAAGAAGTCAGTCACAAAGGGCCACATACTGTAATGATGCCATTTATATAAAAATCCAGAATAGGCAAATCCATAGAAAATGGAGACAGGGAATAGTGGTTGCCAGAGGAGGGTATAGGGAGTAACTGCTAATGGTTACTGAGTTTCTTTCTGAGGTGATGAAAATGAAGCCCTCAATGAGCTTCTGGTCTAGAATGTAACTGACTAACAAAGAAACATGTACACATAGGGTGGTCAAGATTGTCACAGCTATACTCATAGTGCTGTAGGAGAAAACCTAGGTGAGAGCTAAAGCAGACAGGGTAGGACTGATTCTTGAAAGGTAAATAAAAGTAAACTAAATGAAATGAGGGGATGGTCTAGAAAGAAGGTATATCATATGCAATGGCACGGAAGACAGAAAGCAGGGTTCTTCTAGAGAACTGGAAATAGTTAGAATGAATGGAGTATAGTAAAAGAGGAAAAGCCAAGAGATGGGGCTAGAGATGGACCAAAGGCTCAATTATAAAGAAAGTTTTTATGACAGGATAAATAATTTGGACCTTAATTTGAATCTTCTGAGGGAATACTGAAGATTTCAAATAGGTGAATAACCAAATTGGCTAGAAATTTTAGAAAAATCACTCTGGTTATCATGTGGCTAACGAATAGAGTAGAGAAAGATTAGAGGATGAGGACAAGTATTAGGAGTTCACCACAGTAATCCAGATGATGGTTGACATGAAGTTTCAGTGAAGGTGTCAGTAAAGGTTAAATGAAAGTCAGATAGTTTCAGAGACATAATAGCTACTCAATAACTTTTGGTACTTTTCCCACATTTTCACGTCTTTTAGTTTCATTATTTAATTTTTTAAATTGGTGTTTTACTATACTTGACAATGTCAGTATGTTACCTGTAAAAATGCTGTAAAGTAGCCTCTAAAATCTTCTAATCCGAGATGGAACCATAATTGAAAGCTATAGCTATTCATATCACACTAACTACCAATGACAAGCTATTCAATTTTCTTTTTCTTTTGAGACAGAGTCTCACTCTGTCACCCAGGCTGGAGTGCAGTGGTGCGATCTTGGCTTATTGCAACCTCTGCCTCCCTAGTTCAAGAGATTCTTGTGCCTCAGCCTCCTGAGTAGCTTACAGGATTACAGGCACATGCCACCACCCATGGCTAATTTTTGTATTTTTAGTAGAGATGGGGCTTCACCATGTTGGCCAGGCTCGTCTTGAACTCCTGACCTCAGGTGATCTGCCCACCTCAGCCTCCCGAAGTGCTGGAATCACAGGCGTGAGCCACCGCACCCAGCCTATTCAATATTTTTTATAACAATAAAAATTTGTAACATCAGGAAATATGAATGTCAGCAAGGAAATGTACAATAAACAACAGTCTTTGAAGGCAGATAAATTAAGGTGCAATTCCTTGATGTATCATTATTTATGTGACCTTGAATGGGTTTCTTAACATCTCCATGAGCTTCAGTTTTCTAACCTGTAAGGATAATACCATCTGCCTTGGAAGGCTGCTGTGAATATTATATGCAGGAAGAACAATTTATACAATGCTTATACAATGTAGGTTCTCAAGGAACAGCAGTTACATTATTACACGGACCAACTATTTTGTAAATTGGCTAATTAGGGAAGCCAGCATTTTGAAGGGAACACACTGTTCTATTTAAATAAACAGTATTAAGAAATCAAAGAAAGCAATGTTTAAGCCATTTATCAGTGTTTACTAAACTGTACTGACAAATCAAATTGTCTTCACCTTCTATCATGATTCTTGTATCCTGAAGACTCAGAATAACTATCGTATGAAGGGGAATACTTTTGATGCTTTGAGTCAAGGGTCCCTTCTTTCCTCCGAGAGAGTGAAACAGATGGACTTTTCCTACAAATAAAATAAAAACTGATTAAACATTCAAAGTCTCTAATAATGGAAAGATTTTAAGTATTGCTTACTAGCAATATGACATAAAATCTTGAACAAATAGATATTATAAAATAACTTACAACACATTAAAGAATGTCTTCTGTTTTACTAGGGAGGTAAACACAAATCACTCCTAGTATCAATGAATGTAAACAGAGACTTAAAATCTAAGAATTAGAAATAGTCAAAATATGATTAAGAAAAACACACACACACAAATATGGTAATATCACCCCGTCCTGCCAAAAATAATTTCCTTAATGACTTCATTGCTCCTAGAATAAACTCCAAAATCCTAAGTCCGCAAGGTCCTATACCATGATCTGATCCCTGCATCATCTCATACCATCTTCTTTGCTCCCTGCCTCCAGCCACAATGGTCTTTATTTCTTTTCTTAAATATGCCATGTTCCTTCTTCCTTTAGGGATTTCCATCTACCTATTCTTTACCTCCTTTACATTACTAACTCCTCATTCATTAGATTGCACCACAAGCTTTACCACAAGCTTTATTTCCTCAGGAAAGCCTCCTCTGACCTGCTGGCACCCCCAGGCTATTCAAATTCCTAAGTTACATATCTCTGAGACATGTGTTCCTTTCTTTCATAACACTTAAATCAGTGTATAAGTATTCATTCACTTAATTGAATATTTGAGTAATATTTATCTTCCCTACCAGATGATGCCCATAACTGTATTCCCAACCAAAAATAATGCCTATGACAACAAATACTCATTACATATTTGCTGAAAGAATATTAACCTAACAGATAGTTATTATATATTTGCTGAATGAATGAATATTAACCTATCTGTTTCAGTTCTGGTCCTCAGCTGTTTCACGAAGTCTGGAAGGTGCTGCCGTTGGTGGTCATACAGTACTGCAAGGGGAGCTCCTGAAGCCATGACAGCATCTGAGATATGAGTTCTAGTCAACTCTGCCATCTAAACATGAACACACACCAGAAAGGCAAATGTCTTAGAAGGTAAGGTCACAGAACTGAGAAGGAGCATAGTGTCTTGGAAAGAAAGATCACTGACTTGAGAGCAAGCAAATTCTGCCAGTAAGAGACGAAATACTGCGGACAAGTCATTTAGCCTCTTTAAGTCTCAACAACTTCATCTTGTAAAAACAGAGTTGCACTACATGATTCCTAAGGTTTCACCTAGCTATAACAATCTATGAATTAGACAGAAAACCTTTTAAAGCATATCATAAGCAGTAATAAGCCAAAAATTAAATCTTCCTTCAAGAATCAATTTAATTACTACTTCCTTTCTAACTCTTTGCTGACCAACAGGTGAAGTACGTTTCCCTACTCTTAACCACTACTGCAAGTGCTGCATGTACTATTCATTCGGTATTTGTTCAAGCACTATTTTGAGCTATTCCTTTTACTAATGACTTAAAGTGTTTTGAAATCTTTGTTAATGTTGTCTACATTAAAATTTTCTTGAGAAAGGAGACTCAATTTTATACTAAAACGTACAACTCCATAATACTCAACATATAGTAGGTTCATGGATTTCCAATAACTAAGTCATTTTACAAATAGTACTAACTTTTGGTTTAAAAACGTGTAACTGCTAAAATAAAGTGAAACTGTATCAATTATGAATTGTGATATCCTATGTAGAGACAGCAATAAAACTACTTCTGGCTGTCCCCCTGTTATAGAAAAGACAGTAACTAATATCATTGTGGGTAAAAATGAAACATCTTCACACAAAGCAGATCAGTGGTTCCCCAGGACTGAGATTAGGGACTGGTTGCAAAGAGACATGAGGAAACTTTTTGAAGTAACAGAAATATGCTATTTCTGGATTGTGGTGATGGTTATAGGGAGATACATGTGTGTGTGTGCGTGTGTGTGTGTGTGAGAGACAGAGAGGGAACTCACCAAACTGCATACTTAAAATGGGTACATTTTATTGCTTATAAATTATACATCAATAAAGTTCATACTTTTCTAAAAAGCTTACCAGAGGGCGGAAATTTAGAGCTCTTCATCTTTTTTCTGCCTCTGTAACATTCACATGTACAACACACCACAGTCAATGGTGCCTCTTACTTCGATAGGGTATGGCTCCCACTAAAAGTCACTAATTCAAAGTATGCATTTACTAAGATATTAGAAACCCATTACTAAAGACCAAAGTTACTCAGATTGACTAAAAAGAACTAAAAAGAGAAGGGTTCTCAATGGCATCTACCTCACAGATTTGACGTGCTGCATCCGTGGTAAGGCGAGCAGTCTCTGACTGCTGAGCTGCTATTTTACATGTTGCTTCCTGTAGGACTTCAGTTACTTCGTGTTGTGATTTAACCACCTGCTGTAATGATTCTGCATGGACCTTTAAATAAAAGGGGTTTAAAAAAGAAGTTATGTTTTAGTTTCCCCGCCTCCCAAATTAATTTTAATTTATAAATTTATTTCATGTCTTATTTGTAGTAAAAAACACTTTACTACAATCCAGATTTCATGATTTAAGTCTTAACTCCACTGTTCACAAGTTACTGTATCTGTGGATAAGTAAATACAATGTACCTCAGTTGCCATTTCCCTAAACTGGAAATGAGTCTTGACAGTTTATTTCAGAAGGTTGTAACAAAAATCAAATGACATGGAATTATCCCACAAAAAGTACTAAAATTTTATTATTTTTTTATATATATATATTTTTTTCTCCTATATAATTAAAAGAATGCTAAAGTAATTTCTAAGATACAAATTTAGGTTTAAAAAACAAGAACCTGCTGCAAAATAAGTTACCTGAGCTGCTTTGTTTCGGGTTTCTTCTAATTGTCTCTGACTCTCCAGAGCCTCTTGTTCAGCCTTCAGTTTCAAGAGAGCCAAGTCTCTTTCATGGCGTTGCTGTTGTGCCTTCAAAGTAATGGTCAAATGTTAATTCTCAAATACTGAACTATTTTAACACAGTGACTATAATACACACCATGCTCTCTTACTAATACAAATCATTTGAAGCAACTAATTAGAACCAAAAGGAAATACAGTAAAAAGAATAGTCAACAGCCACTTACCATTTATCAAAATATTTAATGACCACCTCCCATGTGCCAAATAATGTAGTAATATAAAAAATTTCCAGTGTATATAGGACTAAGAATTAATACCAAAAAGCTGGTTAGAAACCAAAGGCTATAGCACCCAACTTTTTGGAAGAGATAAAAAAATGTCTTATGTGTAAAAATAAAAATAATGCCTCACGTCTCACAATTTTATGATTCTTTTATTTTGACTTTGAAGTAGTAGTTTCATTAAAAAAAAGATGTCCCCATATAAGGTTTCCTTGTCACCAGGACCCTTTCTTACCACAATTCCACACAATATTATCTATAAATATATATATTTTTTCATCTCCTTTGAAATAGTGCTAAATAATAGAGGTTTTCAAAAGGTGGTAAGGGCTGGGCACAATAGCTCATGTCTGCAATCCCAGCACTTTGGGAGGCCAAGATGGGAGGATCACTTGACGCCAGGAGCTCAAGACCAGCCTGGTCAACATAGTGAGACCCCCCATCTCTATTTTTTTTTTTTTAATTAAAACAAAACAAAAGAAAACAAAAAATGGTAGTAAGGCTGTATGTAAGGCTGTGGTAATGTTCTGCCCAAATCTGGAAACCCAGAATTATAATGTATGTCCAAAGTGGCAGAAAACCTTCGTGCTGACTCAGATTTCAAGGTCAGTATGGCCCTCCACTACAATGGGGTCATTTCCTCAATACAATGATTCTCCACAAAGTTGGTATTAGTCCCTCCCCACCCTCTACCAGGAAACATCTGGAAATGTCCAGGGAGTTTCTGCTGTCACAATGATTGGACAACACTACTGCTATTTAGCGCGAGGAGGGCAGGAATGATGGTATCTCCGCAAAATATGGGAACAGTACCACACCAAGAACTGTCTGACAAGTCTTTTGGGAAGAACAAACAGAAAAGGAAACTGAAAAAAAAAATAGCATCAAAAATCATAAAACATTTGGGAATAAATTTTAAAATGTATAAGACCTCTACAATGAAAACTGTAATACTAATGAGAGAAATAGTCAAAGATTTAAATAAATAGAAAAATATATCATGTTTATGCATTACAAAAGGCAACACTGTTAAGATGTGAATTCTCCCCAGACTCACTGATCTATAGATTCAATACCATTCTAATCAAAATCCTACCAGGCTTTTTGGGTTTTTTTTTGTAGAAACTGACAAACTGATTCTAAAAGTTACACGGAAATGTAAAAAACCTAGAATAGCCAAAATCATCTTTGAAAAAAAGAAACAAAGTTGGAGGAATTATGTCTTGATTTCAAGACTCACTAAAAAACCACAGTAATAAAGACAAAATGGTACTGACATTACGGATAGATGAATAGATCAATGGAAAATGAGTCTTGAAATAGATCTACACATAATTGATTACTTAATCATTGATAAAGGCATTAAGGTAATTTAAGTCTTTTTAATAAAATGGTGCTGGAACAACTGAATATCCATATTAGGGAAAAACAAACTTTAACTCTCTTCCTCACATCAAATCCCAAAATTAACTTGAGAAGGATTACACACGTAAATATGAAAGCTAAAATTATAAAGCTTTTGGGAAAAAACATAAGAGAATGTTAGGATATCTTAGTATCTTAGCGTAGGATTTCTTTCTTTCCCTTCCCCTCTCCTCCCTCCCCTCCTCTCCTTACCTTTCCCTCCCTTCCTCTCTCCCTCCCTTCCTTCCTTTTTTTGAGACATGGTTTGACTCTGGAGTCCAATGGCACAATCTTGGCTTACTACAACCTCTACCTCCTGGACTCAAGCGATTCTCCTTCCTTAGCCGACCTGCCCCCCCGCCCTGCAAGTAGCTGGGACTACAGGCATACACCACTGTGGACGGCTAATTTTTGTATTTATAGTAGAGACGGGATTTCACCCTGTTGCCCCGGCTGGTCTTGAACTCCTAAACTTAAGTGAGCTGTCTGCCTTGGCTTCCCAAAAAGTCCTGGGATAACAAGCATGAGCCACCACAGTCAGCCCAAAGATTTCTTAGAAAACGAAAGGTACTACCACAAAAGAAAGCAACTAAAAACTGGATTTCATCAAAATTTAAAACTTCTATTTCTCAAAGACACAGTTTAAAAAGTGAAAAGCCAAGACCTGGAATACAATATTTCCAATACATCTGAAAAGGACTTGTTTCCAGAATATATGAACAACTCCTATAAATCAATAATTAAAAAGACAACCCCATAATGAAGGGTGTAAAAGATTTGAACAGGTATTCACAAAAGAATGCTCAATAAATACACAAAAAGACAATCAGTCTTATCAGTAACAAGAGAAATGCAAATTACAACCACAATGAGATACTACTTCACACTCAATAGAATGACTGAAATAAAAGACTGATAATACCAAATGATAGCAGGAATGCAGACAACTGGAATTTTCCTATTTATTACAAGAGTGTAAAGTGTTACAACCATTTTGGAAAACTGTACGGCAGTTTCTTATAAAGTTTCATATACCTGACCCAAGCAATTCCACTCCTAGGTACTTATATAAGAAAAATGAAAACATATGTAGTATGCATAGAGTTGTTTAAAAATGTTCATAGCAGGAATATTCACAACAGCCAAAAGCTGGAAATAATCCAAATATACATCAATAGGAAAACTGATAAATTGTGATATTAATGGAATATTACTCAGCAAAAAACAGAACAAAACAAAAAACTACTGATAAAACAATATGGATAAATCTTAAATTGATATTGAAAATAAGCTAAACACAGAGTTCAAAGTCCACTTCCTTTTATACAAAGTTCTAGAACAGGCAAAAATAAACTATGGTGCCAGAAATCAGAATAGTAATTGCCTTTGGAAGGGGGAGTAATTGAAAATGGGCATGAGTCAACTTTCTGGGGTAACAACGTAAGGGTTGTATATCTTGATTAGGGTGGTTCTTACACAGGTATATACACTGGTCAAAACGCATCAAAACTGGGCCGGGCGCGGTGGCACACGCCTGTAATCCCAGCACTTTGGGAGGCCAAGGCGGGTGGTTCACGAGGTTAGGAGATTGAGTCCATCCTGGCTAACACAGTGAAACCCCGTCTCTACTAAAAATACAGAAAATTAGCCGGGCATTGTGGCGGGGGCCTGTAGTTCCAGCTACTAGGGAGGCTGAGGCAGGAAAATGGTGTGAACCTGGGAGGCAGAGCTTGCAGTGAGCAGAGATCGCGCCACTGCATTCTAACCTGGGCAACCGTAAGACTGTCTCAAAAAAAGCAAAACAAAACAAAACAAAACAAATCTGATCAAAACTGTACACTTAAAATCTGTGTATTTTATACTATGTAGGTAAGAACTCAGGGTTTTGTTGTTGTTGTTGTTGTTGTCTTGTAAAGCAGTTCCACTAACGAAGAGTGCTTAGACCGTCTCCGGATTTTTGTTTGCTAAAGAAAAATCCACATTATCCTGGCTTTCTCAAACACCCGGATTTCAGAAACTTCTCTTTTGGTACAAATAAAGCTTTAAAAAAAAAAAAAAAAAACCCTCAGTATTCTCTCACCTCTCAATGAAAAGAGACAATATTAAGAATGTTTGACTAGGCCGGGCGCGGTGGCTCAAGCCTGTAATCCCAGCACTTTGGGAGGCCGAGACGGGTGGATCACAAGGTCAGGAGATCAAGACCATCCTGGCTAACAGGGTGAAACCCCGTCTCTACTAAAAAATACAAAAAACTAGCCGGGCGAGGTGGCGGGTGCCTGTAGTCCCAGCTACTCGGGAGGCTGAGGCAGGAGAATGGTGTGAACCCGGGAGGCAGAACTTGCAGTGAGCTGAGATCCGGCCACTGCACTCCAGCCTGGGCGACAGAGCGAGCCTCCGTCTCAAAAAAAAAAAAAAAAAAAGAACGTTTGACTAGATGATTTTTATACTGTTAACTAAGCAAAGCAGAAAACATGGAAAACAAAGTATTTGAGAGAGAATGACTTTATTATTGTTCTGCTGCCAAACACTGTATCTTTTTAGTGTCCTGATAAGTTTTTCCCAGGACTATTTATTTACAGGTGCTATATGGTAGACTATTTTTTTTCTATTTGGCACAGTAGCTTAAGTCATCATTAAGGCTATTTTAAAAAGCAAAGAAAAAAGAAAAACCACAGAAAGCTAAAAAGGAAAACTCCAAAGATACCTTTATGATCTGAGCTAGAGACACACTCTCCTGCTGAGCAAGTGAAATGCCTCTAACTCTTTCCACATCAGACAGTTGGCGCACCGACTCCTCAATGGCATTCAGATAACTGAGTTCTGCTGCCATACGATGATGGAGGCCAGCAGGAGAAAAGCGCTTAGAACCTGGAGGGCATGACAATGGTCAAATGGAAAAGTTAACATGAAATTACACTTCAGATTTCTAACATCTGTCATTTTAAGAGCCAAAATCAACTTTGTTTTCCTATGTAGAAAAAACTGGGACTCAGTAAAGGAATACCTTGGAGATACTGCAGGTTCAGTTCCAGACCAAAGGAATAAATATCAGAATAAAGCAAGTTATACAAATTTTTTGGTTTACCAGTGCATATGAGAGTTATATTTGCACTATACTATAGTCTAGTAAGTGTGTAATAGCATTATGTCTAAAAAAATGTACATACTTTAATTTAAAAATATTGTACTGCTAAAAAATGCTGACGATCATCTGAGCCTTCAGCAAGTACTAATCTTTTTGCTGGTGGAAGGTCATACCTTCCACCAGCTACTGACTGATCAGGGTGGTTGCTGAAGGTTGGAGTGACTGTGGCAATTTCTTAAAATAAGGCAATAACGAAGTTTACTGCATCGATTGACTCTTGCTTTCACAAAAGATTTCTCTGGAGCATGTAATGCTATTTGGTAGCATTTGACCCACTTTCTGTAGAACTTCTTTCAAAACTGGAGACAATCCTCTCAAACCCTGCCACTGCTTTATCAATTAAAGTTTATGTAATATTCTAAACCATTTTTGTCATTTTGCTAGGAGTAGATTCCATCTCAAGAAACTACTTTCTTTGCTCATGCAAAAGAAGCAACTACTCATTCATTCAACTTTTGTCATGAGACTGCAGCAATTCAGTAACATCTTCAGGATCCAATTATAATTCTAGTTATCTTGTTATTTCCACCATATCTGCAGTTATTTCCTCCACTGAAGTTCTGAACCCCTGAAAGTCATCCAGGAGGGCTGGAATCAACTTCTTCCAAGCTTCTGTTAATGCTCGTATTTTGATCTCCTTCCACGAATCACAAATGTTCTTAATGGCATCTATAATGGTGAATCCTTTCCAGAAGGTGATCAATTTACTTTGCCCAAATCAGCAGAGGAATCACTATCTATGGCAGCTATAGCCTTACACAGTGCATTTCTTAAATAAGAAGACTTTAAAGTTGAAATTACTACTTGATCCATGGGTACAGAATGGATTTTGTGTTAGGGGACATAAAAACATTAATCTCCTTTTTTATGTCCATCAGAGCTCTTGGATGACCAGGTGCATTGTCAATAAGCAGGAATAAATATTTTTTCAAATTTTGAAAAGAACACTTTGAAAAAAATCTTTCTTTTTCCTGGGCAGTAGGTCTCAACAGTGGGCTTAGAATACTCAGTAAACTTGAGTGCTGTAAACAGATGTGCTGTCATTCAGGCTTTGTTGTTCCATTAATACAGCACAAGCAGAGTAGATTTAGCATAATTCTTAAGGACTCTAGGATTTTCAGAATGGTAAATGAGCCTTGGCTTCAACTTTAAGTTGTCAGCTGTATTAACCCCTAAATAGTCAGCTCATCCTTTGAGCTTTGAAGCCAAGCACTAACTTCTCTCTAGCTATGAAAGTCCTAGATGACATTTTCTTCCAACATAAGGTTGTTTCATCTCGCTGAAAATCTGTTTACTGCAGCCACTTTCATCAATTATCTTCTGGATAACTTGCTGCAACTTCTACCTCAGCACTTCTTGCTTCACCCTGCACTTTTATTTTATAGAGATGGCTTCTTTCTTTAGCCTCTGCTAGCTTCCAACTTTTCTTTTGCAGCTTCCTCACCTCTCCCAGGCTTCATAAAATTGAAGAGGATTAGGGTCTTGCGCTGGATTAAGCTTTGGCTGAAAGATGCCACTGGCTTGATCTTTTATCTCGGTCCCTAAAACTTTCTCCATATCAGCAATAAGGCTATTGTGTTTTCTTATCTTTCATTCATATGATACCTTTCATTTCCTTCAAAAACTTTTCCTTTGCATTCACAAGTTGGCTAACTGGCATAAGAGACCTAGCTTTTGGCATATCTTGGCTTTTGACATCCCTTCCTCACTAAGCTTAATCATTTGTAGCTTCTGATTTAAAGTGAGAGATATGACTCTTCCTTTCACGTGAACACTTAAGAGATCATTGTAGGGTTAGTAACTGGCCTAATTTTAACATTGTTGTGTCTCAGGCAATAAGGAGGCCAGAGGGAGGGTTGAAGAGGGGAACACGGTGAGTTGGTGGAGCAGTCAGAACACACACAACATCGATCCATTAAGTTTGCCCTCTTAAATGGACTGGTTGGTGGCACCCAAAACAATTATTAATACAACAGGAACATCAAAGATCACTAATCACAGATCACCATAACAGATATAGTAATAATGAAAAGCTTGAAATATTGAGAGATTTATCAAAATTGTGGACACAGGGACACGACGTGAGCACATGCTGCTGGAAAAATGGCACTGATGAATTTGTTCAATGCCGTGAGCCTTTAATTTGTAAAAAAAAAAAAAAAACAACCAAAAAAACAAAAAACAAACAAACAAACAAAAAAACCCTGCAGCATCTGTGAAATGCAATACAGTCAAGCACAATAAAACAAGGTATGCCTGTACAATGTACTTTACTTCTATGTGTGTGCACAGGCACATGCGTATACATATAAACAGGAGTGCACATACGGGACATAGTTTTCAGATATGATTTGACTAATGCTGGCTGACAAGATGGGAAAAAATCAACATTACTGAATCTCTTGTGCTTTTCAGTATTTAATTTCTGGCAGGTTTTAATACTTGAAAAGTAATCATATTCACTTGAAATAATATTTCTCTATGACTCAACTGAAAGAAAAGGAATTTTGAGAGAAAAAATTTCATATCGTATTCTAAAAATTACAATTGCATGGATCTACTTACCTGGTATTGGAGCCGCATTCTCTGTCGTCGTTCTGCTGGCAGCCAGGTTCAAATCAGTGAGAGCTGCAGTAGGCTTAAATCCTGTTACAGTTGTAGGCATTACTGACGACTTAGATCTTTCTGAAGAAGTTCCTGGAAGGTCAAACTGCAACGATTTCTGGGAACTTGGTGACAGGGGAGAAGGTGGAGTTTTCTGAGATCTTCCCTTATCTGATGAGACACTAGAAATTTTGATCCACAAAAACATTAGAGGAAGGAAAAGTACTTTGTAAACCTGCTAAATCATTCAAAACAACAACAAATAAAAAAACTTTATCAACATTAGCTTTAAAAAGTTGTGATTTAGGCATTTATTCGTTAATACAGTCACTATGCTGAATGAATGACTATGAATATTCCTCTAAATGCTAGAATTACAGTGGTGCACAAGCACGGCACAAACCTTGCCCTAAGTACAATGGAAAGGGAGTAGCTTGATTAAACTAGCACTGAACTGTTCCTTCTACAGTGTACATATATTATGATTCACTCGTTATAGCATGAAGCAAAGTCTTCTAAAATAGACACTCTACAGCAATAAAATTGGAGCCATATATGAGTCTTAAAATACATCTCTGAAAGAGAATCAAATATTTTATGTTAAAAGGTAAGAAAAGACAAAAACTATTCTTTTGTTATACCCTCTTGTTAATCCAAGAGTCTCAGAAAAAATTTTCACACTATCCATCTCGAAATACTTATTTCATTTCTTTATATCTACTTGTTAATACATCTCTTTCTTGAACTTTCTAATAGGTAACATAACAGTTTGTAACAACTCTTAAGGCATTTAATTCAGTACAAGACACGTTGTTAGCCTTTCTTTGAAAAAGTAAGCTCATTAAAGGTATTATTTCTCATAACATCAAGCATGTTGCCTTGCACTGAATATTTATTTACTGAATAAATTATTCAAAGATACTCTATAAAGCATTTTAGCACAGTTATATTCCCAATATACCGAAACAAGTTTGCTTTTAGCTTCTAATAAAATGATGAAATAGTTTTCAAAGGTAAAAATTTCTCTTATATCCAGTATAAAAATATTTGAATAGAAGTAGGCCTGAGAGGCACCCATGTGTTTACCTGACCCTTAATTTTCTATTCATACTTTAGATAAATACTATTTCCAACAGTCTATTTCATGCATGAAACACAAAAAGAATGATCATTTTAACAAATTTCCATTAAATAATTAAAACACAACATCAAACAAAACAAAGTACTCTGCACCTCACCTTAGGGTTTTATAAGATGAATTTATATTTGCTGTGCACATAAAATTTAGCTAGACTAGCATTTCTAAAAGTATATTTCCAATAATGTCAATAAGCTTTCCCAAAAAGAAAGAGAAAGAGCTTGGGGACAAAGAGTGACTACAGCCAAACAAGTTTAAAAAAAAAAAAAAAAAAAGGAGGTTAAACAAGTTTTGAAAAATCTGGACTCCTCCTTATCAAAGCCTCAAATTATTTTATCCCTGTGAATCTCCATGGGTGGGGAAGGGGAAATCTAGATTGCAGTATGGGGCATTGATGAAACTTATTTGGCTATGGATCTCATTAAGAAATGCTTAACTTTGTAAATTTTGTCAAGTTAAATCATCAGAGTAATTCTTAAGGAAAGGTAAAGTTTTCTAAATTCCAAAATCACTGACAAAGAAAATAAAATTTAATTTTAAATACAGAAATAATGGCATTAATGATGCAATATGATGTGTAACATGAAAGCACTAAAAAGTGGTAATCTTTATGTGTCACAGTACTAGAAAAAGCCCAAAGTTACTTTAAAAGGAAAAAATAAATCTGTGTCTTCTCAGAGCCTCTACTTCCAAGATAAAACCAGTGCACAAATGAAAAGTCATATGGACAAATAAGTAGGAACTGTATAGCTAGCAACAACTGAAGGTTATTTATAAGCAACAGACTAAGTGCATCATATACGATATTAGAAAGAATAAAAAAACAGTATGCAAGCTCCATAATCAGTAAGAGTGAGATTTTAAAATCTGCCTGAGTGGTCTAGTAAGTTGAGCAGAAAAGTTCAGAGGAAGAAATAAACAATAAGACAATAAGTATGCTAAGTAGCTGTGTTGGAAGAATGGATGAATAGATGAGAATTGAAATAGATAGACAAAAGAAATGAGATAGTTTGTGGTAGCCCAGTGAAAACACTTCAAGTAGAGTTAGGCACTTAGAATTGATCTATGACCTCACAAAGTACCCCAAGCAAGGTAGCTGCTTAGTCAAAAGATTGAGCCAAGAAAACAACTGTAACAACAGCATTCAGCATAGAAAACGGGGTTGTACTAGAGGGAGAGAATTCCTGAGAAAGAGGTTGTAACAGTTTAGATGATACATGACCATATTCTAATATACAGACCAAGATTAGAGCTGTGAACAAAGCTCTGAAGTCTATTTGTAATATATACAATTTTGTAGTAGCTCAGACATGCACAGTTAAGGAGATTGCTGAGCTAAAATTCATTATATGGATTTTCTGAATATCAATTATATTATAACTTTAATTATATATGAATTCCAGTATAAAGCACACATTAACTTTACCTCACAGAATGTCCAGAAAGATCTTCCAAAGTGCTATCTGTATCAAGAGTATGCTCAAAATCTTTAACAGAAAGTTTGCTGCTGGTCCCAGATTTCTTTCCTTGATGGGAGCCATGTTCTGCTTTTTCCTCATCAAGAAATGAGTTCTGAACATTTCCAGTGAATGAATCCAACCCTGTAAAGCAAATTTCTTATAAAGCTGATTCCCAATATTAGAAGTTATTGAGATAGATAATTGACATATAGATTTCAATAAAATAATAAAAAGTAGAAATCAGAATATTTAAAATTTGACCTATATTATATTCAAAATCTGTTTTCCATATCTAAAATAAAGCAGTTCATCCTTCTGTCTCCATCTAAGGAAAGTGAAGTTTCTTCCATTAATTCCACTTGCTATTAATAATTCATTCTTAGCTCAACTAGTAATAAAAGATAAGCATATTAAATAATAATAAAGTACTAATCTATCCCTATGAAAAAGTAAGCAAAAAGAATATTTAAAGGATAAAATCCAGAGCTGGGAGAAAAATCATACCAACTGCTAACTGAACTACATAATTCTTTTGAAAAAGTCTATGGTAAGAACTATGTAGCCTGATTTATAAAAATATTCATATTCTCTGAGTGAATAATTTTACTCATAGGAATATATCTTAAGGAGATGACTGAAACAAAAATTATGCATGTTATTCAAGGTGTAACTCTGTAACTCAAAGAAATTTAATCTACATTTCTAACAAGAGAATACTTGTCTAAATCACACAGATAATAGTAATCTGCACATTTATATAGAACATTGTAATTCAAATGTACTTCATATATAGTACCTTATTGCTCTTAAACATGTTATGAAATAAGTACTATATCCCCAATTTACTGATGAGGCAACTAGAGATCTATGGGGTTTAATAACTTGCTTAACAAGGTATTCTGCTCTGGTCAACAGCAGAAATAGGACACACACTCAGGCCTCCTGACTCTAGTACACTATTCATCCTGATTGTATGTTTAAACAGCAGCATGGGAAAATATTTATTATTACCTTTTAAAAAAAGCAGATTACAAAACTGCCTATAAATTTTAATAGTGGCCCCCCAAAAATTTAAATATAAAATACATATTTTATATATTATATATACTATATGTTTATATATACACATATTTATGTATATATACATATAAATATATAATGTGTATATATACATTAAGTTTTTTGTAAAAATTTATTGTAAAATTACTATACATACTTTATATATATACAAAAAATTTTAAGTTAAATTTTAAAGATATATATGGTTAAAGAGCAAAAGAAAATACAAAAGTGAAAAAAAATTACCCTTTATACTCGTATTCATAGCAGTATTATTCAAAATAGTCAGAAGATGAAAGCAACCCAAGTGTCCATCAACTGATAAATGGACAAACAAAATACGGCTTATACATACAAAGGAATATTATTCGGCCTTAAAAGGAAGGGCATTCTATGCTACAACATAGATGAACCTTGAAGACATTATGCTAAGTGAAATAAGCCAGTCAAAAAAGGACAAATATGATTCCACTTACATGACATAGCTAGAATAGGCAAACTTAGAGAGAGAAAGCAGAACAGTTGTTACTAGGCGTTGGGAGAAGAGAATAAGAGTTATTTTTGAATGGGTATAGATTTTAGTTTGGGATGATGAAAGTGTTCTGGAGATAGATAGTGATCACGATGGCAAAACAATGTGAATGTACTTAATGCTAATGAACTGTACACTTGAAAATGGTTAAATTCCCTAGTGAAATTCATAGAGACAGAAAGTTAGAATGGTGATTGCCAGAACTGAAGGGAGGGAGGAATGGAGAGTTATTGTTGAATGGATACAGAGCTTCAGTATGGGAAACAGAAAGTTCTGAAGCTGAGTGGGGGGGATGGTTGTATAACAGTATAAATGTGCTTAATGCCACTGAACTGTACACCTAAAACAGAATATTATTAATCAAATGGAAAGGACTCTATTATAAAGTCTATTTAGGATCCCGAGGCTAGAAGCAAGCTGTTAATACTGATTATCGCTAATTTTTCTACAATAAAGCTGCACTGCTTTCATAATAAGAATGCTTTATTCACTTAATATTGTTTGTTGACAATACATACACAATTTAAAATTTCTTCTTGACTTTAAACAACTAGAAATTATAGACAAGATAATGTTCTGTGCAAGAAAGGCCTACACTCCAATCAAGGGACCCATATGAAAAGAAAATGCCCTGACATTAAAAGATTGCCAAGTAAAGCCATATTCCATATCTTAAAGCAAAATTTTTTCTTCTTAGGATTACCACTTTAATTTACCAACTACTTTCAACTACACTGGGTAAATTTTTGTACAGAGCATGCAGACACTCTTTTTCACCACCAGATGGAGCATATACAATTAAAATCACACTGATTTTAGAACTTGGGGATGAAGGAGAAACTAAGTTTAAGAAGATGCTGTGGAAAGTGAAATTTATCAGGATTTTTCTGGTACTGCAGGTGAGGATTAGGGAAACTGAAAGCCACAAAACACTACCTATACTTCATCTAATCTGTTTTAGATGATAATGTTTTAAAACTACATTAAATCATATTATTAATACACATATACTCAATATATCATGATTTTTTCTTTTTTTTGAGACAGGTCTCGCTCTGTTGCCCAGGCTGGAGTGCAGTAGCATGATCATGGCTCACTGCAGCCTCAATTTCAGGGACTCAACTGATCCTACCACCTGAGCCTCTCCAATAGCTGGGGCTACAGGTGTATGCCACTATGCCTGGATAATTTTTCTATTTTTTCTAAAGACAGGGCTTCATCATGTTGCCCAGGCTGGTCTTGAACTACAAGAGTTTGAACTCCTGCATCAAATGATCCACCCCTCTCAGCCTCACAAAATGCTGGGATTATAGGAGTGAGCTATCACGCCCAGCCTATATCATGATATTTTAAAATTGTGCAGTATACCATAGCAGAAGATAGACTGGATTTGGGAGTCAGAAGTCAGAATCTGGGCTTTGCCAATAACAAGTTAGTGACCTTAGGTGAGACACTAACTTAGCCAACACTAACAATTGCAAAATAAAAGAATTGAGCAAGATCAGCATTTCCCAAACTGTGTTCAGCTGAATTCTAATGCCATAAAACGATGATTGATGATTCTGTGGTCAAAATACACTTGGAAAATGCTTCATACTACAGCCTCATCCTTATCCTAAAATAAGAAATACACTAGCATATTTACAGTGTTTTTGGGTCTTACAGGAAAGAATCTTGTTTCACTCTAAAAGAATTTCCCAAATTTATGGAACGATGGAGCTCTTTTATTCTCAGAACACAAAACAGTCTATACCACTAAACTTGTATTTCACAAGAAAATACAGAGTTTGGGAAGTGCTGGTAAAATGATGTCTAAACGTCCTACAAAGGCTTTCAGAACACTTCCAAACTGCTTGTATTAGGTTAACGATTTAAAAATAATTTCTCCTAGCACTCTCATTGGAAGTATAAACTGGCACTAACTTTCTGAAAGGCTATTTGGCAAAATGTACCACATTTTAAACATGGCATATTATTTGCCCCATTATCTCACCTCTAGGATTTTCCCCTATAGGAAAAAAACTGACTAATGCATAAAGATGTATTTACAAGGATATTCAATGCAGTAGTATTTATAATAGAAGAAAAAAGAAAATAACCTAAATATCCAGCAATGGGAAAACAGTTAAATTAATTATAATATATTCAAATAACAAGCCAGGTGCAGTGGCTCACGCCTATAATCCCAGCAGTCTGGGAAGCTAAAACAGATGGATTGCTTAAGCCCAGGAGTTTGAGACCAGCCCTGATAATATGGCAGAAGCCGTCGCTACAAAAAAAAAGGAAAAATTAGCCACGTGGGGTGGTATGTGCCTGTAATCCCAGCTACTTGGGAGGCTGAGGTGGAAGGATTGATGGAGCCCAGGGATGTTGAGGCTACGGCGAGCCATAAGCTGTGATCACACCACTGTACTCCAGCCTGGGTGACAGAGTGAGACCCTATCTCAAAAAACAAAACAAAAAAGCAAAAACAGAATAGTATTCTGTTACTTAATGGGTCCAGAGTTTGTTTAGTGGGTAATCCTTACAAATAGTAATCCATATTTACTGACAAAAAAAGATACCCACACCCTATAGACAGAATAAAATTGCATGTAAAATGTGATCCCATACACATAAAATTTCCTATTTGTGTGTGCCTACAAATTGTCTGGAAGGACTCTTACTAAAAATGTTAACATTTCACACCCATTAGGATGTCCTATTAACAAAAAAGCAGAAAATATGAAGTGTTGGCATAAATGTAGACAAAATAGAACCCTGTGTATTGCTGGTGGGAATGTAAAATGGTACAGCTGCTATAGAAAACATTATGGCAGTTCCTCAAAAAATTAAACATGGCATTACCATTTGATCTAGCAGTTCTGTATCTGGGTTAAAGCAGGGATTCAAATAGGGTATTGGTACACCAGTGTTCACAGCAACATCATTCACAATAGCTAAAAGGTGGAAAATACCAAAATGTCCATCAACAGATTAATGGACAAACAAAATATGGCCTATACACAGCATGGAATATTATTCAGCAATAAAAATAAATTCTGATACATGCTGTACATAGATGAACGGTGAGTCAGATATTATGCTAAGTGAAATAAGCCAGATAAAAAAGACAAATACTGTATTATTCCACTTATATGAAGTACCTAGAGTAGTCAAATTCATAGGGACAGAAAACACAAGAGTGGTTACCAGCGGCTGAGGAACAGAGGAATGGAGTTATTATTTTCTGGATACAGAGTTCAGCAGGGGAATACGAAAAATTTCTGGAGAGACAGTGATGATGCTTGCAACAATAATGTGCATGTACTTAATGTCACTGAACTGTGTATTTGAAAATGGTTAAAATGATAAATTTCATGTTATGTATATTTTACCACAATTAAAATAGGCAGAGGGCAGTGGCTCATGCCTATAATCACAACACTTTGGGAGGCTGAGGCAGAAGGATCGCTTGAGCCCAGGAGTTTGAGACCAGCCTGGGCAACAAAGTGAGGCCCTCGTCTCTGCAAAATAAATAAGATAAAATGAAATAAATAAATAAAATACTTTTTTTTTTTGAGACAGAGTCTCGCTCAGGCTGGAGTGCAATGGTGCAATCTCAGCTCACTGCAACCTCTGCCTCCTGGGTTCAAGCGATCCTCCCGCCTCAGCCTCCCGAGTAGCTGGGATTATAGACACCCACCATCATGCCTGGCTAATTTTTGTACCTTTAGAGACAGGGTTTCACCATATTGGCCAGGCTGGTTTAAATGTTAACATCCGTTATCTCTAAGAGGAAGAACTAGAGGTGATTTACTTTTAAAATATAGGTTTCTATATTTATTGATGTCTTCCTCCTATTCCTGTTCCTTCCACCCCCTGAAGCCTTTTAGCTGAACAAGCAGGATTTATTTTATGTATTTATTTTTTATTTTATGTTCTGGGATACTTGTGCAGAACATGCAGGTTTGTTACAGAGGTATACATGTGCCATGGTGGTTTGCTACACCTATCAACCCATCATCTAGGTTTTAAGCCCCACATGCACTAGGTATTTGTCCTAATGCTCTCCCTTCCCTTGCCCCCCGACCCCGACAGGTTCCAGTGTGTGATGATCCCTTCCCCGTGTCTGTGTGTTTGCATTGTTCAACTCCCACTTATGAATGAGAACACACAGTGTTTGGTTTTCTGTTCCTGTGTTAGTCTGCTGAGAATGACAGCTTCCAGCAAAAACATCTTTGGAAGCAAGAAGCAAAATCATTCCCATAGCTAGACACCATCCTGTGAGTTTACAAAGCCTTTGCCTAATCACTTTATACAGTGATTATCCGTCTCCGTAGGCCTATGGAGCAAATTTAAGCCAAGAGTAGAAATTAGGACATTGAAGGGTATCTCAATCACTCAAAAATATTTACTGAACGCCAATGAATCAGCTACAGTGCTGGGTACCAGAATGTACACATTATCTCCCTTAACTTCATATGAGCTTGAAAATTACCATATAAAGTATCTATTATCTCTACCTTATAGATAAGGAAATCTGGGTATTATATTTAATGATACTCAGAGATGTATATACTATTAAGTTTTTTTAAAAACCCAACTGCAAAGCAATTATTTACATTTGTTTTTAAAATAAAGTCGTGTGTGTATAATTTTATGTATACATCAAAAATGTTAATAGTAGTTAATCTCTGAACAGAAGGCTCAAAGGAAATTTGTCTTTCCTTGAAGAGTGTTTATCTCTAATTTTTAATTCTTTATCACTGCAAATGTACTCCTTTTGTATTACGGAAAAGATTCATAATGTTATATATCAAAAGGTATTACTATAATGATAAATATGAAAGTTAATTACTGTAAGAAATTCTAACTTCTTATGGGATAAAATCACAACTTTAGATTACTACAACAAAATCATTGGTAAGAAAAAAAGTTACCATGTGGAATTCCACTTACATTCTGTCTTTTCCTTTTTTCCTTTCTTTCCTTTAGAAGAAGTAGATGAACGAGACGATGCAGCAGACTGGGCTCCTGATGAATGCTGGGAGGTAACATCCACAGAGGAAGGATCATAGGCAGACTTTCTGTTAGAATGGTCCTCCTGAGGGCCTAAAGTGCTACTGCCAAAGAATAAATAATAGTAGTTCTAGAAAGAAAAGTCTTACAACACAGCTAAATTAAAGATATTTTAAAAATCTATTTAATCACTAGGAGAATATAACTACAATCAAAGATGGCTTCCACTTTATTATTGATTTTTTTAACCACCATCAACCTGGATTGTTCCCTATGGTTCAACTTGTTACTAAGAAAAATCTCAGGTAAGTGAAACCAATAAAAACTAATATTCAGAGAAAAGTATATAATGTTGAATACTGGAATGGCCTCAATTTCTATTCAAATTTATAATTTATATATTATAACTATTTCTCCTCTTATAATCTTATGGAGAACAATAACTTAACATGTTCTTCCTCTACCTGGAAATAAAATGCATCAAATCATATTGATTGGTGATATTAAATGTTACCATAATTAAATCATTGAAAGTTTTTATTTAAAAATTTGATATTTTCTTTAGAGCTCAAAACTTAAAACTATGCTTTTTCTCATATAATTTTCATACCTATTCCTACTAATCTAATTACATTTAACTAATTTTTATAAGATTACCTAATAATTTTACATGGATTACAATTTGTAATATTTGAAAAAGATGATATTAAGTATGAATAATTACAGATAAATGTATACGGTAGCAAAATACAGGGAGAAAATTCTCTCCAACAAAGTCTGATTCACTTACTATGTGACTATGTACAAGTAATTTAACCTCTGCTTCAGTTTGCTCTCTAAAACAGAAATGGTAACAACAATACTTTCCACATCAGGCTATTATAAAAATGAGTTAATATAGGTAAAGTCTCAGTCTTTTCAGTGTCTTGCACACTAAGTGCTCAATAATTATCAGATGTTATAATCATTATAATTATTGTTTTTCAAAGCTTTGCAAATTTTTCAATGTTTTCTTGATTATAAAGAAAATTACTTATTATTTGGAACCATGGAGTCACGTATCTATCTGATCTTCCTCAATTCTATCACAGAAAACCATTTCTCAAGCTTTTTATGTTAGTATACCATGGACTAATTTCCCAATACTCCAATACTCTACTGGGAATTCATGGACTGACTTTATAACCTATACTCTGCTTACTATGTGCCAGGTCCTGTTCTAAGTATGTGATTTACTTTTTTCTTTCTTTTTTTGAGATAGGGTCTAGTTTTGTCACCCAGGCTGGAGTGCAGTGGTGCAATCTCGGCTCACTGCAACTTCCAACTCCCAGGGGTTCAATCAATTTTCGTGCCTCAGCCTCACTATATTTCATTTAATACTCATAACAACTCTATGAGGCAGGCAGGTACTATTAATGTCCCCATTTCACAGAGAAGGAAGCAGAAGCATAGGATGGCTAAGAAATGTGCATAAATACAAACAACTAATAATCAGGAGAGCCTGGATTTAAAACAAAGGCAGTCTGGATCCAGAGCCCCATGCCCTGGGATTTCCACTACGATGTGCAGCCTCTATATGTATCTTTAAACAAGCAAAACTTTGCTAATATTCAGACCAGAGTTCTCATTTGTACATTTTCTCACTCTTCAGAGTTTATTCCATATTGCCAATATTTTCTTACTGAGGTTCAAGAGTTGACTTTTTTTCTGTCAAAGTACCACTCCCTGGAGAGGAGACAAAATCATCTTCATATGAAACACTGCTTAGAGGAGTTGTGGTGGCATTCAAAGGCCGTAATGTTGATGTTCCTCTGTCCAACTTGTCTTCAAACCCTGACAAAAGTAATAATTGAAACATGGTTAAAAATGAAAATCAAGAAACTGTAAGAAAAGCATCCCATACATGGAGATTAGCAATATGGGGCTTAGGGACATTTTAGTTTTCTTTAATAGTGCTTCTTTTCTATTTACCTTTATATCCAACGATACTTTTTTAAAGCTTTTTATTAGGAAAATTTAAAACATACATAAAAACAGGGAGATTAGTATAATGAAACCGAAGTATTCATCATCTAGCTTCAACAATGACCAATACATCAGCAATCTAGTTTCAAATAAACCTCCTACTACCTTTATCTACCACCCCCCAGACTATTTTAAAGCAAATTGCAGATAACATTTCATTCTCATTTCATCTCTAAATATTTTAGTTTAACTATAAAATCTTAATGAACATTTAATAGAATTTAAGAAACAATTTTCTTATAAAAAAAGATGTTGATTTAAGCACTTTACTTTCATCAAAAGAAATCAAAATAACTTTCAAATCAAAACAAATTTAAAATTACCACTAATAGAAATGTGGCAAAACAAAAGAAAGCAATAGCATATGAAGGTCTATACAAGACCATTAAGAAATACCTAAATATGAATTCTAGGAAAAAGCAATGTGATACCCAGTTGAGCATAAGAGGAACAGATGAAATACATTCACTATATAGAGGGGAAATCTCCGATCCGGAAATTCTAAGATAATGTTACTATAAAATGGGCAGATTCCAAATATAGCAGGAAGGATAGAGAAAGGGACTTGAGGGAATTGAGTCCATCATAGAAAAGGAAAGCCGTGTTACAGGATTTCAGGGATAAGAAGGGAATGTTAGAAGTCATTGTTTCAGGAATCAAATATATAGCTACGTTACTGTTCAAAGTCTGATTGCTATTCAAACTAGTTTTAACAAACATTAACACAGTTGTTTTCATATTAGAAATAAATGTTACTACAGTTATCCCTCTCAATTCTTGATTGCTATATTCCCAAGAATTCACAAATCACCACTGTGGTAAGAAACATACTTAGTTTTTTTTTTTTTTTTTTTTTTTTTAGATGGAGTCTTGCTCTGTTGCCCAGGCTGGAGTGCAGTGGCATGATCTCAGCTCACTGCAATGTCTGCCTCCCAGGTTCAAGCGGTTCTCATGCCTCAGCCTCCCGAGTAGCTGGGGTTACAGGTGCATACCACCACATCCAGCTAAATTTTTTTTGTATTGTTAGTAGAGGCGGGGTTTCACCATGTTGGCCAGGCTGGTCTTGAACTCCTAACCTCAAGTGATCCGCCTGTCTTGGACTCTGAAAGTCCTGGGATTACAGGTGTGAGCCACCGTGCCCAGCTTATACTTAGTTTCTATAGAAGTACATAACTATGGTCACAGAAAATGTAGTATATATGTGATATATATCCAATCCTGAACATCATCTATGAATTTCTCTGAACTAGATAAAAATTTCTACAACTACCAGTCAACTATTATTTTATGACAATAACAATTTTTAAATGAAATCTTAAAGATTCAATTACTAATACTCTATTTGAGGCTTGCAGGAAATTTAGAAGATGACTAATATGGACAATAATGTCTCCATTATCCACTCAATGAAAAATGTGTACTAAAGTATATATCTTGCACAGAAATTATAATTCATCTTAATATACAAACAGTACAAGTTATACTTATTTTTCTCACCTTTTCCATATAACTGATAGGATTTTGTAAAAATATTAATGACGCTATGTGGGCTTCCCTTTGCCAATTCTTCCCATGGCCCTTTGCTTTGTGTCCCACCTACGTGCCCAAAAAGTGGCAAGAATTTTTCAGCTTCTTTCTGAAACTCTTTGATGGGTTCATGACTATTTCTTTCTCCAGCACAAAATTCCTTTTCTTTTAAAATTTCTGCTACTTTCAAAAGGGGCTGTCCATGCTGGTCTCCCTCTTCTTCGGAGAGACTCCCCTCACTAAGAAGAGGCCCTTCACTGACTGAATCTATGCTGGAACCAAGAGATATTTTGGCTTTGTCTTGAGAACAGGCTTGCATATCAGAGCTAGAAGAGTCAGTCTGCCTTTTACATAACTGTGCCAGTAGCCCTTCTGGTCTGGGACCAGGGGATCTCACTCTAAAGCTTGATATGGCACTCTGAGGTCTTATCATCTCAGGAAGCTTTTTAAATTCACTGAGATTGCCTACACCAGGAAGATCATCATCAAAAGTTGCATGAGACACACAGGTTCCCAGCATCTTCTGAATTCTGGCAGAGAAAACATCTTCAGTATCATCTTTCACAGGTGGAGTTACAGCCTTGGTCCAAGGTCCATCTTCTTGAGGTGCCTGCTGCACATCATACTCAGTGTTCCATGCTGACCCATAGTTAATGTTGGCCCCAGCTAATTTCTTGGCTTCACTTTCAATTCTGCTGGACAAAGAAGCAGCTGTTGCTTTCAAGGCTTCAATACGATCCAGTTTACTCTTATATTGACTGGCACTAGGTTTTAACAAGGCATCTGTATAAGTAGCTGGTGAGGTCACATATGGTTGAGGTGTAAAAGTTAATGGCCTTGAAGCCATATTATGATTCTTTCTGGTTGGTAAAATAGACTCAAAATCCTTATGCAAAATTCCTACATGCTCTAGACTCAAGAGATGGGAGAGTAAACTTCCAGCTGTTGCAGCAAAAGGCTGTGGTTGAGAATGGTGAACTTGTGGGCTCAATCTGTCAGGCTGCATCCATGTAGATTCCATCAAGTCTTTCCTGGAAATGAAAGTCACAATATGTTAGCTAACTAAACCATCATTTAAAAAAAGTTTTGTTTTTGTCTGATTATAAGAGTAGTGAATATGCACTGCAACAAAATAAGGACAGATAAAAAACAGAAAAAAGATAAAGATCATTCAGCAAAACAATAAAAAAGAGGCACTGTTAATATTTCATTTAGAATTATATCCTTCCAAACATTTTTCTATATGTACATTATGTTTTGGTGGTATTGTTTGTACAAAAATGGGATTTTACCATATATACTGTTTTGCAAACTGCTTTTTTCAACTAAGATGCCATATTTTTAAAAAAAGTATTTAAAAGAAGGCAATAAGATCGTTAAAATTCTATAAACAAAATTCCTTACAATACTGATTATAGTTTTTAAAATAACATTACATAAAAGAGAAATGCTTAAAATTGCTAAATATTAACGCAGACATGATATAGATTATTCTAATCAACAAATATTTACTATATGCTGAACACTTACGTTTAACAATGTACATGCTAAACAGGGCGGTTATTATAACCTACTAATACTTGTGAAAAATTAATGAATGTGAAACAATTAAATGCAAAACTGTGAGTGCCAACTATAAATATGCAACTATAAATATAAATATACAGGGTAGGGTATCCATTAAGTATAGAAACAGAATAAAGATGTCCTAAACAACATTATGTGTATTTACCTCTATCTCTAGACCATAGACTTCCTCTATATTAAGGGATACTACAGAGAGATTACAGGATGACGTCAACTATTAAGAAGACCCTTAGAGGAACAGGCCAGGAACAGTGGCTGATGCCGTAACCCCAGCACTTTGGAAGGCTGAAGCAGGCAGATGACTTGAGGCCAAGAGTTTGAGATCAGCCTGGGCAAAATGGCAAAACCCCATCTCTATTACAAATACAAAAAAATTAGCTGGGCATAGTGGCATGTGCCTGTAGTCCCAGCTACTTGGGAGGTTAAGGCACAAGTATCACTTGAACGCGAGAGGTGGAGGATGCAGTGCCCGAGATCGTGCCACTGCACTCCAGCTGGGAGATACAGTTAAGACTCTGTCTCAAAAAAAAAAAAAAAAAAAAAAAAAAGGACAACAACATGAGGCTTTGTCCTTGGTCTTGTCCATTATTTTAGGATGATGACATAAAGGTATGCTTATCAAACTTGCAGATGACAGAAAGCTGGGAGGCATGGCTGACCCAACAAATGACCAAATTATGAGACAAATTTATTTTTATAGGCTGCAATCTTAAACCAAACTAATACTGATAAATGTAAAGTTCTGCAACTGGATTAAAATAAGTAATCTCAAGGGGGGTAACCAGGACAATAAGAAGTTGAAAAGCATGTCATTAGAATGAAGGAAGAAAGACTAGAGTACAGATTCTATGCCTTAGAATATAGGCTATTACAAATGCAAAGCATGAGGTTACTGGGGCCTAAACTAAGCTGGTAGTAATGGGAATACAAAGGAAGTTATAATATAAAAGATACTGATGAATAAAAATCCAAGAGCTTTAAATTCAAGTATTTAGAATGCCAATTTTACAGCAGGTGCTATGTTGATGGTAGAGAAACAGGAGACAAAATGGATATACTTAATCCAGTTAATCCTGAGCTGGGCATGGTAGCTCACACCTGTAATTCTACCTACTTGGGAGGCTGAGGCAGAAGAATCAATCACTTGAGGCCAGAAGTTCAAGACCAGTCTGGGCAACATAGCAAGCTCCTCATCTCCAAAAAAATAAAATAAAAATTAGCCAGGCATGGCGGTGCATGCCTACAGTCACAGCTACTTGGGAGGCTGAGGTGGGAGGATCACTTGAATCCAAGAGGTTGAGGCTGCAGTGAGCTATGATCATGCCACTGCACTCCAGCCTGTGTGAAAAAGCAAGACCCTGTCTCCAAATTAAAAACAAGTAAAAAGGCTTCTTTTTTTTTTTTTTTTTTTTTTTTTTAAGATAGAGTCTCGCTCTGTCGCGTAGGCTGGAGTGCAGTGGCCGGATCTCAGCTCACTGCAAGCTCCGCCTCCCGGGTTTACGCCATTCTCCTGCCTCAGCCTCCCGAGTAGCTGGGACTACAGGCGCCCGCCACCTTGCCCGGCTAGTTTTTTTGTACTTTTTAGTAGAGACGGGGTTTCACCGTGTTCGCCAGGATGGTCTCGATCTCCTGATCTCGTGATCCACTCATCTCGGCCTCCCAAAGTGCTGGGATTACAGGCTTGAGCCACCGCGCCCGGCCAAAAGGCTTAATTCTTACACTTTAGGATCTCAAGATCTAGCAGGGATGACAGACTAATAAACAAACAGCTAAAATAAGACATCACAAATACTAAAACAAAGATTTAAAAAGTTCAGTAGGGTATAGATGAAGAAGTAATTAACTCTGCTAGCCAAGGAAAGTGACTGTTAAGTTGGATCTTCAGTTTTCAAGGTCAGATATGGAATCTGGAGTTTTCCAGGTAGCTAACACAATAGGATATGAAGAGCAAGGAAAAATGCCAAATTTTAAGCAAAAAGTAGCATGCTTTTAAACATAAAGTTATGCTAAAACTGCTAACGGAATGGGGGAGCTCAGGAATTGGGTAGCAAGAAAGTGGACACAATAAGTTAGACATCACGAGTCAAAGAAGTTGGATATTAAAAGAAAAGCGAGGAGCTGATACAAGGTAGTATGGTCTAATACTAGATTTGTTTGTGTTTGGTTTGCTTTTAATATTGGATAACTTATTTAAAATTAGAAGGAAATTCAGAGAAAGGTAAAAATTGGAGACATTAATATAGCAGGGTATGTCTGACAACAATAATAGGACTGAGGTGAACTAGAAAGTATCACCTATCTAAAAGCATTCAATCCTCTCCAGAGATGACACTTAGAAAAATAAGTAAATAAATAAATAAAAGCATTCAAATTCAAAACAAAAGTGTTATTTATACTTAAAGTTTGAAATGTATTTAGAACCTTAAGCAAAGCATATGAAATATTTCACTTTTGGGGAGTAGTATATAGAGTTGTTAAAGCACAGGCTTCTAGAGTCACACTGGCTAAATTAAAGCCTATCTCTATCATTAATGTTTTGACCTTTGAGAAGGCTCTTTAGGCCTCAATTACCTCTTCTGTAAAACAGGAATAACAACAGTACCTAACTCAAGGAATTACAAGGGTTAAATAAGATAATATATGCAAAGCACTTAGATCATTGCCTGGAACCTAAGAAACACTAATAAATGTTAGCTATTTTTATTGACAGTATTATTCTAGGGACAATGGGGTAAAAAAAGGACTATGCGGGCCAGGTGCAATGGCTCACGCCTGTAATCCCAGCACTTTGGGAGGCTGAGGTGGGTGGATCACTTGAGGTCAGGAGTTTAAGACCAGCCTGGCCAAGATGGTGAAACGCCGTCTCTACTAAAAACACAAAATTAGCCAGGTGGTAATGGCACATGCCTGTAATCCCAGCTATGCAGGAGGTTGAGACAAAAGAATCGCTTGAGTGTGGGAGGCAGAGGTTGCAGTGAACCAAGATTGGCCACTGCACTCCAATCTGGGCAAGAGAGTGAAACCCTGTCTCCAAAAAAACCCATAACCCAATGGATAGTGATTTTGATTTCTATTTACACATTCTCAAAGAATTTCAAAATCTTTCCTTTTCCAAAATGGTTATTATTACAAAGTATAATTTATAACCACGTAATCTAAACATCACCTTTACTTCCAAACTCAGTTTTTTTGTTTACTTTATTGTAAACAATATATTACAGCAAAAAAAAATTTCTTAAGAAAATTTAAGGTAAAATAGTCTGTTGACTATCTGAAATCAAATCAGATCCCTCCCTAGTCCTTATTAGTAGGTTCACAAGCGTATCCAAAGGTAGCTCTTGAAAGTACAATGGATAAATTGTTCTTACACATAAGAAGAAATCTTAAATAGCAGTGGATACAGAAATCCTGTCTGAAAATTATTAACCACAAACACTTTAAAATTTCACGGTCATTCATTCATCCAACACACTTTTATTGTAAAGGCAAGAGTGCTTCCAGCTAAAAAAGAAACTGACATCTACATTAAAAGGTAAAATTTGAACAATTGGCCTAGGGCATACAGTAAGTACAGATGTGCACTATGCTTAAATTTCAGAAGATATGAACCAATTTCTAAATAAACCTCTCTGCTCTCTTATTCACAAAGGTCAACAAAATTCACTGAACACAGACCACTCCACTAAATTTCATGAAAAGAAAGAATCTTAATCATCTTTCATTCTTCCCTTTTTACCTTGCAAGAGGCTGTGGAGGTTCCGAGAGAGACAGGTCACTACTGGAAGATGCACTTGGGGGACGTTCCTGTATTTTGTTTTCTTTGTCAGATTCTCCAGATGGCTGATACCCTGGTTTGGCCTAGGAGAAAAGGACATCAAATTTATATGAGTTCTATCACAAAGATATATTCAGATAGCACCTAAGATAAACATTAAGTCACTTCAGCTCTACAAAGATCATAAACTGTACGAGTTTTTTTCTCAAAACCAAAAATTGATTTTGTCTTAAAAACAAACGTTACTAATAGCTAAACGCCATCTAAAATCCAACAGGGAGCCACGCTCTTTGGGAGGCTGAAGTGGGAGGATCACTTGAGTCCAGGTGTTCAAGACCAGCATGGGCAACACAGTGCGACCCTGTCTCTACAAAAAATAAACAATTTCCCAGGCATGGTGGTGCACACCTCCTACCTCCACTTCCACCTCTACCTCTTTTGCCTCTGCCACCCTTGAGACAGCAAGACCAACTCCTCCTCTTCCTCCTCCTCTCAGCCTATTCAACATGAAGATGACGAGGATAAAGACCTTGATGATCCATTTCCACTTAATGAATAGTCAATATATTTTCTCTTCCTTATGATTTTCTTAATAACATTTTCTTTAGTGTATTTCACTGCAAGAATACAGTGCATAATATAGACAACATATAAAATATGTGTTAATCAACATTATGTTATAAGGCTTCCGGTCAACAGTTGGCTATTAGTTAATTAGTTTTTGGAGAATCAAAAGTTACAAGTGGATTTTCAACTGCGAAGGGGTTGGCACCCCAATCCCCACATTGTTCAAGGGTCAACTGTATTTGTTCAGTATTACAATGAAAACTATGCAGGGATTTAACTAATAGCAATGATGAGAGGAAAATAAATCAGTCACAATCACTGTAGGAAATTCTTACTTCAGCTTTTATTTTCCATCACATTTATCACATTACTCCCCATATTTAATACACTTCATGAAGGCCACGATTTTTATTAGTATTATCTGAGCATACTAGGAATGATGGGTAATGTTTAAATAGTATAGCAAATAAGCATTTCCTAACCATGAATGACTCTCCTTTATATATGTCACTACTATTACCTGTGTTTCCTGCGTAACATGTTGATGAGATGGCTCTTCAAGCAAGGTCTTTTCTAGTAGCAATTTGGAGTAAGTCTCCTGTAGTCGCCTAGTTGCTGATGGCTCAGAAGGAGGCACATTTTTTACTTTAGTAAAGGCTTCTTTCTGCTTCCGGTAGAGCTCTTGTAATCGTTTGTTTTTCTGTTCTGTAGCCTCCTTTTGAGCCTTCTTCTCTTCATTTTGCTTTCTCTTCCTTTCCTCTTGCTGCCTAACAATGTACTGTCGTACCTCGTCTGTGTCATAGTGGCGCCTTTTAGAAATAACAGGGGGATCCTCATTAGCTGTTATTTTGTCAGGTTTTCTTTTTACTGGGCTGTGACTCCTAGGAGCGTGTATTGGTGCTGATGACTTCTGATTCTGTAAGTCTCCAGTATCTTGCTTTGCAGTGTGAGCTGTAGAATCTAGCTGTAGGTCATCAAGAATGCCACGAATTTCAACAGGTAAAAAGTCCTTATTTAAGGCAGTATTTTCCTCCTGCTTATTATCTGGAAGAGATGAAGCTAGTTTCTTTATATTATTTTCAGACCGAGATTTACTTCTCGAACGTTCTGAGTTTCGTTGAAGATGTCTATGTAAAACGTCCAACCTGGGATCAGATTCTGCTCTTCCAATGTGACCCCCTGCAAAGTATGAACTGTTAGTGATATACTGAAATTCTATACTCATTCCTAAGATTTAACTGCATTAACAAGAAAATTAGAGAATTTCATTTTAACTTAAACTCAAATTAAAATATCCTATAGTCTTCTGAAGAACATTATAAAAGGAAAGAAAAGCTTCCCTTTTTAGCAGTAAAAGAATCTCAGTCTTCCGGAAAACTGTATTTCCTTGGTTTGTTTTTAAATACAGTTTGAAATATTTCTGGAAAAAAAGGATAGCTCTTATGGTTGTTATTAATATTTAGCATTTCGATTTCTCTCTCATATACATATTTAATGTTACTATTTCTCTCAAAAGGCTGTTAAAAACGTCAACAGTCTTTTTAGTGGAAGGCATCCCAATGAGAAGCAAGGAAATGGAAATGTCTTAATAATCCTAAAAAATGTATTTTTTAAAGCTTTGCAAAGACTAGACTGCATATGCCAAATAATAATGGCACTGAAAATATTAGTTTTTCTGAAAATTCTACAACACTGACCCATTTCATAATTACATGAAATGGCACTATGTTCAGACAAGTTTATCAAAGGATTTCTGAAACTTTATATTTCTCGTTGATATAAGGAAAAGATTAGCATTAGTCTCTCATCTGATCACATTTACATTTTTAAACATCTATATAACAAATGCTCAAATATTCTTAAAATTGTGTGTATTTTACCCTATTTCCAGAGAAAATGGGCAAAGTTTAGCAAGAAACATGAAGAATATAATGATTCCTTTTACTAGAATGCTGCTTCTACAGAGCCAGGGATTGGGTCTATTTTGCTTATTTTGAAGCCCAAGAGATTACAGCAGTGCCTACTATGTAGTGGGCACTCAGTAAATATTTGTTGAATAAATGTTAAGCCTCTACAACTCTCCAGTGAAGGATGGAAAAACTTAAAATATTCAGGAAAAAAAATCATGTTATCATCAAAATATCTGGTAACATGGCTTTAGACTGAGAATACACATGAGCGTATTTACAAGCTAGATAAAAGTGAAGAGGCCCAAATACAAAGTATTGACTTCTATGTGCCAAATTATAGTTGCAACTGCATCTTACTGAATCCATTCCAGAAGTTCACATTAAATTGAAACAAATTTGGCTGCTAAAAAGAAAAACTGGCATATGAGTACTTATTTCACTTCCCAAAATTAGTGTTCATGAAAAAAGCAGTTATTTGAAATAGTGCTCACTCAAGAAACTTTGATAGGAGAAAAACAGTGGACTTGAGGGTCAAACTAAACAGTTCTGCCACCAAATCTGACACCCACTGACTACAAACCCATGGGAAAAATCACTTCTCTTTCGGAGCCTGTTTCCCTAATCTGTCAAATAAAAAAATCTAACCTTGTGAATGTTTGTACATGTTTGCTTGAATATGTTGGGATGAACCAGGTTGGACTTGATTCTCTCTAAGGTCCCTAAAAGTCTAATATGATTTCATTAAAATAATGCTTTCATATTCACGACAGCTAAATGAAATTAATACAACATAAAATTATTCATAAAGATGAACATAACACCTATATGCAGATATTATCCATAAACAAGCCCAATAGAACATTTTTTTCTTTTTTGAGCTACATTCAAAATTATAAAGCAAAGTCCTAACACATTCTTAAGAGTACTTTTTCCTTCTCTAAGTACTTGATAGCAATTTTTAATTGTTTTCTCAACAATTTTAATTATAACTACTTACCAGATTTAACAGTTCTTTCTCTTCCACCTCTGTCACTTGATGCTGTTCTTCGCTGTTTTGGCTCCATTCTGGGTGCAGGTCCCAGAATCTTCTTTACTAATTTTTGCCCATCTCGCCACGAAGATGTACTTATAAGATGACTACTACCTAAAAAAATACATTGCACTGAAATTAAAACTTAAATTTTAATTGCAAGAAGTATATCTACTCAACCATACAGGTTTTATTATTAATCTTATGCTTATCTGTCAAGGTCAAAAGATTTACAAACAATGATATTGTTAAACCCTAACCTCCCCAAGTCAGTTAACCATTTGTTTATATCTTGATTTACCCACACATCTGAAATAAATGTAAAATGCTTTGGAAGTTAAGTACCAAATAATGATTCTTAAACCTCAAGAACTAAGGCACAAGACCGGCCTCGCCAACATGGCAAAACCCTGTCTGTACTAAAAGATACAAAAAATTAGCCAGGCATGGTGGAGGGTGCCTATAATCCCAGTTACCAAGGAGGCTGAGACACGAGAATCGCTTGAACCCAACCAGCAGAGGTTGCAGTGAGCTGAGATCACACCCCGCTGCACTCTAGCCTGGCGACAGAGCAAAACACCATCTCAAAAAAAAGAACTAAGGCAGCAAATTTGACAAAACAAAAATATGTCTTAACACACAACAAGTGTTTGATTTACCAATATCTAGCACCATACATGGCACACGATAAAATAATACGTTTGCTAAAAAAAAAAAAAAGACTTAATCAAAGAACATGTAAAAACTTTTGAGGAAACATATAACAAAGAGTTAACAATGATTACTTTTGAAGGGGATGGTATTACAGGGACTTTCACATTATATTTTACAGGTATATACCAAAAGTACACACCACTTTTCTATGTACAAAACAGTAACATTTAAAAAGTATAATCATTTTAAAAGGTCCTCACATCATAAAAATTCAAAAAAATAAGTGATTCAATAAATACAACTGTTTACCAGGAGAAAAAAGGATTTTCATCCATTAGCTTCAGAATGTAAGAAATTAAAAATTAAGCAATCATCTCAAAATAGACAGTGACTAAAAAAAGTGAAATAAAAGACTGTTTACAAAATAGAAACTACAAAAAATAAACATGGAATAAAAGTGTTTAAATGCAAAATAAGATAAGAAATAGAGGTCAGGCCTGGTGGCTCATGCCTGTAATCCCAGCACTTTGAGAGGCTGAGGTAGGAGAAATGCTTGGGGCCAAGAGTTCGAATCCAGCTTGGGAAACACAGCAAGATCCTGTCTCTACAAAGAATTAAGATTAAAAAAAAATTAGCTGGGTACAGTGATGCGTGCCTGTAGTCACAGCTACCGAGGAGGCTGAGGTGGGAGGATCGCTTGAACCCAGGAGTTCAAGGATACAGTCAGCTAAGATTATGCCACTGTGCTCCAGCCTGGGACACTGAGTGAGATCCTGCCTCCAAAAAAAAAAAAGGAAGGAAGAAAAGGAAGGGAGGAAGAAATAGTAGCACTTCAAGCCTAATTAAATTATTATAAACATTTTTACATTAATAGCCAATGCTGATAAAATTATAATAAAATCATTCTGCCTATACATTACTTGCTGAAATATAAGTGGATATAGTTTCTTTTAAAAAAAAAAAAAAGCAAACATGAGATTATGTGTCACGGACCCCAACAGTATTCATTCCCGTTGATCAATGATCCAACAAACAGAAATTTATATAATATAAATAATCTAAAAGAAAGAAAAAAATAAATGAAAATGTTGACTGTATCATTTTTATACTATCAGAAGTAACTAAATACTGAATAATGGTGAATAATTACTATTTCTATTAGAATATTGTGTGGCCATTACAAATCACAATTTTCATAAGAAACAATAGAAATGTTCCTCTGAGAAGATGCAAAAATCAATGAAATTTTACATATACCAAAAAATGTACATAAACAGTGATTACCACAACATACTATTATAATTTTAAAATGAATGTAAGGAAACATACAAAGTAATACTTGTTCTTTATTTAAGTCTGGATTGTGGTTTTATCTGTTTTCTTCTATTTTCCCAGCTGTCTGTGATGCTATTTTATTGTATTTATAATAAAAGACATTCCATTTAGAGTTTCTTTAAAAAGGGCTTTAATTTGTAAGTTTAAATGGAAGTATCATTTTAATAAAAACATCAATTATAAAAAGGTGAGTTTTAATGTGTGCTGTTTACTTTAGAAATGTTTTTGTACCTTGTTATTAACCTTATACAGTTGACCTAAAATATTTAAAGGGTTTTAAGTATACTGTTCAATCTATTTATAAGAAACTTTATGTTCTTATGTAAAATGAGAGAACAGGCTTCTCTTCAATTTCAGCCTGATTTTCTGAATCAAAAACAAGCAACCATGAATACACTGGGTAGTTATTTATACATGTTGGCATCTGAATATTGAGGGATTATTTCTAAATTCTAACTTTCTGGAAGAGTTACACACAGTCACTGGTTTAAAAAAAAAAAAAAAAAGGACTTCCACTACATAAACTATTAATACAGCTTTAGCACATTTAATGACTCTCTATCTAGCTCATTGCCACAGTGCATATATGAGAATTAGCCTACCACAAAACTGGATGAATACAATTCAAGATCAGTGTTCATAAGTTTTAGTGGTCCCTGTGCTTCATTTCAAACTACGCTTCTGAAAACAGTATTATGTAATGCCACATGAAACACAATACTTCTTAAAAATGTAATTATTGCCTGGGTGCAATGGCTCATGCCTGTAATCCTAACACTTTGGGAGGCTAAGACAGTCGTATTGCTTGAGGCTAGGAGTTCAAGACCAGCCTGGCCAACACGGCAAAACCCCATCTCTACTAAAAATACAAAAATTAGCCGGGCATGGTGGCACATGCTTGTCATTCCAGCTACTCGGGAGGCTGAGGCACGAGAATCATTTGAACCAGGAGGTGGAGATTACAGTGAGCCAAGACTGTGCCACTGTACACCAGCTTGAGTGACAGAGCAAGACTGTCTCAAAAAATAAAGTAAAATAAAATATAATTGATAACTCAATTATCAATTGAGCTCAGATATCAGATATCAAGTTATCAAGTGAGCTCAGATAACTCACGTTTTTGTAACATTTTATTTTTTTATCTGTATGTAGCAAGTGTCACTCTATTATGACATCTAAAGTTAACAATGGGTGTCACAGAATGTGTTATCCGCCATTCTACTGATTAGCGTATGACTAGAAAAACAGATGCCTGATCGAAAACCAGCACCCCGTCAGTTTTGCCCTGCTGTTCTCATAACATCTTGTGACCTCTTACCGCAGCACTCATCATACTTTATTGTAACCGCATATCTATTTCCTGCCAAGACTATAAGCTCCATGAAGGCAGCGGCTAGATGCATCTTGCTTACCAATGTATTGTCTAAGTTTAGTACAGCACAGTACCTCACATACAGCAAATGCTCAAAAATATTAATATCTGTAGAATAAATGAATGAATGAATGAATGTAGAATGTCTCTAAATTGATAGTGACAGGTTCCCAACTTTCTCCATTCTCTTGGTCCAAATTACTCACTGAGATGAATATGACATTCTAAATAGCCATTTTCAGTATGGTCAGAAATAATAATTACTATTATTAATGGAGTCATAGCTAACAGCTGAGTCCTTATCATGTGCCAGGCATATGAGTGCTTTTGGGTATTAACTCCTAGTTCTCAGAACACCCCTGTAGGATAAATACTACTGCTTTCCCATTTTACATATGGGAAAACCAAGGCACACTAAAATTAGCTCATTTACCAAAGGAACAAAGCTAGTCATAAATCTGGGCAATCTGGATGAGGGCCAAAATGTTATGGAACTAGAGAATTATCTTCTTTCTATCCTTGATCAATTCAGAATTCCACCTGACCAATAATGGGATGGAACACCACAGTTCTGATGTGCAACATTTATTATCTTTTGAGAATAAGTGAAAGGATTTAGTGACAATCAGAAACAATCCCCTTGTATATAAATTTCACAACCTAAAAATTACCTTTAATCTGGTTAACTTATATTAAAAATAATCATTAAAAAAACTGGAGGGATGACCAATGTGTTCAGTACGTTGATGAACATATGGTGAACAAATGGTTTCATGGATGTATAAAAATATGAAAATGTATCAAACTATACATTCTAAATATGTGCAGTTTATGTCAATTACACCTTAACACACACACACACGTGCACACACACACGATACATAAAATGTATTAATTTTTCATATGTGCCAAACAATGAGAAATTTGGTAACAGTAATATTTAACTTCAAGATGGATTAAAGACTTAAATGTAAGACCTAAAACCATAAAAACCCTAGAAGAAAACCTAGGCAATACCATTCAGGACACACGCATGGGCAAAGACTTCATGACTAAAACACCAAAAGCAATGGCAACAAAAGCCAAAATTGACAAATAGGGTCTAATTAAACTAAAGAGCTTCTGTACAGCAAAAGAAACCATCATCAGAGTGAACAGGCAACCTACAGAATGGGAGAAAATTTCTGCAATCTATCCATCTGACAAAGGGCTAACATCCAGAATCTACAAGGAACTTAAACAAATTTACAAGAAAAAAACAAACAACCCCATCAAAAAGTGGGCAAACGATATGAACAGACACTTCTCAAAAGAAAACATTTATGCAGCCAACAAACATATGAAAAAAAACTCATCATCACTGGTCATTAGAGAAATGCAAATCAAAACCACAATGAGATACCATCTCATGCCAGTTAGAATGGTGATCATTAAAAATTCAGGAAACAACAGATGTTGGAGAGGATGTGGGGGAATAGGAACGCTTTTACACTGTTGGTGGGAGTGTAAGTTAGTTCAACTATTGTGGAAGACAGTGTGGCAATTTCTCAAGAATCTAGAACTAGAAATACCATTTGACTCAGCATTCCCATTATTGGGTATATACCCAAAGGATTATAAATCATTCTACTATAAAGACACATGCACATGTATGTTTACTGCAGCACCATTCACAACAGAAAAGACTTGGAACCAACCCAAATGTCCATCAATGATAGACTGGATTAAGAAAATGTGGCACATATATACCATGGAATACTATGCAGCCATAAAAAAGGATGAGTTCATGTCCTTTGCAGGGACATGGATGAAGCTGGAAACCATCATTCTCAGCAAACAAACACAGGAACAGAAAACCAAACACCGCATGTTCTCACTCATAAGTGGGAGCTGAACAATGAGAACACATGGACACAGGGAGGGGAACATTACACACCGGGGCCTGTCGGGGGCTGGGGGGCCAGGGGAGGGATAGCATTAGGAAAAATACCTAATGCAGATGATGGGTTGATGGGTACAGCAAACCACCATGGCACGTGCATACCCTGTGTAACAAACCTGCACGTTCTGCACATGTATCCCAGAACTTAAAGTATAATGAAAAAATTAATCAATTTAAAAGAAAAAAAGGATGGATATGTTGAGAAAACTAACCTGTTCTGCATTCTGTACTTGATAACTGTGCTACTTTCTGGACTTTTCGTACTGGCTTGACTACTTTCTTCTCTTTACTTTTTTCAGCAGGTTTCTCCTTTATAGAAATATCATCTGAAAAGCAGAAACATTTACAGCAAATAAAACAATGATTCTCACTCACTTACTTATCCTCCCCCTACAGGAAAAATCAGTGTAAAGTATATGCTGCAGGAAGGGAAAAAGAAACCTACATTGAGGCTATTTCTATGGCCCATATAATACTGACATCAACTCCTTTTATGGAAAAAAGGAGTTGGAAAATATCTAAAGATTATCACTACTCCACTATTGGGTTCCAATCCTTTGTTATTTATTTATTCTTCTAAGAAACTCTTGAGAAATTTACTTAGTTTCACAAATTCTTTCCAAGTCAGGATCATTGCATTTTATAGAATCTCAGAGGTGCGCACTCTCACAGATTCCTATTCCATTTAGAAATTTCTATATAAAAACTTTACAAAATACTCAATAAAATATTCTTAAATTAAGGCTTTATGATGATGCTAGTAAAACATGTCAAGGTATTTTATACATACATTATTACTAATTTTTTAAAAATCCAACTTGCAGAAATAAACTGACTACACATGTTAAGCTTAAAAAATTAACCTCAATTATGGATGTGAATAAATGTACTTTAAAATATGTGTAGAGTTCTGCATTCTGGACAGAGTGGAAATAAGTATAAGTAAAGGCCTTAAAGGAGGACCATACCTAGTATCTAAAAAAAACCAGCAAGCAGGTCAGTGTGAGTGGACTGAACAAAGAAAAGAATAGTAGGAACTAGGGTCAGAGACATAACTAAGGGCCAGATCATGCAGGGCTATTTAGGCCATTGTAAGAATTCCAGGTTTCACTTAAGAGTGAGATGGAAGGTTTTGAGAGATTATGAATAAAGGAGCAACATGATCTAAATTAATTTTTAGCAAGTTATGATGACAATAGACTCATTAGAAGAAGAGCAGATAGAGGAAGACCAGTGAGGAGACTACCAGAATAATCCAGATAGGAAACTGATGGTGCCCTCAATCTAGGTGGTGGTGATAGAAATAGTGAAAGTGATTATATTCTAAGTATATTTCAGACAATATTACATAAAAAATATGAGGCAGGGATGTGATACTCAAGAGTGACAAGATTTGGGGGCCTGAACAATTAAAGGGATATAATTAAGTGACATGGAGACACTACCAGAGTAGCAGGTTTAAAGGGTATATCATGACCACATTTATTTAGTTAGTTCCATTTTGGATATATTAAGATTGAGAAATCTATTGTACATCCAAAGGGAGACATGAAAGTAGCAGCTGGATATAAGTTAATTCACAGGGCAAGTGTGGGCCAAAGACATTACTCTGGGAATCACTAGTAACAGGGAACATTTAAAGACCTGAGACTAATTTGTCCTGTGTACATATAGACAAGCTTTAAAAAAAGAAAGAAAAATAGAGTGAGTAGAGGGAGAGAGATTGGAGAGACAGAAAATGAAAGAAAGGGAAGAAAAGGAAGGGGGGAAGGTAAGAAAAAAAAAAGAAATTTTAAAAAAAAGAGAGAGGAGAAAGAAAGAAAGAAAGCCAGCCAGCCTGCCTGCCCAAGCACTGAGGACTGAGGTCAGGGCATCCTGATGATTAGGGAAAAACAACTGAAAAATAATAGTTAGCTTTAGGAGGAAAACCAGATACTTAAAAGTATTCTAGATGTCAAGTGAACAGTTTCAAAGAAGTGATCAATCATGCTGCTGACAGATCATGATAACAAATTAGTATTAAATATTGCATTTAGCAATGCAGAAGTCACTGATGATCTTGATAAACAGGAACAAACACCTATAGAAAGGATTTAAGAGAAAGACAGGAGACAAATTGAAGACAATGAGCATAAGGAAACTTTTCGCAGTTTTGCTGAACACAAGAAACAAACAGGGCAGCAGCTGGAGAAAAGTAAGGCCAAAAGAGGGGTTCTTTTATGATGACTGATATAACAGCACATTATCACATAGTATGTTGATGAGCATGACCTGGTAGAGAGGGAAAACTTGATGATGCAAAAGAAAGGCAATAGGGCTGAAGTAACATCCTTAAATACATAAGAGCAAATGGAATCTAAAACACAAGCAGATGGGTGAGTCTTAGCTAGGCACATCATAGTTCATCTACCATAACAAGAGAGAATGCAGAATATGAAAGTCTTCTGACATAGTCTACTAGTCTACAATGATACTATCCTATGAGATATATTGTTATTATTCCTATTTTACAGATGAGAAAACCAATAAAGAGAAGTCATGTAACACAGCTAATATACTCAACTAATAAGTGACAGAGGCAGAACTGGAACCCTTGAAAGCTGATTCCAAAATCTTTGCTCTTAACTACTACATTATTCTTCCTTTCCACATGAGAAAAAAATTTCTGAATTGAGTGTTGTTGTATAATAATAGCAAGAAAACTGGATTGGACACTTAATGCCACAGAAATGTATTAGTAGAAGCTTTATGAGGGCTTACTACAAAGACCTCACACTTTAGAATCACAGTTGGTTTCGAATCTTGGCTTCCATTCTTAACTACTCTATCCAACCCTAGGAAAATGACTCTTTGAGCCTCCATTTCCTCAACTGTAAAAAATACAAAAGACCACTCAGCATCTTGCCCAAGCTCATACTATTGGGTAGGTAGTACCATTATTAGTATGACCTTCCTATTACCCTCTCCCAGTCTTCCATGGGTTCCTCTTATTTCCAATTCCTAACTTATTCCCTTCCTATAATAATTATTTTTATTTTGGTATCTTGCTCTCATGTAAGTATCTTATCTGCTGCCTGACAAATTACTACGTCGAAGATCTCAGAGGCCTAAGCAGAAGTAAACTTCAACTAAATTCTGCTATGTTTCCTTCAAATCAGGCAGTCCAAACTCTGAAAGTCTCTCAGTTTAAACATAGCCTAGTTTCTGTCTCATTAACCATGTAAGCTAATTTTAACCCTGGAGCTGAGTCTAGAGGCTAACAGAGCCTTATGCCTCAAACCACTACAACTTCAGTATGCCGTGCAGTTAGAGAAGGAAAATATTGTTAGTTTGGTGACAATTTTATATGTAAATATTATAAATTAGAGAGCATGTATGACACTCAAAACATAAGAAAGTTCTATTCTCACCTGCAAAGTGAAGTGCTAAATCTCGATACAGTTCTCTACTCATGTTTTGAAACTCAGCCTCCTGCCACACTTTCCCATCAGGTGTTCGAATCTTGGTCTCTGAAGGGTTGAAACCTAATACACACCAGTAACACAGAATATTCTTATCAAAGTTGCTTTATAAGTTTTGTTTGTTATACTTTTTAAAGTGATATATAATCGACATACATAAAATTCACGCTTAAGTGTACAATTCAGTGGTTTATAGTATAGTCACAAAATTGCAAAACTATTGTCATTATCTAATTCCAGAGCATTTAATCAGCCTGAAAGAAACCCTGTACCTCTTAGCAGTCACTCCTTGTATAACCCACTCCATCCCCTGGCAACTACTAATCTACTTTCTATCTTTACGGATTTTCCTATTCTGGACCTTTCATATAAACCAAATCATATATCATGTGGTCTTTTGTGTCTTATTTTTATCTCACTTTTCATGTTTTCAAGGTTCAACCATCATGTAACATGTATCAGGGCTTTATTCCTTTTTATTGCCAAATGATAGTCCATTGCATGACCATACCAATACTTTAGCCATTCATCAGCCGATAGACCTTTGGATTTTTTCTACTTTTTGGCTATTATTAATAATGCTGCTATGAACATTCTTGTGTAAGTTTTTGTGTAGACACATTTTCAATTCCCTTGGGTATTATACCTAGAAGTAGAATTGCTGGGTCATACAGTAACTCTATGCTTAACTTATTGAGGAACTACCAAATTTTATTTTATTTATTTTACTTTATCTATCTTATCTATTTTATTTTATTTCATTTTACTTTATTTTTTGAGATAGAGTCTCAGTGTGTCACCCAGGCTGGAGTGCAATGGCATGATCTCAGCTCACTGCAACCTCCGCCTCCTGGGTTCAAGTGATTTTCCTGCCTCAGCCTCTCAAGTAGTTGGTGCTATAGGCACACACCACCATACCCAGATAATTTTTGTATTTTTATTAGAGACAGAGTTTCACCATGTTGGCCAGGCTGGTCTCAAACTCCTGACCTCAAGTGATCCACCCGCCTTGGTCTCCCAAAATGCTGGGATTACAGGCATAAGCCACCGCACCCAGTCTACCAAACTGTTTTCTAAAGCAGCTGTACCATTTTACATTCTCACCAGCAGTGTATCGGGGTCCTACTTTTTCAACATCCTTGCCAATACTTATTGTATGGCCACCCTAGTGGGTATAAAGTAGTAACTCATTGTGGTTTTGATTCATATTCCCCTAATAACTAATGATGTTGAGCAGCTTTTCTAAGCTTTTAAAAGAGGAATGCATAATTAGCTACCACATAGTATGTTAACACATACTGTTTAGGAAAAGTAAGCATCAGTGAGACAAAGCAATATACATTCATTCAAAAAGACTAGAAGGGGAGAAGCACTAAATTAAATGATAAAAGAATACCGATCATAAATCATGAATTTCAAAGACACGAACTACCCTTCTCCAGATGAAGGGAGAGACAATACTATGTATTCTTCTTATCTTTGAAGACAGGCATTATAATTGCTACCATCCATCTGTTTTTGCCTATGACTGAACAAATGGGCAAGCTGCTGTTTATTCGGACAAATTGTGTCCAAAGTGTGGAAAATAGGTCTTTCAAACATACTTTTTCAATTTCTCAAGAAACCTTACATATATAGGATTTCCTAGGAATTACCATTTAGGTTTCCACTTCAAATTTTTTTTTTTTTTTTTTTTTTTGAGAAGGAGTCTCGCTCTGCCGCCCAGGCTGGAGTGCAGTGGCCGGGCCTCAGCTCACTGCAAGCTCCGCCTCCCGGGTTTACGCCATTCTCCTGCCTCAGCCTCCCGAGTAGCTGGGACTACAGGCGCCCACCACCTCGCCCGGCTAGGTTTTTGTATTTTTTAGTAGAGACGGGGTTTCACTGTGTTAGCCAGGATGGTCTTGATCTCCTGACCTCGTGATCCGCCCATCTCGGCCTCCCAAAGTGCTGGGATTACAGGCTTGAGCCACCGCGCCCGGCCCGGTTTCCACTTCAAATTTATCCCTACTCTTTGGCTGGGTACGGTGGCTTACACCTGTAATCCAGCACTTTGGGAGGCTGAGGCGGGTGGATCACTTGAGGCCAGGAGTTTGAGCCTGGCCAACATGGCAAAACCCCATCTCTACCAAAAATACAAAAATTAGCCAGGCATGGTGGTACACGCGTGTAATGCCAGCTACTCTAGAGGCTGAGGCATGAGAATCACTTGAACCCAGGAGGTGGAGGTTGTAGTGAACTGAGACTGCATCACTGCACGCCAGCCTGGGCGACAGACTGAGACTCTGTCTCAAAAAATAAAATAAAATAATCACTATTCTTTTAAGAAATACACTGAACTTTGTTTTGTCAAAAACAATAAAACAATGAATATAGATGATAACCAAAGTAGTACAAAGATTTTTATCTTAAGAGTGGCTCGGCTGGGCATGGTAGCTCACGCCTGTAATTCCAGCACTTTGGAAGGCTAAGGCGGGTGGATCATGAGGTCAGGAGATCAAGACCATTCTGGCTAACACGGTGAAACCCCGTCTCTACTAAAAGTACAAAAAATTAGCTGGGCGTGGTGGCGGGCACCTGTAGTCCCAGCTACTCAGGAGGCTGAGGCTCAGGAGAATGGCATGAACCCAGGAGGCGGAGCTTGCAGTGAGCCCAGATCACGCCACTGCACTCCAGCCTGGGCAACAGTGTATGACTCCGTCTCAAAAAAAAAAAAAGATTGGTTCAACTTATCAAAGAATTAGCAACCTATACATAACTGTACAATTAAATCAATGTAAAGAATAGGCTGGAGTAAAAAACTGGTAGTAGTACTTTAAAGGTATAAGAGAAAATGTACTGGTAAATTAATTACATATCTAATAGTAAATAATCTATTCAGCCATTAGGCACAATAGCATAAGTTTAATTTCACCCAACATTTGTGGCAAGGAACACACCATTACATCTGTATCTACATACGAGAAAAAATTTATAAACATAGTGTTGTTTTGCAAAATATAGTATGCCATTAAAAAAGTGTGGCGATTCTGCCTAGCTGCCTGAGGACTGACTGCCATCATGAATGACACAATAACTATTTGTACTAGGAAGTTCATAACCAATCAACTACCTCAGGGAGCACAGTCACAGAAGTCCTTCACCCTGGAAAGGTAACAGTACCAAAGACAGAAATTTGGGGAAAACTAGCCCAAATGTACAAAGCCACACCAATGTCATCTTTGTATTTGGATTCAGAACCCATTTTGCTGGTGACAAGACAAATGGCTTCAGCATGATTTATGATTCCTTGGATTATGCAATGAAAAATGAGACCAAACACAGACTTCTAAGACATGGCCTGTATGAGAGAAAAAAAGACCCCAAGGAAACAGCAAAAGGAACGTAAGAACAGAAAGAATAAAGTCAGGGGGACTGCAAAGGCTAAAAACAGGAGTAAAGATTCTGCAATGACTTTACCTGTGATAACTGCAGATTTTTCATGAGGATTAATAAACTGTAAAAAACTTTCAAAAAAAAAGAAAGTGTGGCAGTTCTATGCAAATGTATTTCTGTCTTCCTCAACTTTCCAATATCACCTAACCCCACTGCTCAACTATTTAACCCTCTTTTTCTCCTCTCTTTAGGAAACATTTATCCCAATGAGAGTCTTTCTTTGCATTCACATCTTGTATGTTAACTTTAAGAAGATTTCACAGCCGGGCGCGGTGGCTCAAGCCTGTAATCCCAGCACTTTGGGAGGCGGAGACGGGTGGATCACGAGGTCAGGAGATCGAGACCATCCTGGCTAACACGGTGAAACCCCGTCTCTACTAAATATTACAAAAAACTAGCCGGGCGAGGTGGCGGGTGCCTGTAGTCCCAGCTACTCGGGAGGCTGAGGCAGGAGAATGGCGTGAACCCGGGAGGCGGAGCTTGCAGTGAGCCGAGATCTGGCCACTGCACTCCAGCCTGGGCGACAGAGCAAGACTCCGTCTCAAAAAAAAAAAAAAAAAAAAAAAAAAAGGAGATTTCACTATCTCCATCAGTTTATCTTTCTGTCCCCAAGTCTTTATTTCCATTGCTTTGTCCACTTTTTTTCTTACTGGTTAAATTTATTGAATAAAATAAAAAATTTACTGTGCACTTACTTATGTCCATGACACTGTAACAGGTTCTGAGATAAAATAAGGGTGACCAAGATAGGCTCTTTATCTTCATGGGCATTTATACCAGGAAGAAAAAGATACGCAAACAACTAAATATAGTACAAGAAAGAATCACATAAACACCATTCGTATTCACCATTTCAAATTTTTAAAGCAGAATCATAGAGCACCTCTGTTTCTTTTTAAAAAAACATAAATAAAAAATCAAGGTGTAAAATGAGTTTAGTATGCTAATAACTGTATAGAAAGAGGAAGAAAATAAACAAACACACAAACACACAATACACACAAGCTCCTATTTGCTTATGTTTGCAAAAGTTATTTCTGGAAGGATATACAAATTGTTAACACAAGTAACCTCCAGAAAGGGGGCCAAGCACAAGAGTGACAGAACTTTTCGAGGTACACTCTTCATCATTTGGACTGTGAACAAAATGAATTTATTATGTCTTTAAACAAATGAACTTAAAATGTCATTTCAGAATACAGTATTTTAAGATGCTTTTAATTTACACTACCAAAAAGTTGTCAGAAAAACAGTTTTTCATTGTTGGAAAAAAAAATCCACTGCTTAGGACATTGGAAGCCACATTCTATAATGAGTTCTCAAATGTTTGTTACCTTTTTTAAAGTAACCCCTCCAAAAGTTATATTTATAAAATATTTTAATATAAAAACTAGCACATTAAAAAAATAGTAAAAGGACTATGGGAAATCCAGTTATCAACTCAAAGAAAGTTATATTTAAGATTTTCACTCTCATTCTATAGAATTGTTTTTAACTTTCAGGTTTTTTTTTTTTTTTTTTTTTTTTTGAGACAGAGTCTCGCTCTGTCGCCCAGGCTGGAGTGCAGTGGCCGGATCTCAGCTCACTGCAAGCTCCGCCTCCCGGGTTCACGCCATTCTCCTGCCTCAGCCTCCTGAGTAGCTGGGACTACAGGTGCCCGCCACCTCGCCCGGCTAGTTTTTTGTATTTTTTAGTAGAGACGGGGTTTCACCGGGTTAGCCAGGATGGTCTCGATCCCCTGACCTTGTGATCCGCCCGTCTCGGCCTCCCAAAGTGCTGGGATTACAGGCTTGAGCCACTGCGCCCGGCCAACTTTCAGGTTTTTACAAATTATTACAAAATATGAATTCAAACTGAACATTTTAACTTTTTCTTAGTGGAATAACCATTGGTATTTCAGAACTTTGACTTGTATAAAGAACAAAACTTAAATGTGTAATCTGTACTTAATGGGTCTGTATTTAATTACAGCAAAGATTTGGGGTAATCACTATCTTGGAACCAACAAAGAATATTTTGACCTCACCATTTGCTATGTGCTGTGTTAATGGTATGGATGTGATACACAAATGACTAGAAAAATATTAAAGAATTGTGTTAATACATTATTAATAAAAAATATTATTACTTATAATATTGAACAATGACAATTCTTCAGTATTCTAGAGTGAATTGGTCACAATTTTCTCGCAAATTAGCTAGAATGAAATGCAAATTATCCATTTTTATCTAATTCACAATGAGGATCACTAGCAAAACATAGTAAACAATACAAAATAAAACTAATAATCAGCGAAAACTATATGCAGTAGATGTGTTTTTAGAGAAAAATGACTAAAGATACCTTAGGTCTACAAAAACTGCAAAACTTATTAGAGAAAAATTAAGAGTCAATACAGAAATACAAAAAAAAACTGTTTACAATAAAAAAAAAAGTGCCCTAGATTGTTACTTAAGATTAATAGAAGAAACAGGCTGGGCGCGGTGATTCACGCCTGTAATTCCAGCACTTTGGGAGGCCGAGGCAGGCGGATCATCTGAGGTCAGGAGTTCAAGACCAGCCTGGCCAACATGGTGAAACCCTGTCTCTACTAAAAATACAAAAATTAGCTGGTCATGGTGGTGGGTGCCTGTAGTTCCAGCTACTCGGGAGGCTGAGGCAGAATTGCTTGAACCCAGGAGGCAGAAGTTGCAGTGAGCCGAGATCATGCCACTGCACTCCAGCCTGGGTGACAGAATGAGACTGTGCCTCAAAAAAAAAAAAAAAAAAAAAAAAAAAGAAATTAATAGAAGAAACAAATTATTTATTTATATATATATATATATAAAAAAGCATATATACAAAAACTACCTAAGCATATATATAAAAACTAAAATTGGAAAAAATACCCACAAAAAAATTAAAAAGGTTACCCTGATAGAAGTTTAAATAACAAAACTCTAACACGAATTAAACTAATCAAGAAATCAACCCTTCATTAAAAACTTCACATGATGACCCTGTGAAAATAATTTCAGGAACATATAAATAAAAATAGAAAAATAGAAACCTCTTAAAACTACCATATATAAAAACTTGAGTTGGCTTTAAAAAAAAAAAAAAAGCTCTGAAGAGCACTTTCTAATGAAAATCTACCAATGTTGGCACAAATGTGATTTAAATATTGTTTTCTTAAATATGAGGACAGTAAATCATTCATGTTAAAATTAAATATCAACAGGATCAATGCCAATGACAAAATATTCTGTACTCAAATATTCACTGGAAATGGAATTATCTTTTAAATATTACTTTTCAAATAATTCCTAATAACAATCCAAATACAATGGCAACATAAGGGCAGTATTCTTTCAGTTCTCTGAAAATAGTTTCGGCCCGGCGCGGTGGCTCAAGCCTGTAATCCCAGCACTTTGGGAGGCCGAGACAGGCGGATCATGAGGTCAGGAGATCGAGACCATCCTGGCTAACCCGGTGAAACCCTGTCTCTACTAAAAAAAAAAAAAAATATATATATATATATATATATATATATACACACACAAAAAACCAGCCGGGTGAGGTGGCGGGCGCCTGTAGTCCCAGCTACTCAGGAGGCTGAGGCAGGAGAATGGCGTAAACCCGGGAGGCGGAGCTTGCAGTGAGCTGAGATCCATCCACCGCACTCCAGCCTGAGCGACAGAGCGAGACTCCGTCTCAAAAAAAAAAAAAAAAAAATGAAAATAGTATCAGTTATTATTTGTATAACTTAGTAAATGTTCATATAGTGGTTCTCGAACCACAAGAATCCCCTGAAGGACTCATTAAAAATTCCAATTCTGGACCACAGCCCCAGAAAATCTGACTTAGGACTAGTGTTGGATCTAGGAATCTGTATTTTTAACATGTATATTGAAATAATTTCTTTTTTTTTTTTGAGACGGAGTCTTGCTCTGTCACCCATGCTGGAGTGAGTGGTGCGATCTCGGCTCACTGAAACCCCCGCCTCCCAGGTTCATGCCATTCTCCTGCCTCAGACTCCCAAGTAGCTGGGACTACAGGGGCCCACCACCATGCCCAGCTAATTTTTTTTGTATTTTTAGTAGAGACGGGGTTTCACCATGTTAGCCAGGATGGTCTTGATCTCCTGACCTCATGATCCACCCACCTCGGCCTCCCAAAGTGCTTATGCAGTCAAGAATAACATCCTGTTCTAAAGATGATCCTCCCTATTCAAATACATCCTAGGGAGAAAGAAGAACAAAGAAGCAGGGAGAGGAAGATATAAAGACTGATTACAAACCTTTATATGCTGGAGCAGGGGGTGCTGTTGCCACTTTTCTGACTTTTGCTGTTACTGAGTTATCAACATTAACAATCATTACTGGATGGTCAATATGACCCAGCTTCTGACCGTGGCCATTTGTTTCTTCTGGGTGTTCCCACTGTTTTCTAATCCGTTCCTTAAGTTTTTCCAGTTTGACATCATGTTGTCGCCGCTTTAGAATATCTAATCTTTGGGAATTAGAAGTACTAGTAGAGGATGGAGAAGAGTCAGTTAGTCGTAACACTTTTGGATCAATATCATGGGCCATGTTATTCACAGAAAGCTTCAAATTGTTCTCACTTCCTTTTGTTCTGTTAGGCATTTCTTCTTCAGTTCTCATAGAAGCTCCCATCCTAATCAAACATTCAGAATTTTGCAATGCATCAATTGCTGGTCGATCATTTAAAAACCTAACAACTGTATCATTGATGACAGATGATTGGGAGCTCTCAAAATCACAGCTCCGTATATTCCGTTCTTCTCGACTGCCTATCATCCAGTTACCACTCTCACTCTTTTCTTCATTAACATCTACACAATATACATCCTTTGACTCCAGATGGCTGGAACTCAAATTGGAAGGTGCACCATGGATTTCCCTACAATAAAAAATAATAAGTTCTGTGACTATAAGAAATAACATATTGTATAGTTGAAAATTGCTAAGAGTAGATTTTAAGTGTTTTCACCACAAAAAATAAGAATATGAGGTAATACATGTTAAATAACTTGATTTAGCCATTCCACAAGGTATACATATACCAAAATATCATGTTGTATACTATACATACAGTTTCTACTTGTCAATTTTAAAGCTAAATCTTTTTAAAAGCTTTTCATAAAAGTACAAAAACTAGTCAAATGGAAACCAGTCATACAAACTGAATGAGAACTCTAAGCTAGCATTAGAAACCAAAAAATAAAAAGCCTAGAAATTCCAGTAAGTTAAAGATTGCAAAATAACCATTAGTAATATTATAACTCAATGCTCAATACCCCCTCTATCAAGTAAAATGGCAAATAATCTAAATAACAATCTGCATATTATAAAATAAGGAATATGCAAAAGATATGTAGAGAGATTTCCTAAGAACTCCAGAAAACAGGATTATAATCTGACTTCGGGTATTCACTTGACATTTGTCAATAAAATGTGTTATTTGCTACTCTATAAAATCTTACATACCAGGGAAAGAAGTTCTCAAATACTGGCATTTCATATATGTCACTTCTAAATAAGGAACAAAATTAATAAATAGACTAGGAGTAGAAATATAGTGGAGGTACAATAAATATTTTCCTCCAAATAAATGTGGTTAGTAATGTTAAATCTCTTAACCACAAAGTATTTTTTGGCAGCTTCAAACTTTGTAAAGCGTATCTAGAAAATGAGGAGTAAGCAAAGAAGGCTGGGCAAAGCCGAAGTACCTCTCACAAGTCCATATTCTCTGCTCATAGAAAACACTACCAAAAATCTTCCTCCAGAGACTATTTTTATTTTACATGTCATTCTAATAAGCCTTACTTTAAATTTATTTTATTTATTTATTTATGTATTTATTTTTGAGAAGGATTCTCCCTCTGTCACCCAGGCTGGAGTGCAGTGGCATGATCTCACTCACTGCAACCTCTGCCTCCCAGGTTCAAGTGATTCTCCCGCCTCAGCCTCCCGAGTAGCTGGGATTGCAGACGCGTGCCATCATGCTTGGCTAACTTTTCTATTTTTAGTACAGACGAGGTTTCACCATGTTGGTTGGCCAGGCTAGTCTTGAACTCCTGACCTCAGGTGATCCACCTGCCTCGGCCTTCCAAAGTGCTGGGATTACAGGTGTGAGCCATTGTGCCTGGCTGAGCCTTATTTTAGGAAAGCAGTTCATGAAAAGGGAGGCTAATGAAGACAAATATTTCAGCAGTGAGAAGAGCACATGAATCATGAAAAAAATAGTCAAGAAAATTATAAAGCCAGACATAACAACAGGCTGGACCTGAATGTCTGAAACAGCAGCCACTAGTCACATGTGGCTATTGAGCACATGATATGTGGCTAATCAAAATTGACAGCTGCTGTAATGTAAGTTACATACTGGGTTCTAAAAATTTAGGAATGTAAAATATCTTTTTTGTGTGTGACTACTAAAAATGTTGAATGTGTGGCTCACATTAATGGTTCTATTGTATAGCAATGATCTGATCTAGGGCATTTCAGGTAAAAGCATAAAACCCTAAATACTACAAAGATTTTTAAAGCCACGATAACATAACATAGTAACTGTTTCTATTGAGATCATATGAGCATGTGCATTTTTCTAAGAAAACAGTTTACAGCTGGCCGGGCGCGGTGGCTCATGCCTGTAATCCCAGCACTTTGGGAGGCCAAGGCGGGTGGATCATGAGATCAGGAGATTGAGACCATCCTGGCTAACACAGTGAAACCCTGTCTCTACTAAAAATACAAAAAAATTAGTAGGGCGTGGTGGCAGGCGACAGTAGTCCCAGCTACTTGGAAGGCTGAGGCAGGAGAATGGCGTGAACACGGGAGGCGGAGCTTGCAGTGAGCTGAGATCATGCCACTGCACTCCAGCCTGGGCAACAAAGCAAGACTTAGTCAAAGCGAGACTCGGTCTCAAAAAAAAAAAAAAGAACAGTCTACGGCTTTTGTCAGATTCTCACTGGGGTCCATAACCCAAAAAACTTTAGACCCTGTTCTGAGTGGTTGATTTTGAAAAAGATGGGGATCGCCAGGTGTGGTAGCTCACACCTGTAATCCAAGCACTTGTAGAGGCCAAGGTGGGCAGATTGCTTGAGCCCAGGAGTATGAGACTAGCCTGGGCAACACAACAAAAACCTGTCTCTACAAAAAATACGAAAATTAGCTGGGAGTGGTGGTGCTTGTCTGTAGTCCCAGCTACTCTGGAGACTGAGGTGGGAGGATGGCTTGAGCCCAGGGGAACAAGGCTGTAGTGAGCTGTGATTGGGCCACCGGACTCCAGCCTGGGCAACAGAGTGAGGCACTGCCTCAAAAAAAAAAGAAAAAAAGAAAGAGATGGGGCTGTGAAATCAGTCCTAGAGACCGAGGCTAAATGTGATTATTTTCACTATATTAACAAGACTGCAACAATTGACAGTTAAAATAATTTAGTTCTAAAATTAGCACATGCAAAAAATAAAAACATAAAATGGTAGGTTACATATCATGTCCACTCTCAAAAGATAGAAAATTAACACCCCCCAACAAAAAGTAATTTCATACAATCTTTCATTCACTCACTCATTAAATATTTACTGAATACATATAAAGATATTCAGTATATAATTCCTTCAACTTTTCTGTAAATTTGACATTTTTCCTGGTAATAGGTTAGGAAAAAGTATTTAAATATTTAGTACATGCTAGGCATTAAGCTAATGCCATGAGAGTAAGATTTACACCCTTAGATAGACTAATGGGCAGATATGGAACCAAAACATAATGCCACCCGAAAATGTTTTAACAGAGGAAGCTACACAGTACTTTGGGAGCAGAAAGGGATGATGAACTAGGTTGGGAAAATGGGAGTGGGGTAGAAACAGATCTGGCCATTTTTCCCAAAGAAAGTAATGAGTTTTAAGTGAGGAATGGAATCCACCAGGTGGAGGGTATTCCATTCACAGCTATCCTCTGGGTATTTTTTTCTTTTCTTAAAAGATACATAATTTACAGGCCAGCCGCAGTGGCTCACGTCTGTAATCCAAGCACTTTGGGAGGCCGAGGCAGGTAGATCACTTGAGCACATGAGTTCAAGACTCCCCTAGGCAATATGGTGAAACCCCCATCTCTATCAAAAATGCAAAAAAAAAAAAATTAGTCAGGCATGGTAGCTCGCGCCTGTAAGTCTCAGCTACTTAGGAAGCTGAGGTGGGAGAATCGCCTGAGTCCGGAAGGCGGAGGTTGCAGTGAGCCATGATCGTGCCACTGCACTCCAGCCTGGGCAACAGAACAAGACCTTGTCTCAAAAACAAAAAACCATAATTTACATACTTCTAAATGTAAAGTAGTATTATTTGCAGGAAGAACACTGAACATAAATATGAAGTGAGCAACTCAGTCTCAATTCTGAAAATGATTATGTCTCTAGGCAAGTTGCTTAATATCTGTGTGTTTAGAGATTCTGAACTTCGATTATTCCTCTTCAAACTTTTCCCTTCTCCTTTTTTTTAAACTCTGAACTTTACCCAGATTATACCCCTGACCTTCTTTCTATATTTTTTCCAGCCCTTCTAGTGCTTCAATACTAGTGATTAACTCCCAGATTTATATTCTCAGCCCTGACCATCCCACATACATTCTTACCCAAATTTTTAAATGCCTACTTAATATTTCCACCTAGATAATTCAAAATTGCATCAAATGCAACATATTAAAAATTGAACTGACAATCCACCTCCATCTCCCAATGTATGTAAAATTTAAGAGTACAAACATACACTTAGAACTACCAAGTATCATCATGAAACTTCTTGATTTGTGTTTAAAACACAAAAAAAGCTTACAAATGAAACAAAAAAAAGGCCCAGTGTTTATTACTTATTAATATTTGCCATACTAAGAATATGAATGCACTGAAATCATTAGTAAAGCGTCTCTCAAATACAAAATTCTGTAAGTTTATCAGTTGAATATCTTAAGCCATGTTAACAAAAATGCAAAGCATTTTATATCATCTATACTATCAAAATTCTTACATCAATCTTGAACATCTAAGTTGCTGAAAGCCATTGGCAACAAAATAAAACAATAAATCAACTCACATTCTCAATAAGAAAGGAATTTTATGTGACTAATTAATGCTCCCCCCTCAAAAAAGAAAAAAAGTTAGCAATATAAAGTTCACTATATAAAATAAATGATCTGAGTTATTAAGAAGAAACAAAAAAGCCACACTTCCAGAGATGGAATAATTTGTTTCTAGGAAACATATTTATTACAATAAAGGTGGCCTGAGGCAACTATTACTATTTCTTTCCCCTTGAATATTTATCTGTAGAAGAGGCCACTGCAGTCAGTATTTCATGTTTGCACTATCTTTTGTAGCCATCTTTTGTGGAGAATGAAAAAGGTAGTAATACTAGAGTATTACACTATTTCACAACCAGAGTGCTGTAAAAAACTCAGAAAACAAAGTATACTCTTACTGTAAATATTACAGGCTAAACCTATTTGATACCTTTTTTTTTCAATACTAACCTATAAGAAACCAAAGGTTCACGAAATTCCACACGATTATTTTTCTTCACATTACTCTCCAGGGTGGTAGCTCTGAGAGGACTACGAGATTTCTCTTTTCGTGATTTAGAGGATTTGGAGATTGGAGCATTAACCCAAGAATCATCCAGGTATCTACCATCTGAAGGAAAAGGAAATCTGTGAGAACATATGATATAAAATACAACTGCTTCTGAATTTGGCTGGTATCTTAAAAAAAATTAGGTATCTATTATTTCTAAGAGTTGGATATTATATAAGTTATCTCTAGTATCTCTAGTTGGATATTATATTATATAAGTAGATGAAAAACATTCAGGTTAAATTGTTAAAGTAACTCCATTGATAGAGAAATTATATTCTGAGAAAACAATGCAAAATAAAATTCTACATATAAAATTTATTTTTGTCATGGCTCTCACTTAAAAGAGAAGTATCAGATACAACCTAACAAACTGCCAGGTTAAAAAAAAAATCTATCTGTCTATATATATATAAAAATATTTATATATATAAATATATCCCAGTTTAGGTAGAAAGTACTGACCTGGAGGTTTTCACCCACCAATTAAAAAACCACAGAATGGCCCAGCATGATGGCTCACACCTGTAATCCCTGCACTTTGGGAGGCCATGGCAGGCGGATCACAAGGTCAGGAGTTCAAGACCAGCCTGACCAACATGGTGAAACCCCATCTCTTCTAAAAATACAAAAATTAGCCAGGCCTAGTGGCACAGCTACTCAGGAGGCTAAGGCAGGAGAATCGCTTGAACCTGGGACGCAGAGGATGCAGTGAGTAGAAATCACACCACTGCACTTTAGCCTGGGCAACAGAGTGAGACTCTGTTTCAAAAAAAGAAAAAAGAAAAAAAAAAGGAAAGAAACCACAAGATCAAAATACAAAAGGTAACCCAAGAAAATATTTGCATTATATCATTTTATAACAGTCACCATATGAAAGAGATTCCATTTATGATTTTAAATCCCAATAAAAATATACATTTTATTAAGTCAACTAAATTTCACTTCCAAAGCACTATTTATCTGTGAATTTAAAAAACAAATCAGACATACATAACCTCAAAATGAAACTCATCGCTAAAAACAAATGAAAACTCATTGTCAAGGGTGATGTAATAGTGCTAAAGTCCCTGATCAAAAGATGGTGAAAACACCATCTACAGTCACTGAACATGAGGCTGTTTCATAGTTACCCAATATCAAAAGAAAAAGATAAAACGCCAGTGTCTCTGACAAAAAGGCAAGCAACACGAGACTATAAGAAGAAATTAAACTGAAACAAAACTACTACATCAACAACTTATATTTAAGGCAGAGTGTGGTAGCTACACCTATAATCCCAGCACTTTAAGGAGTCCAAGATGGGAGGATTACTTAAGGCCAGGAGTTCAAGACAAGCCTGGGCAGCACAGAGAGACTTCGTCTCTACAAAAGATAAAATAAGATTAGCCAGGTGTGGTGGCTACATCTACAAGCTATACCCCTGTAGATAGAGCTGTCTGTTTTTTCAAAATTTATATTTAATATATGTATATATTTGGAAGTAACTTCATACATACCTTTTCTACTTATTTTTCGGGTAGCACTTGTAGAAGACTTCTTGGTATCCATGACAGAATCACACACAGCTGTACTTGTAGGGGCTACTTCTAATTTATTTTCAATGTGTCTCAGCTAAAGTTTAAATACCATCACAAGACATAAGTTAATTCCATAAATAATCCACCATCAATTTACATGGTTATTTAAAAGTATATTGCCTGATACCTTTTTCCAAAGTAGAAAAAAAACTCAGGAATGCTTTCTTAAAATATTTGTTTTTCATCATTTTTTACTTTAGCTATAATAATATCTGGCATAATGCTCCCCAAATTTAGACAAGAAAAATCAGTAAGATTCTGAAGAATATCAAAGAGTTTCCACTTGATATGTTGACCTATTTTTTAAATTGTTTAGTAAAAAAAAAGTAGTAAATTATCTGACTTTTTTTTTTTGAGACGGTCTTGGTCCATCATGCAGGCTGGAGTGCAGTGACACGATCTCGAGTCACTGCAACCTCCACCTCACGGGTTCAAGAGATTCTCCTTCAGCCTCCCTAGTGGCTGGGATTACAGGCGTGCGCCACCACACCGGGCTAATTTTTGTATTTTTCATAGAGATGGGGTTTCCCCATGTTGGCCAGGCTGTTCTCAAACTCCTGACCTCAGGTGATCCACACGCCTCAGCCTCCCAAAGTGCTGGGATTACAGGCATGAGCCACCATGTTCAGCCAATTATCTGACTTTATATGTGACATACCATTATGCAATATATCCTGTGCATTTTACATGCAAAAATGAGTAAAGAATTATTTACCTGGACCAAAATTTAGGACTATAAGTACTCAAACAGCCACTGTGTTTTACAGTTTTATGTCTATAAAGTAAGTTTCACAATAAAGAGAAAATATAACTCTGTAATATAAGTCAACTTTTGGTTATAACCACCAATGTTCTCAATGACTGAAAAGCATTTTTTCCTAAATAGTAAAATATTACATGCTTACAAGAAAAAACTAGGAAAACAGAAACAATATAAAAAATAAAATTAAAATCATCAAAATTCCATCACATATAGATACTTCATATAAAATTTTGATATATCTTCCTTCAGATTTTTTTTTTTTTTTTTTTTTTTTGAGACAGGGTCTCACTCTGTCACCCAGGCTGGAGTGCAGTCACATGATCTCAGCTCACTGCAACCTCTGCATCCTGGGCTCAAGCAATCCTCCCACCTCAGCCTCCCAAGTAGCTGAGACTACAGATGTACACCACTAATTAGCCCAGCTAATTTTGTATTTTTGTAGAGACGGGGTTTAAAATTCAGAATCTGAATTTTAATAAGCTCCCAAATGTCCAGGTTGATCTCGAACTCCCGAGCTCAAGTGATCTACCTGCCTCAGCCTCCCAAAGTGCTGCGATTACAGGCATGAGCGACTGCACCCAGCCTTCCTTCAGATTTTTGCATCCCAATGCATTTTAAAAATTGGAATAATTTTTGATATACTAATAGGTCTACATTAGATTGTCTCCCCACTTATATTCCTTTATCATCCTTAAATGTTCTTCAAAAACACCCAATAGTTTTGAAAAACAACTATTAACAGTTTAACTCTAAATTAGTTTAGCACTAAGTTAAACTGGTGGATAAAAACTATTTCTATACTATACAAAATATAATGCTCAGGTAGAAGAGACAGAATATATATTGCTACATTCATAGGGCCAAAATATGACTCTGCATTGGGACCAAATCTAGGTTATATCACCTTTTCCAGATTTATTTTCAAACTAGTTCTAAAGATTAGAGGACAGAAAATATCACTGAAATACTTAGTAAAGAAGTAGGTGATTCAAAATCAGGTGGTATAGAAAACAAAAAAGGGTATATTAGGAAAGTAATTTGCCCAGAGAGCAAATTAAAAAGAAAAGAGTTTCCCTTTGAATGAACTATTTGCAGCACCTGCCAAACTTGGATTCCTAAACTCTAGACAAGATTGGCCAGAACACAAATGGGAACAGGTTGCCCACAGTCATTCTTCTTCAGTAGTAAGAGAAAAAAACAACCTGTTATTGCCACAAAAAAGAAGTAACTCTTTCAACACTGTTATTCAACATAGTACAGGAAGTCCTAGCTAGAGCAATCAGACAACAGAAAGAAATAAAGGGCATCCAAATTGGAAAGGAAGAATAACTCACAGTCCATTCAAGAAGTTGGTTTCCTTCATTTCCTCCCTAACAATGAGCCTTCTACATAGACAAAGCCACTACCTTCATCCTCTGTTTTAAATTTTTCTTTCTTTTCTTTTTTTTTTTTTTTTTTTGAGACAGGATCTCATTCTGTTGCCCAGGCTGGAATGCAGTGGTATGATCACAGCTCACTGCAGCCTTGAGCTCCCGGGCTCAGGTAATCATCCCACCTCAGCCTCCCGAGTGGCTGGGACCACAGGCGCATGCCACCACACCCAGCTAATTTTTGTACTGTTGCAGAAATGGGGTTTTGCCATGTTTTACAGGCTGGTCTTAAACTCCTGGGCTCAAAATGATCCTCCCACCTTGGCCTCCCAAAGTGCTGGGATTACAGGGTGCGCCACTGCATCCAGCTTAAATTCTCTTTTCCACCTACCAAATGAACAAATTTATTAAAGGTGAATAAACAGTACAAATTATTATTATTGCTGAGACAGGGTCTTGCTCTGGCATTCAGGCTAAAGTGCAGTGGCACAATCAAGGGTCTCTGCAACCTCAAAGCCTCAACCTCCCTGGGCCCAAGCAATTCTCCTGCCTCAGCCTCCTGAGTAGCAGGGATTACAGGTGCACACCACCAAGCCTGGCTAATTTTTGTCTTTTTTTGGTAGAGACAGGGCTTTGCCATGTTGCCCAGGCTAATCTCAAACTCCTGGGCTCAAGCTATCTACCCACCTCAACCTCCCAAAGTGCTAGGATTACAGGTGTAAGCCACCACAACCAGTTAATTTTAATACTTTATATGCCATGGTGCTTGTGCTCCTAATCCCTAAAGTAGTATCCTGTTTATTACTTTACCATTTAATAGTTGTCATTTATGTTCATTTTATAATATATAGCGTGTGTGTGTGCGTGTGTGTATATATATATATATATATATATAGAGAGAGAGAGAGAGAGAGAGACTAAGAGAGAGAGAGAGAGAGAGAGAGAGGGGATCTCTTGAGCCCAGGAGTTCAAGACCAGCCTGAGCAACACAGTGAGAACCTGTCTGTATAACAAAAAATAAAAATAAAAGTAAATTTTAAAGAACAGTATGGAAAAAATTTTAATCTATTCAATCATAACAGGAAATTGATTTTGATATAGAAATAAATAAATGGACGCTAAAACTACTTACAGCAGCCTTGGTTTGAGAAAGTGCATCCCACGATGTGGTAATATCTCCTGGGAAAAAAAATGATATTTACTATATCAATCAACCAGAATCTCTGAATTAGACCTCAGAATCTGAATATTAATAAGCTCCCAAATGTACTCAAAAGTCTGAAAACTACCTTATTAGGCAGAACAATTCCTCAGCAAATGCTTTGTTATATTGAGTCAAAATGGGTTTTTATCTATAAGATTATTAAGCCAACATTCCCAACATATAGTTTAAAGGTAAATAGACACTGCTACCATTGGACTGGCATTTCCACTCACATCTATATCAGACAGCTCCAAAAATAAGCAGCACCCTCAGTTTACCCCAATGAGCTGAACAAAAATTTTATATTGTACTATATTTTATAATACAATGTGAGAAAGATTAGAAAGCTACTCCAGATTTTGATCTACCAGTAAAAACATAGGTAAAATCCATTCAGTCTTTCAGATAACAACCCTTCAAATAGTTTAAGGTCATGTATTTTCCATAAGTCATCCTTCTTCAGGATAAGTATTTCCACTTCCTCCAAATACTCTTCATATGACTTGATTTCCAGATCTTTCACAAACCCAATAATCTTCCTCCAGATGTACTCTAGTTTGTCAATCTCCCTCAAAAAATATCATGCCTTAAAATTACCTCTAATGCATTATTTTAAAAAGGATTCAGTGAGACTCTTACTATTATTATCTGTAACCCTGTAAGTCTGTAGCTATATTGGGGCTATACCATTTATTGAAATTAGGCCAGAATTTCTGAAAAATTTTACATATACTGGTTCATTTTAAAAAAGGATTCCTGCTTTACAAAACAGTTTACCATAGGATGCTTTTAACATGAAGCACCATGTATATTTAAAATATAAGAGAATTTAAAAATTATTTATCCACTTTCTATAAATGAAAGCATAGGTATAATTTTCATTTATTTATTAGACCAAAATGTAATACACATGACCTAAATGAGGTATTAAGTTCCCTTTAAAAAAACAAAATCATACCTTGAACAGTATCCTTGCTTTGAGAGTTCCTTGGATTTTGTAAAGGCACCTCTTTTGATTTGCTGCTCCTCATCCTGCCAATTTACCTGCAATCACATCAGCATTCACTGAACATCAATCTTATATTATTTTTCCTCAGAAAAATAACTCATTACAAATTATATTATGACTACTTCACACCCATTAGGATGTAAATAGGACAGGCTACTATCAAAAACACACAAAATAGTAACTGCTGGCAAAGATTTGCAAAACTAGAACCCGTGTGTGCTGTTGGTGGTAATGTATAATGGTACAGTCACTATGGAAAACAGTGTGGCAGTTCCTCAAAAAAGTAAAATTAGAATTACCATAAGATCCAGCAATTCTACTTCTAGATATATGATACGGTTTGGTTCTGTGTCTCCGCCCAAATCTCACCCTGAATTGTAATCTCCATAATCCCCAAGTGTCATGGGCAGAACCAGGTAGAAGTAATTGGATCGGGGGGGCAGTTTCCCCTATGCTATTCTCATGATAGTGAGTCTCATGAGATCTAATGGCTTCATAAGTATCTGGCATTTCCCCTGCTTGCACTCATTCTCTCTCCTGCCACCCTCTGAAGAGGTGCCTTCTGCCATGATTGTAAGTTTCCTGAGGCCTCCCCAGCCATGTGGAGCTGTGAACCAATTAAACATCTTTTCTTTATAAATTACCCAGTCTCGGGTAATTTATAGCAGTGTGAGAATGGACAAATATAGTATACAACCAAAAAACTTGTGGAGGCTTGAACTATTTGTACAACCCTGTTCAAAGCAGCATTATTCATAGTAGCTAACATGGAAGTAGCCCAACTATCTATCAACAAATGAATGAATAAGCAAAATGACATTTATATATATAAAAGAATATTATTAAGCCTTAAAAGGAAGGAAATCTGATATATCATACAACATGAAAGAATCTTGAGGACATTGTACTAAGTAAAATAAGCCAACCACAAAAAGACAAATACTGTATGATTCCACTTATATGAGACAGTAAGAATAGCCAAAATCATCGAGACAGAAAGTAGAATGGTGGTTGCCAGGGGCTGGGGAAAGAGATGAATGGGAGTTACTGTTTAATGGGTTTCAGTTTTGCAAAATGAAAAGAAGTCTGGAAATGGATGGTGTTAACACCATTGAACTGTATACTTAAGAAATGGTTGTAATGGTAAATTTTATGTTATGTATATTTTACCGTAATAAAAAAATGAAAGGAAAAAAATTACGTCACAACTCAAAGGGAAAGATCATGATCTGCCTATGGTTAGACAGCTTAGTGATAAGTCATACTATATTTTCCTATGAATACAGAGGAACTAGTCTCTTATAAAAATCATGTAACAACACAGAAAGTTTGAAAAATATAAGAAGAAAAACTCATTACTCCCTAAATCCTAATACAATCATTAATAAATAATTTTATTACTATCATCACTGTAACTTCAATTTTGTGCCCTATTTTACCTAACTGCTGGACATTTGTGGTGGTTTTAAAACATATTCAAAATTTGTTTCATACTCCTTTCTTCAAAATGTGGAAATTAATTATTCTCCCACTGAATGTGGTGGGACTTAGAGACTTATTTTAAACTAATATCACATGTGATGAAAGTGACAATATGTGACTTCCAAGACTAGGCTATAAAACACATTCCCTTCTCTCTTTATACCTCAAGGATCCAGGTGTCATGTCCTAAGAACAGTCAAGCAATCCTCTAGATGTCCATGTGGCAAAGAACTGAAGCCGCCTGCCTACAGTTATGTGGGTGAGCTATCCCTTGCAAGTAGATCCTCCAGCCCAAGTCAAATCTTCATAGGACTACAGCTCTACCTGACATCCTGACTGCAACCTCATGAGAGACACTGAGCCAAAATCACCCAGATAAGCTGCTCCTGAATTCCTTACATACACAGAAAGTGTGAGATCGCAAATGTTTTGTTTTAAACTTCTTAAATTGGGGTGGGAGGTTATGAATTACACAACAAGAGATATCCAATACAATATTATGTACCCTTTTCTCTTCTACAAATAATACTGAAATGAACATATTTGTATCTATGAATTTCTGCTTATTTGGATTATTTATCTAGAACAGTATCTGCAAAGTGTGCTAAAACTGAATGAAAGAATGTGAAGAACATGCTGCTCTTGAAACACCATGTCACTGAAATACAATGGGTCTTCCAAGAAGGGCCTACCCATTTCATAAATATCTCAATATTATCTATTCTTTCTACTTTTGCTGATTTAACAGGAAAAAAATGTATGCTTTAATTTGAATTTGGTAGATGCTAGGGGGATAAAACGTTCTGCTCTATATCTTAACCTTAGTGCTTCATTTGTGAATTGTCTTTTCTATCCTTTGCCCACTTACCTACCAGGATCTTAATGTTCTTCTTATCAAGTTGATGAGTTATTTGCCTTACAAATATATTAAACCTGTCATATTTGATAAACATTATTTTCTCCACTTAGTTGTATGCAGAGGCAGTACAGTATGTTGAATATTAAAAACACCAATTTAAATTTAAGAAAAAGAAGGGCTCACCTATTAGGTCAAAATATGTAAAACTAAAAGGTATGGTTAATTTTTAAGGAAGTTAATTTAATCTGATTTATCAGAGTAAATAATCCTCATTTATAAATGTTCCTAGAAAACACCTCAAAAATGTTCTAAAAATAGGGCTGGGCACAGTGGCTCACGCCTGTAATCCCAGCACTTTGGGAGGCTGAGGCAGGTGGATCACCCGAGGTCAGGAGTTCAAAACCAGCCTGGCCAACATGGCGAAACCCAGTCTCTACTAAAAATACAAAAATCAGCCAGGCATGGTGGCGCACATCTGTAAGACCGGCTACTCGGGAGGCTGAGGTAGGAGAACTGCTTGAACCCAGGAGGCACAGGTTATAGTGAGCTGAGATCACACCACTACACTTCAGCCTGGGCAAGAGAGCAAGACCCCATCTCAAAAAAAAAAAAGTTCTAAAAATAAAATTTTTTCATAGATTATAGAATATGGCTCTAAGAAAAGTAAACAAGTTTTCTGAAAATAGAGGAGCATGGTAGAAAAACAACATTTTATCAACCATAAAACTTTAATCTGCCAACACAGTTTAACAAATTAACTCATTTTGGCCTGGTGCAGTGGCTCACGCCTGTAATCCCAGTACTTTGGGAGGCCGCAGCAGGCGGATCATGAGGTCAAGAGATCAAGACCATCCTGGCCAACACAGTGAAACTCCGTCTCTACTAAAAACACAAAAATTAGCCAGGCATGGTGGCAGGTGCCTGTAATCCCAGCTACTCAGGAAGCTGAGGCAGGAGAATTGCTTAAACCAGGGAGTCAGAGGTTGCAGTGAGCTGAGATTGCACCACAGCATTCCAGCCTTGCAACAGAGTAAGACTCTGTCTCAAAAAAAACAAAACAAAACAAAACAAAAAATTAACTCATTTTCCTTTTGATAAAAATATTTTTAATCTAGCCAACTGAAAAATTAAGCAAACACCAGTTATATTACTAGAGTATCTGTCAATGATTAGACAAAAAATTTCTTTGGGCAGACATCTTTTTGCTTTAAATAAAATAAGTGCTGAAATATACAGTGATTATCAATTTTCCAATAGAAAGGATAAATAAATAATCAAAAACTACATATGTGTCCACAATCTCTATGTCTTCTTAGCTAACACTAAGGCTGAGACAGTATAAATGAGTAAACAAGAGAAAATTTATCTGCTTCAAAATAAATACCCTATTAATGGGCAATCATCTTTAATATAAATGACTAAATATTAGAAGTATGACATTTATGTAAAAGTTCATACTATAATTATAGAATATCTCCTACTAATAATGAGACTGAATTACATCTACATGCAAAAAGATAGCTGAATATCACAAACATGTTGTGAAGAATGCCAGAAACAAGAGTAAAAACCATATAGTTCCATTAAATAAAGTATAAAATAAGCAAAAGGAATCTACAGTGATGGAAGTGAGGACAGTCATCACCCTTGAAGTGGCTAGAGAGGTGGCTGAAATTGGAGCAAGGAAGTGCTGCTAATCTTCATGGATTTGGGTGCTGATTTCAAGGGTACGTTCAGTTTAAGAGACTTTATCAACTTGCACATTTATGTGCTTTTTCAATGTATATTATACTTCAAAGGATTTTCAGATAACATGAATTATGTCCTGTTTTAGGTTGCAGTAGTGCAATCAGGGTTCACTGCAGCCTCAACCTCCTGGGCTCAGGTGTTCCTTCCACCTCAGCCTCCCAATAACTGAGGCTACAGGTGCACACCACCATGCCCGGCTAATTTTTTTTTAATTTTTATAGAGATGAGGTCTCACTATGTTGCCTAGGCTGGTCTCAAACTCCTGGGTTCAAGTGATTGTCCCACCTCAGCCTCCCAAAATGCTGGGATCATGGGTGTCAGCCACCACACGCAACCTATAATTATAGTTTTAAATCAGTTTTATGATATCTATTCTCATGAAGTACCTCAATTTGCCAATAACCTACCTTTTAAATCTTTGGTTATCCCATGCCCTGTAAGTGAATATTTTAAATATAAAGTATTTAAGTTGGTCTGTTCTTTATATAAGAATACATTTTTTAAATCACCATTCTTGTAGAAATTGAAAATAGAATTAGTGAAAAAAGTGTAATAAAAAACTTACTTATAATAATAAGATGATCTATCAAAAGGTTTACTATCTTTAAAGTGCAAATCTCAATTTGCATAAGGCCTTTTTCCCAACCACTTTTAAGTGTTTACCAAGTCAAATAGATTATTCAAGATCACTTCCTAGGGAATAATGAAAGCACCTTCCCAGTTAAATCTTTTAGAGATATCATGACAATAACCTTATTCAACACTCATATGGAAAACTTGGATTTATTTATTTGTTGGACATTTATGTATTATCTTTTGTCTACTTAATTTGCCAAGAATTAAGAGATGGACAAAAATTCACCAGAACTACTGAATTTTTGTCCATTTCATATTTCTAAAATACTTAACTCCTAAATAACTTGATATCATTATTTGGCATATAAA